TTTCTTTGATACAACTTTACAATATTCTTGAAGAGAAAATAAATTCTTTTTTTTGAGTATATGATAATGAGATTTTCTAACACTTGTGATGAGTATATTTTAAGATTATTATCAAGAATATATTCTTTATTGAAGAAAAACTATTACTTAAAAAAAGAAAAATAAACTGAGTAATCACTTTTCTTGGCAGTAGAATGATATTTTTCTCTGTGTAGATGTAGATGTAGATTGTAGATGTAGATTGTAGATTGTAGATAAATCCGTTGCCTTAAAATGGATGAGCTAGGATGGATTAAGATAAATAAATTAAATTAAATAATTAAATTAAATTAGTTAAATTAAAGTAAATTAAATTAATTAAATTAAATTAAATAAAAAGGCAATAACCACTGTGCCAAGTTGAACGTAGCAAAAAAATATTAAATTGACTTATCAGCGTGAGGTCATAACGAATCGAATAATTATATGAATGTAGATCATAAAAAGCTAAAAATTATAATCAAATTAAAAGAATATTATTATTGCAAAAATTAGCAGACTGAAAGTCGCATTAAAAGATACATCGAAGATTCGCATAAGTAAGAAACGCTGACAGTAATAGACAGTAATAGACAAACGCACGTTTCGAACCTTTACCGGTTCATTCTCAATGTCAAATTAACAATTATAAAAACAATTATAGAAAAATCATAATGCAAAGTCAAGCAGTAATGTCATTTCGAACCTTTACCGGTTCATTCTCAATGTCAAATTAACAATTATAAAAACAATTATAGAAAAATCATAATACAAAGTCAAGCAGTAATGTCGCAGATAAACAAATAAATTCAAATGTAATCGACGCAACGTATCCCTCAAGAAAAACATTCAATTATATGTATATAATGCCGATGTTATACAAAATGATGTAATTAAAAATTCGCACGCAAAATGATGAAAGAAATGGAACGCCAATTTCCGTAGGTGCGACAAAAATTCATGATGCTCATCTATTTTTTTGCTACGTTCAACTTGGCGCAGTGGTTATTGCCTTTATATTTTTAATTGAATTTTTTATTGTTATCTTCAACCACTCTTTTTATAATTTTAAATTAAATAAGTTTAATAAGTTCTTTCGAACTTATGCTTTACACCTATTGCGAAAATATATTGAAATATTAATTTAAAAAAGAAGAGATCAAGAAAAGATTTTTTTGTAAAGATTTTCTCTAATTTATTAAATAAAGGCCACGCATTAACAATTATCAGTTTTATCAATTTTTGATGCTAATTTATTCTTATAATACGCACTTATCTTCTAATAGCTCATCCATCGTAGAATTTGTTTGTAGATATTGTTTTTAAACTTTACTTTAACTTAATATAAAGCTAAATGATTAATTAATTAAATAATTTGTAATATGATAAATACACACATCAATTTTATATTTTATTATAAAATATAATTTATAGAAATTTGTAATTTATAGAAATTTGGCTTTATTTCAGTTAAAATAAAGTTATATTCAATATTTAATGAACGATCGTGAAATCGAACGATCGTTACTAAATGAGTGTAAATATTTCACGCTCTTTTGCCGGTAATTATCCGGCAAAAAAAGGAGTAATTATCTCCTTCGATCTTTGATTAGAGATCAAGAAAGAAAGTAGCCAGAATCAACGAAAGGTAGGTTCAACTGGCCTGAAGAGTACGGTTAGGGTACGCGGTTAAGGCACGCGGTTAGAGCATGAATGATTAAAATATATACGTGATTAGGTGAGGTGATGATTAGAGATAGGTTCCTCAAATGTCAAAATAATTTTAGTTAATCAGGTAGGGTTGTTAAGATTATTAAGAAAAACCATTAGAATTCTTCCATTGATATTAGGATTGTTAGGGTTTTTAAAATCATTAGAATTCTGTAATAGTTGGTTTGTTAGAGCTATTAAAATTATTAAAATTCTTTAATAGTAGGGTTGTTAGGGCTATTAAGAAAGATTTATTCTTTCTTTTAATATTCCAATAATCTTAGGGATAAATTAAAATTATTTTAATTAAGTTGAATTTATTTTTAAAAACATTGTAAAAATAAATATAACATGTTTTAAAAATAAAAATGTTTTAAAAGTGAAATTTAAATTATCAAAATTATCTTCAGAAATATTAAAGAAATTGCATAATTATTAACGTTTAAGAAATCTTAACATGTTATATTTTATTTTAAAACTTAAAAATATATGTGTATTAAGTCAAATATAATATTTAATTCAAATGTTAATGCTATTAATATTAAATTATTATATCAATGTTATTAAATATTTGAATAAATGGAATATTATTATTTGATATTGATAGCATCATAAATTTGTAAATTGTAAATTGTAAATTAGAAATAGTTATAATTGTATTTTGCTTATAATCTAACATTGATATTTTAATTGTAAAATACAATGCAATTATGATTATAATTATATTATATGAAATTGTATTTACGATTGTAAATTCTTATGTAAATTACACAAAAAATTATCGAAAGTATACGTATACTGATTACATAATCATAATTAACATAATAGTAATTTATTAAATTAAAGTATTTATTTCTGTAGTATATTTTTGGAATATTCATAAAAGAATAACTGTTTGTATTTTTATGTCAAAGAGTCATTAAAATTCGGAAAATTTTTATATAAAATGTAAAAATTCGATGCTAAATTAATGATTAAATATAAGCATTATAAAATTTGACGGACGCCTTCGTTACAGAATCGCGAGTCAATTATTATAAATTTAATAATATGCTTTCTGTTAGCTTTATTTATTTATGAATTCAATATCGGGACTGAATATTCTTAAAATAAATTATTAAATTATAATTGCGAAAATACCGCTTTCTCTTCGCGTCCTTATACAAGATGATCATTTTAACAGAATAATTTTATTGCTGTCCCTCCCGTCAGATAATATTCCTAAATATTGCTAATTTAAATATAATATAAAGAAATGTCGAATAAGAGGGTGAAGATTCGATGTGATATGTCAGCGATTAAATATTAGCCTCATAAAATTTAACGATCATTTTCGATATTATAGAATCGCGAGTTAATTTATTATGAATTTAATAATTTAATTTTTAGTTATATTTGTATTTACGATTTTTTTTTTCGTATCGGAAAATATTCATAAATAAATTAATAAATTACCGTTGCAAAAACACCGTGTTTTTCTCGCGTTCTTCGCGTTCTTAGACGAGATCGTTTTAATAAAAGAGTTATCATTGTTCCTTCCGTTAAATAAACGTTAATGAAAGTTGCGTGGCTCGTACCGCCGAGGAATCGAAATGATTTTCATCATGAAGAATTATTTCTCACCGGTTCTTGTGAGATCCATTCGCGACGTCTAGTTCGGTTTTATCCCACAGTAGGCATTTTATTATTTTGTAAATAAAAAGACATAAATATGACAATATAGAAAAAATATTTATTTCATCTTTGAATATTACAGTATCTTTCGCGATCGAATAATTTATTTACTATCAATTCTCCTCCTAATTATCTTCTTCCTCAATAAATTGGAGAACGCGTCTGGATCCCTTTGACCTTTACGTTCAGATTTTGTTCTTTCTCGCCGGCTGTAGACATTCCACGATGTAATTAGAGCGAACAAGATAGGAATAATAAATATACAATGTAAAACGCCGGAAGGAACAACTTGTATGCAAATGATATACAAATTGATTTATTTATTTCGCCTGAAAATTATCTCTTGTAATAGAAAAAGGAGAACGAGTTCCTGACATTTCATTGTAACGTCCTATTAGATATGTTTCAAACTGGTTTTGGATAGCAAAAAGTTGAATTTTTGTAGAGCACTATTCTTTAATCTCCCTGCTATGTATTTTTAATTAAACGCTATGGGACATTCGTAAGTTAATGATAGACAATTAGTCGTTAATGATAAAGAAGAGATGTAAACGGTTGCAAAATTTTGAATCGAATTATAAACTGCACATTCTTATTCAGTGCATATAATTTTTTTTTGCTCAATTCGCTTTTTTGTCGTGCAGATAATTATGGTATATATCCTGGAATTAAATATGTACTTTCTCGGTACTTTATCCGTTATTTCTCGAGCACGCAAAAACCACGTAAAAACTTGACAACGGTCTCGCGATATCTCGCATTAAGATCTTATTCAACGCAAACCAGCAATATTGCGGTATACGAATGGTATTGAAACCGACAACCTTGACTATTCGAGATCGTATTTCCTTAGTATCACCGAGGTTCTTCGATGACAAATGTTTGTTCGACGGAATTTGCATGTGAATGATTAGCGCGAGATATTAATCCCGACTTTAATAAAATGAATGTGCTAATGTAATATGCCATTCTCCGATTATGTGGATGTACTTGACTTCGGGTGGCAATGTCGATTACCTAAACAGGTTCTTCCTCCGGGGGAAGAGAAACGAACGAAACTTTATTGTCTCTTTCCGTCTTTCACGTCTCTATAATTTTTTATTACTTGGAATAAAAATCCAAATACGATTTATGGAGACACTACGTCTCGATTTCATAAGAGATTCATCTTTTGAATTTTTCCAAATCGATCATGAATTAAACATCTCTAAAAGTTAATTATTTTCCACGCATAATTATCTTCTTTTACGCAAAGGGCACGATTGTAATCCTGTATCTTGTAAATTTCAACATCGACGGTAATTGTTAATTTATCTAAGTCATTGAAATGCGAAAAAGTCTTGGATCTCTTCTTAGAATAATCGCCGTGTCGAAAGGATTAATGACTCACATATAACAATGACCTCGATGGCTCTTGATGTCGCACCTTCGAGACGGTATCAGAGAGATACCGGACGCAAATCGGAACTCGCCCAAAGTCCACGGTTATCAACGGATGGCCCCGATCACTTCCGGAGTCGCTTCCTACGACGATTTTATTCGCGCGGGTGGGGCACGAGTTTCTTGGGCGCGCGTATAAAAACAACCGAAATACAATATCCGAGTGAATTGTGTCATTGCATTCGCGTCTGTCGTTATAAGATTGCGAGTGAATCGGTCCCTGATTTAATCGATCATGTCGAGTCAAATGTCAGCCACCCTCGCGTGGACGCTCGTCCTTTTGACGATGTCAATCGACATTGATGCGTGGCCGTTTCGTCGTCGGGACGTCTTCGACAACGTCGTCGACGGTCCTGACGGATTGATCGTTCATCTGCGAAATTTCGGCAGTTCCCTTTACGGGTTCCCGAGCAACAAGACAGGATTGAGGGTAGCAAAGTGGCATAAGGATATGGACGTGAATCCCGAGGAGTTGGGCGAGTATGCGGAAGGAGACATCCTGTTTCCGCCGATCACCGGAAGAAGCGGCCTCGTTGCGGTCTCCGCTCGGTGGCCCAACGGCATTATTCCCTTCGTCATCAGTCCTTATTTCGGTGAGCAAAATTATCGATTCTGTCCTAAACATTCTATGATATAAGGTATCTTTTTATTGCAAAGATTTATGTGATAATAAAATAATAGTGCATCGATAAAATAATAGCGCATGTTTCAATTATTAATTAAAGATTAAAAAATTGATATTTTAACTTTCACATCCAAGTGCCTGCTGAATGTTGAAGATTTCCTTTATACTGTTTATAATATTTTATTTTTCTCACCTTTTTCATGAAACCTATGTCTCACAGATGCACAGCAACAAAAAATCATATACGATGCGATGGACGATTATCACAGGTACACGTGTATAAGATTCAAGCCATATACGGGCGAAGAAAATGATTACATCAGAATTACAGCCGGCAACAGCGGATGCTGGAGCAGCGTGGGCAGAATTGGCGGTCGTCAGGATATGAATCTTCAGGTTCCCGGTTGTCTGACAAAAAAGGGCACCGTAATACATGAGCTAATGCACGCTGTCGGTTTTTTGCACGAACACAGCAGATATGATCGAGATGGCTATGTAAATATTCTGTGGCAGAATATTTCGCCGGGTATATATTCTCTTGTTTCATTATTATTTAGGCAGATAAACAATCTGATGAATTATCTGAAAAATATCATAATTTTTATCTTAATAAATTCTTCTACGATTAAAGATCCTACGAATCAGTTTTTTAAGATAAAGATTTAATCGAAGTTCAATTCATATATTGATAAAAAAATTAGAATGTACTCTTTTTAATCGTTTATGCATGTTTTTTTGAAAATTTATAAATTTTTCAGTTATTTTCAAAGTTATAAGAACGTCTCGATATTAATGCGCGATACCGCTACAAAGTTTCATTGACATCACTGATATTATTACTGACTAAAGTTATCGTCTATCTTGTATCTTTATCATATGCATTATGTATCTAGGTCACACGTACAATTTCAATAAGGCCCCGGCGGAGGTTACTGACGCTTTTGGTGTCGGTTATGATTACAGTAGCGTGATGCACTATTCGTCGACAGCCTTCTCCAAGAATAATCAACTCAAAACCATCGTGCCCAAAGTAAGCACGATCTATAATATATCATCGTTACAAGTGTTCTTGTCGCTTTGTCTTGTCGCTTTTCAGTCACGCTATTATCGATTGAAGAAAGAAACTTAAGAAAGAAACATGCACGTTTTGGGAATGATTGCATGTCTGTGTATGTCCATAGAGTTTACCAGACGGTGGCATTTTGGATCTTATTGGCGGAATCTTCCAGGGTAACACCAAAGAGAAACTCGGTCAGAGAGAAGGTTTCAGTAAGAAGGACATTCTGAAGATCCGGAGAATGTATAAATGCGGTGAACGTGCTGGCTTTTATGATACTTTTGTCGATGATTATTATTGATTGAACATATCTTTAATATAGATTATTTAAAAGGAAAGCTAAAACATAGGTATACATTCATTAGCAAGAAATTTCTAATTACAAATAATTAGGAAATAATAAGAAAAAAAATATGTATATATCTAGTCTTACATATAAAATGCATGACTACGACTTTCTAAAAAGACAGATATTGACGAGTGTATATGTGCGTGTGATCAGTATTACTATATGTTAATGTAATAATTAATGCAGATTATAATTTATAATATTAGAATGTATCTACACTCTCTTTAAGACTTACATAATATACAATCTATATAACTATAACACAAGTGCATTATCTGTGTGACATATTTTTATCAAAAGTTTCCCAATCCTATTTTCTTTGTCGATCAACTATCGATCAAAGTTTCAACATAAAGCGACGTTGAAAATTTCAAGTTGGCAGTTTTTATTCGATAAGGACGCGTATCTCAAACTGACAAACACCTCGAAAGACATGAGATAAAAAAATAATGTCGCGATAAAATACTCTTTATTTGTACATTATTTTACGAAGTGATTCGTAGAAGAATACACTGCGGTAATGTACTATTTACAATTAAAGTCGCTTATTCTATTTATTGTCGGTGGAAATGCAGAGGAAATTTGCGATCGAGATAATCAGCTTATTAAAAGTTATCGCGATTAATAAATCTATTTGGTACGAAGATATACACATAATCTCCGGTGAAAAACTTACCACGAAATAAACTTAAACGTATACCAAATGAGCGTAAATTAAAATTGTTATCAAAAATAGAATAAGATCTTACAAATTCTGTAACTAGAAGAAGCTGTAATACTATTTTTCTCATCGGTAAAATAATTTTATACTAAAAAATTGTTCTGACAAAGATTGTTTAACATATAACTTACATACAAAAATGTATTCTATTAAGTAATACTCTAAGATCCTAATTAAAAGTAATTAATCGATTGTTGAAATTTCACAAGATTGTTTGAAAAATAGATCTTAATTAAAACTAATTAATCAATGGTTGAAATTTCTCAAGATTGTCTGAAAAATATGAATCTATGTTTAGATGTGAAAAATGAAGCGTATATTTGTCTTTCATCTATAACGACAGATTCGAAAAATGCGAAAACCCAAAAAAGAGTAAAGCACGAATAAAAAACATATCTGAAAAGTTATTTTTCAAACTTCTCTACAATCTTTTTAAATTTTATCTGTGTTGTCGGAAACACGATATTTTGCAAAATGGTAAAAATCGCTCGATCAAATCGGCTCAAATCAATCGGTCCAAGTTTTCTTGATAAAGTCTGCCGCTCTTTCACCTGTAACATATATTTATTTCTGGAAAAAAAGAAAAAGGCGCAAAGGAAAAGAAGAAAAAGGAAAAAAATACGAAAAGTTACATACCGATCATGATCGCCGGCGCGTTTGTATTACCAGACGTCACCTGCGGCATGATACTCGTGTCTGCCACCCTCACTCCCCGCACTCCTCTGACACGCAACTGATTATCGACCACGGCGAGAGGATCGTCCGGCGGTCCCATCTTGCAGGATCCCGCTTGGTGATTTTCGGGTGCAGTGTCATGACGAATTGCACATTCCCAATAATCGTCGCAGCCAAACTTGAGATGCTCGCAATTCTTCACGGGAGTTCGATCCAGGTCGAAACCGTATCTGAAAAAGATTTTTATTTCATTCGTTATATAAGAAAAAAATTAAAATTGTTAACCTGCACTTTTTTATGATTGATGAAAATAAATTATTACTAGTAAAATGAGGGAAATTTTCTAGACAAGGCACATATCTGCTTTGAAAAATATAAATAAAAATGCAATATATTATTCGAATAAATAAGAAATATATGGCAAGAGAAAGTTTATTCTCTTTTATTTGAAATTTCTTATTTCATAGAGAGAGGACAAGTAACGCTTCTGTTGAAAAGTGTTTGCATTTATGTTTATATAAAATCCTGTATAAAAAAATGAAAGTCAACACCTCTTGAGTGCTTGGCTCTCCGATAACCTGATGCTGAACTTGATAGCTTCTACAAGTGCGGCCGCGTCGTCGGGATGAGTCAGATATTTGGGATAGATCAGCGGCTTCGAGAGAGGATCGTTGTTTCGCAAGCGCAGGTAACCGCGGCTCTTCGGATGCAGAATCGTCGGGATGATGTAGATGCTGCGGTTCGACCCCTTCTTCTCGCCCACCATACCTGTCTCCGCGCAATCAGCCAGGTAACCGCCAAAGATTAGCTGAACGTCGGGATGATCCTCCCTCGGATCTGCGTACTTGGTGTTTATCATCGCCGTCACTTCGGATATTCCTACATCAAAGCAATGTATCATAATAAATGCTTTGTTTTTACTACTTGTTACTAAAATTAATAACATTATTACGCTATTAAAAATGATAATTTTGCAATCATTTATTACAATTAACAAATCATTGAATTTGCAACTGTCAACGGATCGATTTGCAATTATTTTTTAGAAGCGAATGAATTATGATTTTAGTAGATTTGATAAATCATTGATCGACGAGTAGACATATTGTTACATATTAATGCGAATCCCAATTCATAATTAATCATGCTTTCGGGCGTCGATTTGAGAAATGTCGATCGAGATGAGATCAAATGTTGTTTCTGCAACGCTTAACATTAATCCGAATCCGTTACCTTTTACGTAATTTAATCGTTCGAATCGCGTAGCTGCGGGCTGCATTCAGCGAGAGAGCTACGCTATTATATGCAACGTTTCCCCCGGCGTTTCGTGCGAGTCAACGAGAAGGGCGAGAGACACGATTTTAACACGAAGGAGTTCAGCCCTCTCCTCCCTCTCTCTCCCGAGAGGGGGCTCGTTAAGAACCAACTCAGCTCGGGGCTATCGATCGTGCCGAATACTTGAAAAACAGCTCCGGGCTGTGACCGAATCGAGTCTTGTGAAAGGGATACGTTATTATAGGCGGATACGGCGAAATATTCGTATGAATATTTCCCGAACAATTTATTCGGTCAAATTCCCGACCGGCGAAACTATGCACGCTAGCAATTCACTTCCAACGATGCCTGTCTTTGATTATTAACGATCAAAGGAGGTTTCGCGAGTGGAGCGCAAAATTGATGCTCTCCGCGTTTCTGTGACGTTGCTTAATTGAGTCCATTAATTAAACCAACGCGCAAAAGAAGGCCAGTTTTGAAGAAACTTTCTCGCTCGTACCTTCTTTTTTCCTTATTGTTTATCGATCAACGTAAAGCCAAGTGTCTGTACTCTATGGCCTACACAACTTCTTTCGCTTCTTCTGTTATTACTTATTAACACACACAATACGCAATTTAGTTACAAGAATCGTAAATGTAGAAGTGACCGCAATTGATGGTCATTTTGATGAATGAGTTATTAATTTAAAATTTATAGGACATTGATACAATCATAAATACCAGATATTATTGCTAATGTTTGTAATTATGCTCGATAAAATACCTGTATAATGTTGCTGATATTTTTACATCACTTCTCCTATCGTTGAATAAAACAATGTCCGAGAGATAAAATTCAAATGTAATCAATCATACATATTATGCACAGAAGGTATGCAAAATAATGGCATGAGAAATCGTCGGATAATTTGCGTTGATGGATCGTAAGAGCAGAGTCACGATCGTCGCGCGAGGGGAGGCGATGGACCGGTTTTAAATCGATCCGCGCAATTCGGACGACGGTAAATAGACCTGTCGACCGGGACAAGTCACGTAATCGCGGACGTGACCATTGTGCAATATACTTTCACTGCTTGTGCACGAAGCCCGTGAATTATCATGCTCCGAGATGCGCAACATCTTCGACACGGTAAGCAGGAAGCAGAAGAGGCGGGTTTTGGATTACTTGGACACGATTGCCCGGATCAATGAAATCGCGTAGTCTAGAATCACAGTCGTTGTTTTGTAAATGAGGAATCGCTGATCGCGATTAGCGACTCTCGTGTCTATTTAGCGTTCCGTTAGGATTACACAAGGCGAAATACTTGACATATATTTATGCGGGTTACATCATTTCTACTATCTTTCATATTTCTCTGTCGCGATCGAAATAAATATTTAGAACAGTCTTACCTGTACCGGACATTAGGCCATCTCTGAATAGTAGATATTCCATGGCGGTCGCCCAATTAAGAGGAGTAGTATCGGTATCATTAATGGTGAAGGTCAGCGTGTAGGCGACGTGATTGTGAAGATTCTTGCCGACGCCAGGAAGATCGCGAATAACCGGTACACCCACCGCCTTCAGCTCCTCTCGAGGTCCTATGCCGCTGTTTAAGAGGATTTGCGGCGAGTTAACGGCGCCTAAATACACGGCAAGTATTGATTAATTTCAAAATTTTTTTATCAAGTTTCATAAAGTTGACAATAATCCGCGGTAAATTATCTAATTATTTTTTTGCATCGCTAGATAATAATCCAACTTCATAAAAAAATAACGTAAGCGCATTTATATTTATAATCAAAAGCTTATGAAATTAATTAATTGAATCAGAGTTTGAAAAATTAATTTGCTACAATTTAATTAATTATCTATTAATTTGTTAAAGATAAGATTTGACGATATATATTGCATTGTATGCATCTCTTATCTCTTCAAGATTATTGCTTCAACATTATCCCAGTTTCTCCGAGAACGTCATCGACGCGCAATTTGTATTGTTTGAGAGAAACCGAAGGTGCGATTACGATTCCTCGAGACACAATTTGCAAAAGGACGAGTAATTAAGACTGACACGTGTGCTGTTTCCAAACATAGATTTCTATATCTCTACAACCTTCAATGCGGAGGGAAACGTGTTCTATCCTCCCTGGCTTTCCTTCGTGTTGGAATTGGGATAAGTCGAGCAAGGAACGTCCCAGAGGGACTTCCTTCGCTTGAATACACAGAAACGTTCCACCGGCATGGAGCTGTTCGTTTGTTGATTAATCAGAGAATTAATTACCTCCGCTCACGACCACCTCCTTCGCTACCGAGACGCGTTGGACCTTCCCGTCGTGGACGAACTCGACGCCAACCGCCCTATTGTTCTCATCGAACAGAATTCTCGTCACCGTCGAGTTTAACATTATGTGGAGATTCGGACGATTTCGGGCAGGGCGCAGGAAAGCCCGCGACGTGGACAGTCGCGAGCCATTTCTCGACGTGGTTTGTGCAATGGCGAATCCTGTGTGCGTCCGTCCATTCAGATCGACCGTGTCGTATCCTGCCAGGTAGATAAGAATTTATTAATTATTTATTAATTATTAATTATTTATTAATTATTTATTTATACCATATATTATATTATATATTTAATTATATTTAATTATTTAATTTATATATTTAATTATTTAATTTCCATTACAATATCTATTCAGTTATCTATTTGAAGAGACGCTTGACAAACTTTTTATTATTTCAAGAAAAAAAATGTAAAAATAGTTTTACTACGTAATTTTGCAATTGTATCCTTAATAAATATCGACGGAAATTTCTCGACAAGTTTTTTGCGATTGTGTCCAACCTAATTCTTTTCCAGCTTCCAGGAGGGCGAAACTTAACGGTGGGTGATAGGGGAACTGCATGACCGTGAGTGGTCCACCGACACCGTGAAAACCGTAATCCATGCTGTTCACTTGCTGATTATCCTCGCTTCTTATAAAGAATGGAAGGACATCGCGATAAGACCACCCGACATTACCCAGCCGGGCCCAATCATCGTAATCCTTTCGTGATCCTCTCATGTACGTCATCCCGTTCATAACGCTGGTGCCACCGAGAACCTAAGTGATTTTACATTTTACGTTTAATGTGAATAACAAAATAATATATCGAATGGTGAAGATTAAAAAAGTTTAATTTACTAGATAATACAAATTTTGTATATATTTTCTCTATAATATCTGTTTAACATTTTCTTGTTTCTATAAAAAGACTGAAAGATTTTAAATTATATTTAATTTACGTACTTTCCCTCTAGGCCAATAACATTTTCTGCTCTCTTTGTTTAAGCAAGCTGCATCCTCGCTCTCGGTAGAGTACTGCCAGTCAATATCGCTGCCGATGAAATTGAAGAAAAACGAGGGTATCTGAGTACCAGTTGGCTCATCCAATCCAGCTTCCAGCAGCAACACCGAGAATCTTGGTTCCTCCGATAATCTGGCCGCGACAGTCGCACCCGCGCTACCGCCACCGATCACCACAAAGTCGTACCTTGAAGAAGAGAAGCGAGCATCAATACGAATTGGCCCGAATGTTGCAAGTAAAATTCATTTCGCAAACAGAAATATATCTAGTGTAATAGACTAGATTTTATCCGATTTTCCATCGCGTATTCGTTACTCGAGAATTGAATATTCGTCGAGACGACGACCAAGTTTCGAAGAATATACGCAGATTTTGCAGATTTAACGAAATGTCGGTCCCTCTCAGCCTCGTCTGACGTTTCGAAAGCAAGATTGTCGTGTCGCGGAAGATTACTCAGTTCCGACGCGATTTTGCGCATGCAAGTTTACGAAAGACATGTTAATTAGCGGAGTCGTGTTATTAAGCGATCCTTTTACCGTTTACGAATTAGAAACCGGGTTAGAGGAGCAGCGAGCATTACCATCGTGTGGCGCAACGGACATTTAAATGCACCCCTTTGCTTTCCTCGTACACACGCATCTGTCACATCCCTTAAAACATGTGCAAACGGAGTAAATTTGTCATCGAGATTAACGAATCACGCAACTCTAGCTCAAGTTAGATTAGCATTAAATTAAATTGTTTTCTCTGGCGTAATAAATTTCTTTTTCATTAAGTATGCAACAAAGTTAATAATTAGATTAATGTAATTAATTATTTAATGAGCCATACATATATGTATTTATAAATTAAGCTGGTAAATATACTTTTTTTTTTTACTTTACCGGGCTAATGAGCATTGTTACATCATCGACGTTGGCAAATTCGATTGATTCTGCATCCCATCGAGGCTTCATGCATTGGGAGATAGTGCACCCTTTTCCTTTTAGCTTTTAGCCTCTGCCGGCATCTCGGGCGAAAGGCGGGTTTCTCAGGAGGTTTGCTCGCGAGACGCGATCGTATATGTTCTCTCAGCTCTGAATGCCACGACGTACCCATATCCGCGTATACGTGTGCGCGGGACAATGACATACTTTTACGAGCGGAACTCGATAGAACGATGTATAGAATTCTGTGAAGCGTCCCGACGATTTATTACTCTTTTCTGCCATCAGTTGATGCACAGTTTCGAGTAGTAATTCGGGATCTCGATTTTCGCATGCATCTCCTAAATTATAAACGATGAAAGGTGAAAGTTTTTCCGCTAATTAAAGAATGCAAATGATTAACAGGATCTTAATTTTCAAGCTTATTTTAATTTCAAATTTGATTAAAAGATAATTTTCTCAGGTTGGAAATTAAGAATTTTTAAAAAGACGAGATAATCGTCTGTCTCGTGTCTTCAAAGAAATCGTGGCTGAAAGGAAAGATAATTCTTTTGTGTGGAAAATTGAATTTGTGGAATCAAAAGAAAAATTAATTCTTTCGTATCGCCAACGAATAATTCAGTCGAGAGAAACGCGAGAAATTCATATTTAATTATCGGTTTAGCAATAATTGCAACAACGTTTGACGTTGATGAGATAATTCGTAATAAATGTTAAGTATGTGTACTCGACCATAGTGTATTATCGTTATGCTTCGTATGTTGGATTAAAGAATGCGCTTGCTAGAGATTTGATTGTTATTTAGTCAAGTAGTGAGTATTAAAAGATACCGAGTATTAACTTTCTTCTTTGCTTTTCTTTTATTTAAGCTTTTTATTTACATCAATATCTTCATTTTTCACACCTTTAATAAAAGATGTATATTTTATGTCCTATCTTACTTTATTTTATCAGACAAATATTTTATAATTATATATACCTTGATATGTTAAACTCTTTCGTGTGAGATATGATGCAAGTAAAATATTATATGGTCCTAGTTAAAATATTACATCAGTTTGTCTTTTATATATTGCTACTAGTTGACTCGAAAAAGGCTTTTATATATTGCCACTAGCGACTCGAAAAAGACTTTTAATTTTAATTCTTAAGGATGACAGGATGCTTAAAAGCACATACGAATAAACAGTGTTTCTCATATGTACGTATATATTCATCAAAATGCCAAGTGATTCGGGTCCGTCTAATCACTGGCGGCAACCGTGTATAAAGATAGATCGAGGATCACGAGCGTTTAATTGAAAACCTGTAATCAAACCTGTTTCCATCTTCGCTAAAACGAGTTTTCGTACGCATAGGCCTTGCGTTTCACTGGTTTTTTTTTCGTTCAATTTAATATGTTTCTTGTGCGCGAAACGATAATATATGCAAAATACATTAAATCGCGAAATGTGACTCGAAAAAGGTTTTTAATTTTACCATTTAAATGTAAAAACTACGAGGTATCAAAGGCTAAAAAAAAATATTGACGAAAAGGGGAAGAGAAAACTTTGCACATTTTCGATTAAAAACGCAGGTTGATGAAATTTTATTTCTCTCGCGCATGTCTTGAATCTTATCTTTTTTATGTTTTCTCTCATTAGAGAGAGTGCAACATTTTCGAAGCTTCCCGTCTAAGAGTTGCTCCTTTCGCGTGTCGGTGCATGCGGTACGCGTCGATGCGACGACCAGATGTGACGCAACAAGAGATGCATTGGAACAATAGCCCGCGGTATTACGTGCGTACATACAACGATTTCACAGGATAGAGAGGCGCATGGATGTTCATTTTCGAGCGAAGAGGAAAAGGAGAGAAGCATCAGGCTTCGAGTTCCTACGGTTATTACGTGAACGAACGATCATGCGTGTGTCCCGTATGTACAGATCGTATTTAGGATTCGTCGTGGAACGAGAGCTTCCCGCGGATGCTTCCTTTCGCATCGCGGAAGAAATCTCTCCCGTCGATAAGTGTCAAGAGATCTCGGGAGAATCGCACGTAAAGGACGACATGTTATTATCTTCAATGTATACAATGCATCGTAGCCTTACATTTGTGCGAGATAAGGAAACTTTGCCGATTCAGCCTTCGTATCTCCTCGACCTCGGTGAAGTAATTAGACAATACGAAATAAGGAAACTCTACCTTACAAGTTTCTAAATCCGTCATGTTATCCGGGTTATCGTAGATAACTGTGATAGCAGCGAGTAAATTGACAACAACGGATATACACGTAATTTAGCGAGTTGATTCAACGGGCTTTTTCAGCGGACGACGATCGAGAGATAAATTTGGATTAAGATCTAAAGGCGAGTCATTTTTTCAAACTTACTTTACTAGAAAAGCGCATCATTGCCATATATATTATATTACGTAAAATGTACATATATGTATCTTTCTTATGTAGAAGATATGTATCTCTACACGTGGGTTCTCGCGCAATCGCCGAAAGAAATTGCTTTAAGGCGGGGTCGATCGATTCTCTTTCTCATTTACCCGTGACCTATTTATCCGAATTAAACAATCATCTCGGCCACGAGACGGTCTTTTTATTAGTTATATTATTTACCTCGTATTGGCAGTGTCTCTCGTTGCAGGTCTGTTACACGGGTCTTCGAGATCGCACTGGCTCCGTAAAAAGACTTCGAGCAATCCCATAAAGAGCATAAAGGATGTTCCGCCGCATGTCGAGGCCAATGTGGGTCCCACAGACGGAGTCAATGGACAGTTGCAACTCATCTGGAACAGAGACCATTCATTATTTTCTTGTACAAATGACGATTTTGCCATTAGAGAGATTAATCTCGCTGCGTCTTTCGCTTTAAAATAACGGTAATTTTCACTTTAACGACTCAATCGATGCAACTTTTTCGGATAAAAATACTTTTAATCACCAACAGATATTGATAAGGAAAGAAATATTTATCAAACTTTTTAGAATTTTTTCCGATAAGCGCTTTACTTGCGGATGCTTTTAGTTACGTTAAATCTTAAATTGACTAATGATTATTTGCAATTCACGCGTGTATCATTATATTCACGTAAAATATATTAGAGAATTAATTATGGAATTAAAATAACGATTTTTATTCGAGCAAACGATAATTATTCAGCTCTAATAATTATCGATGCAATCTTTTATCATAAATTTCAATGTTTTATAGCTCGAATACGTAACTGTTAACTTGAATATGTAGCGAGGATATTATTTAATATTTTTCCATTCAGCGAAAAATTGAAAGTATGTAAAGCATGTAAACAATATTTCTCGACTGGTCATGCACCGGTGCATCCGACCATTTATCTTCGATCCGGCCGACTATGAAGCAAGCTTCGCTCCGAAATGGAAAAGAAAAACCTGAAGGAGAGTGAGAGTGCGCATACCCCGACCATTCTCGTTGTAAAACGTGTAATGACCTCCTTAATAGAGTATGTCCAGTTGTAAATTCATTCACTCTGTTCATCGGCGCGATTGAAAACGAACGTGAGCGATTCCTCGCGATGAGAGGCGCGTCCTTACGACGCACGTGCTTTCTATAACGCAATCACAGCGTCCCTTGTGAATGCACGCTGTGTACGGTACGTGCTTGTACCGGTGAAACTTTTTTACACCGTTTTTGTTTCCTCTTCCGACATTTCTCACAGTCGAATGCATAATCGTGTGAGGCATAACGCGCCGAATATCTGCGAGAATGAAGCGTGACGATGTACGGATGCACGCGCATGCTCTAATTTTGAACGAAGAAAATGAATATTTTAAAGTTGCAATTCTTTTTTTCATTGAAAATGGATTTAAGTATCAAGCTGATATTCTAAGTATTGCCTCTTTAACGGATCGATGACATTATGACATTTGGAAGATATGCAAGCTTATGCAATTTGTGCAGCAGATAAGACATACTTATTACATTTTAAAAATATACACTTTTGCTCTTTTAATGGCCTCTAAATGCATATTTTCTTCAAGGAAAAAATTAACGAGAGATAATTGATTGGTTCTGTCAGAAAAAAATATGTTTTTTTTTATCAAGATTAATAATTCTGGATTCTTTCTTTTTCGGATTTGCGACAATTTAATCAGTTCCTTAATGAGATGCAATCTCTATCTGGAAATAGAGCCAAAGTGATGTATCTTTATATGACATAAGACGATGAAGAGGTAAAGTAACACAGAAAAAGAAGGTGTAAAATAGCATGACTTTCGTAATCGATGGCGAGACATGCCGGTTCTCGGTCAGTGAACGTAACGGTGTTGAGACTGAAGGAGCGTATACATTCGTGAGAAGCGTATAGCCGCTGGCGAATATTTGCGCTTCTGCGATTATATACTCAAGTATCGTAATGTATGGATCACAGTAGCTGAATGTAGTAAATAAAGTTTGACGATCGAAGTTCGGAAAGAGGAAGCTGATCTTACGCTATTTACACTAAGAGTAATCAAGATATTGAAAAAAATTCGACATCAGTGTGAGAAAGTGTCACATACAAATTTATACATATATTTGTATAAAATTTTTCCGAAGAATCACAATACAATTTTGTGATACAAGTTTTCCAACAAGATACAAGATCAGACCTTTATTTATTACACGCGCGACGCGAGACTTTAATACGCCCCTTGATTAATTCGCGCGGTGTCCTAGTTCGCTGAATATCTTTTTCCCGAAATGGAAAATCGCAGTATAGAAAGCGATTTTCAATTATCTGGAGTAATGGAAATATTTTTGCGTAACTTCATCACCATAAATGCGTTGATCGCCGACAAATTGCTCATTCGTTGCAATTTTAAAATATATCTCGTTTCCCATTTTACGCGAATTATCGTCATATTCAAATGTAAATGTAATAACTAAATAGATTCTATCTTTCTCTTTCTCTCTTCAGAATTTATCATCAAATTTTGAGGGCTTTCATCAGCTTATCTTTTCAAAAATACATGAGATAATGTTCTATTGAGATCTCGCATTAAGTGACATTTTATTTTTAATTATTGTCAGTTGATGATTGTTACACGCAACGTTATGTCGTGCCATGTAAATTACATGAATCACGTAAGCCTTGTAACAGTTTACAATTCGATCGCTATAATAGTTGTTTGCACGGAAATGTTATATAGTACATAAGGGTGTTAATCGGAATTTATATAACTTGAAAAAACTTATTATGCCGGCATCGTTAACAACCACCGCAATATCACCGCAAAATATCATTCCCCGCAAAATTGCTCGATTCGTCGGCACGCTTCTCGATTTTCGAACGCGAAAATGTAGATATTACACGCCACGTTACATGTTTCTCAATATACTTTTCCGCGTCAGTTTCTTCTATTTCGTTATCTTTATTTATATCATACGTATGTATATCACATATCTACGTATACTGTCGCATTTTGACGGATATCCTCGATATTATGAAGTTCTTGAGTATGACACACAATATATGATTACAATGATCTTAATTGATGTTTAACTCTCTTTTTGGGCTAATTTTTATATAATTATGAGATTATTTTTTGAAACATAAACCGACAAATTTCACTGTTATTCAATATAAGAGAGACAAGAGACTACTTTCTTTTATATACATGAGTATCTACTTGATTGCTTTTTAATGAATGTCACCATGAGAATATTGTAAGATATTTAAAGCGCATAAATGACTGTACTAGTGGGACGTTTTTTATATAGAACTTTATTCGTTTCATTGGATTATTTATAGTTTCCACATGTTACGACATACGCACAATTAATACTTCTTTTTATAATTTCATTACTAATCATATATATGAAAATTATTATAAAACTTACATTTTTCTATAAAATAAAGGAAAGAAATGTTAAGTTTATTATTTTAAAAAAGATATTGATAAAGTGCTTAATGTTAATATTATTGCTATATATAATGCATTTTGAATTATAATTTCTCGATGTAATTTTTAAAAATGCGATGATGTGTCAAGAATAGCATTATATCTTGCCAATAAACTTGAGGGACAAATTATATTATATATTCAACAAGCAGAAGAGATCATATATAATACGATGATTGTAACGTTTCAAGGGAAAGGTGGATCGATCGCTTAATGCCAAGGTATAGCAAATTAATCTACACAAACCGACGGTTACAGCGTAGACCCATTTATTCGAAAGGACTATAATTAATTAAAATACATTGTAATTCATTGATTTTGAATAGCAGAAACATATTAATACATATTAAATACGGGAACGAACTTAAATATGCATTTATTTTATTATTAGTATAAATATCATTAATTTATCAATAGTAAGTCTATATAATATATATAATATATACATACATTTCAACAATAAAATAATTATGAAAACTACGTTGTTTTCTTTGATTGACAGACGTTCATCGACTGATTCATTATTAAAAATTTTTATATTTCTCATAATACATTTTAATGTATTATGTGAGAATTATATAATTAAAATAATTCTATAATTACATATTGAAAACAATAATATCGTCAAAAATTAATTCATATTTACTTGAAAGAATTTAATTCTTTATTATAAACAATTTTTCTTTCTTCCGACAAATATTAATTAAAATTGACGAATTTTTTATCCTTTTTTCTCGAATGTGATAGAATTAAAAAATAAAAATAATCGTATCAATCGTTTTCGCTTTTATTGTCGCGAAAAATATAAAGAAATCTTATTCTACAGCATTGAAATCGGCCAAAACTATACTGGTTTTTCGAGGTAGCTACGACAACACGAGACGAAAAAAATAAAACTTACCTTTCAAGGATGGCCACCCCGTCCTTCGAAAGATAATTGCTCGAATGGAGAACCCGCAGAACACAGAGCGCGAAAAAGATGCGACGAGAGATAGAGAACTGGTAGCTCGCGGTACCGCGATCAACGGCCGACTAGCCTGGTACCATTCCCCATCGCCGTGGTAATATTCGACAACTCTTCCACCACTTTCCTGCCGTCTCTCTTCTGCTTCGCACTTGTAGAAGCAGTTTCGGGAACTTACGTGATGGTGCGACTAGTTCCGTCACGAGGAGATTTCGTGGTGAAAACAAGAGGCAGTAATTAAACGATTAAATACTCATAAAGAATTTAATGGCGACGGAATTATCGGGGTGTATTATCATTCTAATGACCGACATTATTCTAGACGAGAGAAATATATCTATTAGATTGATACAATGTAGGGAGCAAATATCATGAACGATTGCTATTAAAAGAATAGCCATAAGAGAGGGAATTTATAGTAAAGTAAAATGGTTGAATATTGACATTAAGATTATCGTAATAAAATTTATATAAATGATTATGTAACAACTCAAGTATAAAAAATATTCCTAATATTAATAATAAAATTGCTGCTGAAAAAAGGTGTTGAATTTATAGAAGAAATATTAATAATAAAAAAGGAGGCTTAATTTATTAAAGAAATATTGAATGAAGGATATAAGTCTGAATTCAATTCGCTTATAACACGATTAGAAAAAAAACATCTTGTGTATGAATTTATTCCTTCATGTATAAATTTATTCATGTATAAATTGACTCCTTCCTGAACAATGTAGTTATTAAGACTATCATCCATTTAAAACTCGTGAAATACCGTAGTTTTTGCTATCATTGTATCGCATCCCCGGGTTGATAATTGTATAAATCCTGGCATCTACAGAAATAATCTTCGTCATGAAAGAGGAAGAGAAAATACAACGATAAAGAGGTAATAAAGAGCATTCAATTGCGTTCAAACGAAGTCGTTTCCCATCACGATTCCGTTATTTCGATACTATTGTCGTAGCTATCGTGACTTTAATATTCATTATACATTCATATGGTTCTCTCTCCTTCTTTCGTCATTATTATTACAAGCATAAGGAGATGCCTCGAGTATAATATTATCATACATTCGTTTCCTTGTCTGCCTTATCGAAAGGAAACGCGAATGGAATATCCGACTGAAACCGAAATTCGGAACCGGTTTGCATCTTTTGCAAGTCATGTATAACGACATAAAAATGAATTGCCATTTATCATGCCATTTACCATATGCAAAACATACCTGATTCCCCTCTTCGTTTAATGAAATGTTCAAAATCTTATTCAACGGAGATCCTTCATATTCGCGTTCTGATTTGTCGATGTCGTCAACGGATATTATGTCGTAAGGATAGTTTGCAAGGCCATAAAGTTTCTCGTCTCGAGAACTGTAATCGCTTTGTCCCGTTGTAACAGACGAATTGAACGTCGCAAGATTATCATTGGCCACGTAGTCCTGTATGGCTCGAGTATAATGGAGTAAATCATTATTACACCAATTCTCTAGCCTTACGGAAAATACAATGTGTCTAATCCCTTGAAGCGTACTCACGTCATAGTAATTGTCTGTTCTGTAAATATTTGGCGAAGTAATGTTTCTTTTTTCCATTGCGGGAAAATTTGTATAATAACCGGACAAATCATCGAAATAATTCGTCTTGGAGTTTTTTGCTATAATAGTTGCGGAATCGTTGATATGAGTACCAATCTTGTTGTCCACCATTGTCAAAATATTATCCTTTGAAGCTACCGTTGTATCTTAAATAAATTATATTTCTATTTTCCTCAAAACACATTTTTCTTCAAATAAAAAGAATTTAAGTTTATAAAAAAATGTTAAAACAATTTATTATGGAAATAAAATATTCAAATAAATAATAATTAATCGAAAATTACTTAGATATTTTAAATAGAATTTTTATTGTAATAGCCATCCTCAGCTAACGTGAATACCTATAGATGTTATTTCTGGCAAGGATATTAAAACTGCCGCTTTGTTAAAAGGATAAGTGAAAAACGGAAAGAATTGCCCTCGTTCCCTCGTATCCTCGATGAGGATTACCGGTTCGTATGGCGGCAATAAAATCTTATACGGCTCTTGTGGCGCGTGATATCCCCATGCGTCGCCATTTTCGTCGTCCTTTATTTCCAACAATACCGTGCGATACGAATTTTTTATCCAGATCGGATAATTTTGTCTGATAAAATTAATGCCTTCCAACACCATGGGAAATGACAATGCGTCTTTGCTCGCTATATAGATCTCTTTTTGTATCTCTAATTGCTTCATATCACGCGACGTAGTTGACTCTGTCCTTTCTTCGACAAGTAAATTAGTCGGAAAAGTTGCACTCGACAAGTCAGCGAATTTAGAAGTAGTCTAGAAAAATGTAAATGTTCCATAATTTTCAAAGAAACGATTTATTATATTTTTATTATATTTAACAAATTTATTATATCTTTTATGAATACCTCAGTGATATTGTTTGTTGATAGTTTATTATAATTCCACCAAGATTGAGGATAAGGCAGCGTCGATTTGAATGATTTTGTGATTATATTTGATCTCGTCGTTACGGCTTGTCGATGAGTCAATAAAATTTCCGTGTCATGTTTTCTGTGTAAAGAATGCAATAAAGTCGCAATTTGCAAAATAAATATCAAGCTAACATCCATAATACTGATTTATGGCATTAGCAAGAAATGTTCGTGATCAACTTACGTGGGTGTCGTATGACGTAAACTTGATGTTCGCGTTGAAGTCGTCAAAGTCGGCTGAAAAGATAAACGAATCTTTAAACTTTAATCTTTGAATTTTTTTCGAGGTCTTTAATTCGTAAAGTATTTTCACCTTTTTCCCTGTAATTGGAAAACTCATCTGTGAATTATTTTTTCTTTCCAGTTCTTGACGAGTCAGTTCGCTTTCCATTTGTATCAAGGTTCTTATGATCGGGGGTTGCTCGATGACCTACATTTGTTTATTTCAAAATCTATTTAGTAAATATTTTTAGTGGTTTCGCGTCGAACATTGATTGTTAGAATTCAAGAAAGGACTAAATTAAATTGATATCGAAACAGAAATATTTTTCGCTCTCGTATTTTTGCTCCACGGAATTAAACAGTAAATCTGTCGCGCATGTTTCTCACAAATATTAAAGTTTAAGAAATAAATTACCTTGTTATTCGTATTCGCGTCGGGTTGGACAGACGATATCACAAATGCACGACACGATCTCTCGACGGTACAGTCAAAACCTTTGCAAAAACCTGTAATTCGTACTACGCATTTTTGCGATCGCGGACAGATCCAGCCGTGGCAGTGCTTGTTGATTAACTCGTCTTCTACAAAAAGAAAGAATCATTGAGTCATTATTTTCATAAATGAGTGAGTGCGCAGAGTTTTCATCGCAAACAGACCGACAGTGAGTGTGCAATCAGGTGTATGCGCACACCATGAATCACGGCAATTGTTTCCTGGTCGTCGTAAGAAACACTCGTACTTGGAGGTGCAGTTCAATTTTCTACATTCATCGAACCAAATCTCCGCGTCTGCAACAGTTCGTTTTTATTATACAGCCGGATACTGCATAATTTTTTGTAAATTTCTCGAGCGAGTATCCTGATCAAATATGTTAAAGAAGTAAATTCAAATAAATTCATGAAAATATTAATTGAGAAAAAAATCCAGTTGTATTCATTTATTGATGGACCTGTTGCGTTCACGCAGCTTCTGATGAGCTTGCAGGGTAGATTGACGCAATAGATTTCTCGCAAGATGCAGCGTTTTTCGGAAGGACACTTGAAACCGGCGCAGGAAGCTGCACCCTCGTAATATTCCTTCTCTGATACGCAGCGCGCTATTTGTTGCTTGCATTCTGAAAAACACATGCACATTTTGACTAGTACATCTTCAAAAAAATGTAAATATAATTTAGCACCTTCATCCCAGTGGCAATCTCGAACTTTAACCATGCATACGTATCCTCTGCTGCAACGAACAGTGTCGCACGTTAAAGGTCCTTTAAGTGATTCTAAAAGTAAATAAAATTGCACACAATTATATATTTATACAAATATGTATATATTATCACAAATATGTGTATCTATACAAGTTGCATAATTATAACTATACAATTAATTTAGAATATTATAAATTGATTAAATAAAAGAAAAGTCAATCGAGTTATAGAAAGATAACCGAGAAATATTAAAATAAAAATGAGATAAGAAAATATATATTTCAGATAAGAGAGGATTCTCTTGGTATTTACCTTTTCTGGATTTGGAACAATATAACATTCCGGGACAAGGTGGATTTTTGCACCAAAATCTCCGCCTGATGCATCGACTGCCGTTCTCGCAACGTAAATGAGCGCATCCTTTCGAATATTCGTCTGTCAAATCTTCTGCTACAAGTTTTAAGGTAATTTTTCAGATTTAAAGCACATACTATACATAAAATTTTTTATTGAAATTTGAGAAAAACTTACTGTTTACGTAAAGATGTTCAAAATATAGAAGGAAAAAGAACCAAATTAAATGTCGAATAAAAATGTACTCGCGTCTCATGATGATAGTACCGATTGCACTTCGTTTACTTCAATACGTGGTGCACCTGTGCCGATGTATATATATAGTGTGCAATGTAAACGCGCGCTATTGTAACGAGAGCCACCGCATAGGAAACATTGGCATATTTTGTCAATACAGTAATTATCGTTAATGTTATATCTCGTTGAAAACAATTGTCATTATAGAAGTTGAAAAGAAATACAATTGAAAACTTGAAAAAATATGCATAAAATAAGTTTTACTTTACGCATATCTTTTGGAAATTTCTGGTACTTATAGAAGTTTCGCGTTTGTAGTGCTAAATTATTAATATTCTTATCATGCTAGATATGCAAGTCATTTTAATAAATATTTGAAACTTTTCTTTAATAATGTATAATTATATTATAAATAAAATATCGAGTATAGATATAATAACAGATTTAATATATATAACATAACAAACAAAATAACAAATTTAATCAAAAATTAACTTCATTTAATTAAATCTTTTAAAGATATTAAAAGATGTAAATTAGAATAAGACATACATAAATACATACTAAAGAAGTTGAGAATATTTACAAAACGCGCAAATAGTCTCTAATCAATTATGTATTGTCTTATCGTAATTCATCAAGACTTCCATATGTGAACAATAAAACTATAAATATATATTTATATATGTATATACTTATGTATATACTTATATATTTGTATATGTTTTTATTCTTCCTAGAAGCTGTTTAATCTCTGTATTTCTCTATATTACGTATAATTATTGATGATTAATGATTTTTCTCGTCCAAGCATGATTCTATTTGAATGCTTTGGAGAACATTAATGCGATTATTTTAACATAATGCAATCTTTGCTATAAGATAAAATTAATATTACAAGTCAAATTAAATGAGATGCATATTTTGTACATTAAATATTTTATTTTACAAAAGAACATTATGCACACACGACAAAGAGTTTATTTAATTTTTAAATACGAAAATATTTCTATGCATATGTCAATTACAGTTATGACAAATTAATTTAATTGAATAGCCTGTCGTAACTAAAAGGAGACATACACGACCGCCAAGAATGCAGTTGTAACAGTTTGGCGAGAACGCAGGTAAAACCAGCATTATAGTCTATCCTGACATTTGTATAATCAGGTTCGTATCGAATATCAAGGAACTCATCATTTTCATTAGGTCCGGAAACTAGAGCACCATAAAGAATCTGCGGATTCGATTCATTTTTCCTATATTGTTTCCATCCACACCACTTTGGTAAGTGCGGACAAGAAGATGCAATATGATACGGCTGTTGCGGTGAATTAATACCGTATCCAACCACGTAACTTCTTCCTAAAAATTGTACGAAAGTAAAAAAGTACCCAACAAAAATAAACAAAATTCGATTCAATCTATAAAAATCTAAATAATATTATTATTATGTAGAATATAAGCACTGAGTACAAACGTAATTTCTTTTTGAATACAAGATCATTTTTATTCAAGTTTTACCTGCTTTTAATCCCAGTATATAATCAATCTGTTCTTTGGCAAATTTGTAATATTGATGCGAGAGACCAATTTCATTATCCGCAGCTACCAAGCAAATAAAAGCTACATTAGCGGCATGAGAAAGAGTACCTAATTTATCGATATACAAAAGACCCTTAGGCGTGCGTGTCTGGTGATGCACTGAGAAGTTGCAAAAATCGCTAACAGCTATTTTATATTCCAATTTTCCTGTTAATTGAGCTAGCAACATCTATGAGAAATTAGAAAAAATTATGTTAATCGAAAAAAGCTAAAGATATTAAATAAGACGAGATACCTTCTCATTTAGTAAATTATAATTTATTAATTATTATTTATATTAATTTAATTTGCAATCGAAAAGATCTTAATTTAAAAAAATCTAAAATTGCCAAAAAATTAAAAATCTTGTCGAGCTAAGAGATAAATTATCACGATAAATATAATAAAAATCATATAAATAAACAAATTATTAAAGAGAGTCCTCGTTGTACCTGAACTCCGGCAATTTTGTTGTTATAGGAAAATTCATTCGGACGTTTCTCGAGATGGAAATCCTGGTAATGATTTTCGGCATCATTGAGATAATTGAAGTGTGAGTCCGCCTTGTGGAGCCAAATAGCAGCCCATGCTAGCTCGTCGCCGTAATCAGTGTTATTATAATATTTTTGCACATTTGGTATCCCTTTGTGATAAAAGTCACGATACAAATTGGCCAAAGTGTAAATTTCTCTCGCATGCTTGAGACATTTGGCGCTATACTCGGGATCGACTTTTTTGAAGACGATACTCGAAACTGCAAGAGCTGCTGCTGTTTCGCCGGCAACATCAGAGCCTACGATCGAATATATACAAATGAAGCAAAATAAATGCAATAACTGCGGATATAATAAATAAATCGAATAATTACATGTATAAAATACATTATACATTTACATGTATCTCACAATATATTTTTTATTCATCTTTTTATCTTTTAAACAAATTATAAATATTTTTTATGTATAGATTTATTTCACATATATACCAGGATGTTCCGGATTGATTTTGTAGGCTGGTCTGTACATGTCATATGGTAGCTCTTCGGGTCTCCCCCAAAACGTTTCAGTCAAATAAAATTCGCCTACTTGTCCGTACAATTCGTTCTCCTTTACGTGACACTTGATGAAGTAATCCGTAGCCCATTTGATAGTTGTACGGATTTCGTCGAGTTGATTAGCGATATTAAAAGCTTCCGGCCAACTGATCGCACCCCAAGCCAAAACTGTCGTCGTGAAAGCCATTGTGAAACCAAACTTTACATAATTATGACCTGAACAAAGAGAACAAGCGTGATATTTCGCGAAATAATTTGTACGGTTTTTCATTGTCTGATAAATCATTGTACGTCATTAATCCGCCAAACAAGGATACATTTTCGTATCATTCTTTATATAGACATTTACAAATTTAAATAATTTTATCGAACAATTTTCCTATTATTTTTTTTAATTCTCCAAGCGATGTAAAGGTTTATTACCATCATAGTATCCTCCGGTTAGATCCTCATCCTCCCAACCAGCATCCTGCAATGCAGAATCGTCTCGCCATGGGATTCTATTGTTTCTTAATTCCCCAGAACGCTGCGCTTCATAAAACAACATTGAAAGCTTCAAGACTTTGTAATAATCTTTCTTGTCGCCGTCGAAACTTACTTCTTCAATGTCGAAACTTACATCTTCAATGTCCTCATGTATATCATAGGCATTTATCCTATACGTTAGGGTAATCAATAATGCCAGTAGAATCTGTCAACAAATAACACATTAACTGGCGTTTAATACTATCATCGATTGCAAAAGCGTTCTCCAAGAACACATGTAATGGTGATTTTACAATGCACCAAAAACAATGTAGGGTAAAATCTTAAAATGTAAAATCTTAAATGTTGCATGTAGTCTACAGTCTTATGACATAATCTGCGCGATGAAGGTTACGAAAAGTAAAGTCGATTGCTCGTATTATAAGTTGAAGAAGGCGATGAAGAAAATTCTCGATCGTGGTGCTAAACATTTCCCAATTTGGATGGACGATCGAATTTTAATGATTTTACATTGCATAATGCCAAGAAACTAATTTACGACGATAATAAAATATGAGAATAAATATGAGAATTGATATTTCTTGATGATCACTTTCTTGGCTTATTCAATTTACATAAATTTTTCGAAAAGTAAAATATTGCGATCGTATCGATTGCTTAAAAAACTATACAGAATGATGACTATAAAAAAAATTTCTCCATCTCATTTTCTTGTTTCTATTTACTTTAATTAGGTGTCTTTCCGATAGAAGTTTTTCCGATTTATTTCGAGCAAAAAAGTATCGAATAACTTCAAACAGATACAATGTACTTGAAAATTCAAGTGTATTATAAGTACATGTATTGAATGATCGCCAATATTAACAGTTTGACAGTTAGATAAATATTTGTTAATATATGTGTTGTGAGATACAGATCTTAAAAAACGATAATATAGATAAGATTCAAACAAGATAATTTAATTTTTTAAATTTATTACTATATTATATTTAAATTTATTACTATATTATTATTATTTATTCCGTTTATATTTGCGCTGAAGATGACCCACAAAAAAAGGGTCGAAACGTTCGCAATCCACTCATATGTATATTTATTAAATGAATGTTTTTATATGATTGTTTCTTTATATAATAAATAATAGTGTAATAATATCGACATTAGACTCATATTGCCATTTGTACCAATTTATATATTTAATTTTATATTCGTGAGTTTGACATTTTTAATAATTTAATTTAATAAATTTTTGTTATCGATAAATATAATATTTTTTTTTTAAATGAAATCTCTAAAAAATATCATTTCTCATATTATTAATTTATATTGTGCAATTGTTATAATTTAAGCGAATTTAATTTTCTCTTTCCCCCTCGTTTATTTTCATTTTATTTAAATATCTAAGACAAATCTCTATTTATTTAAATATCTAAGACAAATCTCTAAGACAAAACCGTCACGAATCTATTTCATGAATATGAGACATCGACGTAAGAATATACAGAGTTTGGAAGCGCGTTTAATCCAGCTTCCTCGTTGTCAAAGATTTCTTCAGCTTTCCCAGAAATTCTCAGTTCGTCGATCATGTAATTTCTGTATGATAAACGTCAATAGCTTCCGCAAACACCGGTCTTATTGTAAATTCATGTATTTCTATTGCATGGAAACTTCTTCCGCGGAACGTTTTTGAAACATGCTCGAAGTTATTAAAGCGCATATAAATTTCGCTCAGCCGATTGCAAAGTCTGAGAAACGAATATATAATGGCGATAATATTATACAAATAAATAGTAATAAGGACACGCTAAGAAAAAAACAAAAAAAAGTCGACATTCCGGTAAGATTTTCGTCAACATGAAAAAAAAATATTACAAAAAAAGATAATAATAATTCATCGAATATATCATTGTTACTTTTCAATAAAAATCATAAATTTCCGTTGTTTAAAATTAGCAAATTATTAGTGATTATAGATTAATAATAAAGGTTTTCAGAAAATCATTTAAAGGTTTATTTTTTCCCGTAATTTATTACGTGTTTATTTGCATTCTTATGTCCCTCCTTCACGCACATTTTTTCGCAACGCATGTTCAAACATTCTAGCGTGACAATGCAACGGGCTATATTTAATATATAATTTCGAATCACAACATTAACGATTATTGACAAAAAAACTCACCGTGACGTAGACAAAGAGACTGAATTTCATTTTGTCGTTGCGATGCTGTCGTCCCGGAAGATCTCTAAAACCAAAAATAGATAACAATTTCCATAAATATTCCAATTATTTTATAAATATTATTATTGAAGAATAAAGTCTACAGCAATTATGAATTAAATAAAACAATAAACCTGAGAAACTGAAACGTTTTATGTATTTCAATAAATTTTTATTAATTCGATAAATAAATGCATTTTTTCGAAGATTATTACTTTTATTTGTAAAATGAGAAAATTGATGTAAAACGTGTGTAGTATTTTAAAATAATATCGAAATTTAAACTCACTGCAATTATAAATTCGTTATCTGTTGATTTGAATCCACTTACAATGTCACGATCTCGACGAAAATTCATGAGAAATTGAAAGATCTCAAGTTTGGCAATCGAAGTCTTTCTGTTTCCTCTCTTAAGTCTTTGTGTTTCTTACGTTATATTATGTTTTGCAAACAAAGTCAAACTTCTCGAACCGTCGGTATTCATACCTACAACGAAACAATTATAAATATAGCAATTTATATTCGCTCTATTCTTATTCTATCCCTTTATACAGGGTGACCCATTTTAACTTAGGCAGCCAAATAACTCGAAAAATAAGCACACTACGAAAAAATGGTTAGAATCAAAATTTCGTCATTTCGAGGGGGACGTACAATGACGTTAAAATCAGCCCCCCTATCCCTCCCCCTGGGCGGTGAGGGGGGGCAAGTTTGAAATCTTAAATGGAACCCCCTATTTTTCATTGCATATTCTTGTAGCTTATCTCGAGAGCTTTCCAAAACACTATAATTAAGTACCTTTTTATTAAGTACTTTATAAGGCTTGAAATAATTTCTTAATTTTACATAAACTATAAAATATCTAGTAAACCATTCATTTTTCGATTATCTTACCTTCATACTTTTATGTACAAAATAATGAGAGGAATCAATTGGTGTAAAGAAAACACATAGTTGTTTCTAAGAAAAAATATGTAATTCGCAATTAACAATTCCATATTTTTTCTTAAAAACAACTGTATGTTTTCTTTACACCAATTGATTCCTCTCATTATTTTGTACATAAAAGTATGAAGGCAAGATAATCGAAAAATGAATGGTTTACTAGATATTTTATGGTTTATGTAAAATTAAGAAATTATTTTAAGCCTTATAACTCAAAAACTTAATAAATTAATAAAAAGGTACTTAATTATAGTGTTTTGGAAAGCTCTCGAGATAAGCTACAAGAATATGCAAAATAGGGGGTTCCATTTAAGATTTCAAACTTGCGCCCCCTCACCGCCCAGGGGGAGGGGTGGGGGGGGGCTGATTTTAACGTCATTGTACGTCCCCCTCGAAATGACGAAATTTTGATTCTAACCATTTTTTCGTAGTGTGCTTATTTTTCGAGTTATTTGGCTGCCTAAGTTAAAATGGGTCACTCTGTATATACATTTAATGTAATTATTCTAATTTTTTATTATTTTGTTTCGTTAATTTTCTGTACATTTATATATGTAAAAGAATTTTTAGAATCCATCCATTCTCATAAATTTGACATATACAAAAAATTGATTAACTTATGTTGTATACATATGCATAATCGTCGCCTGTAGCTTTTATTGAATTGAATGATTTCTTATTGAATGAATTCTTATTGAATCTTTTTTTGGGTCGTTCCACTTCGAGATAAATTAATGATTAGCAATCAGCATCATAGTTGGCGTTAAAAAGACATTTTTTTGTTCTGTAATTCATACACTTTGTGTCTTATCAAGGTTTCCGAAATTCTACCTTTTCTAACGTGCAACTTTGATTATAAACTTGTTATAATAACATGTAATAATGTATAGATTTTTTGTCAAAGAGATTTTTTTTCACAAAAAATGAAAATTATATGTATTTGTTGTATTTATTGTACGAATCGTTTATAAAAAATATGCAGAATTTGCGCAAGAATACATCTATGAAGAGAATCTAGTTTGGAAAATTAACGATAATTTATAAATATTAACGAGAATTTATTCAATTTTAATTCAATTATTTGTAAGCATTTGTTTTTGATTGCGAGATTGTATTAATATAATCGAAATGAAAGGGATGTTAATGAAAGATTTTGAATAGAAAATAGAACTAGCTCAAGTAAAAAATTTATCATTATTTGATTTTTAACATTTCATATTTGTTTAAATAGAAAATCTACTATTTATTTGATTTGAATATTATTACATATTTTAATAATGACATAATCACGATAATAATAAATTTGACAATAATGTTGAACAATATTGATTTGAATATACTTTCGTGAAATATCATGTATTATTTTTGTTTCATCGAGATGTTATTTTTCTTTTCGTATGTTTGTTATAAAAAATAGTTATTAATAAAATTTTTTAAAATATATCAATTACTTATTATATTTAAAAAAATAAAAAATATTTTCGAGATGGAATTTTATCATTGATATAATCTTACATATATAAAAATATTATTCATACATATTTCAACTACATAAATTTGTCAGAAACATTAAAATTTCAAATTAATATAATTTCATGCATATATATTATATATTTCAACGAAAATCATCGGTATTATTCAAGAGTTATTATAATTATGCGACAAGTAAAATTTTTATACAAATAACTTCTCTGTTTTCAGTATTTTAATCAAAATTTTATTAAATTATAATCATTGTTATAATTAATACGATTTGATTTATTTAAAAAAAAGTATAGTCTAATTATGTAACAAGAATGCTTCATGTTTGATGTAAATTAACTGACGCAAAAAAGATTAATATATTTTGTACATTTTTGTTTATAAAATATATCGAGTAATAATAGATTTAATATATATAAAATAACAGACGTAAAATAACAGATTTAATCAAATTAACTTAATTTAATTTAATTAATCTTTCAAAGATATTAAGAGATGTAAATTAGAATAAAAGACATACATAAATACATACTAAAGAAGTTGAGAATATTTACAAAACGCGCAGATAGTATCTAATCGATTATGTATTTTCTTATCGTAATTCATCATAACTTCCATATGTGAATAAAAAAGCATATGTATATACCTATTTATGTATATACTTATGTATATATTTATATATTTATATATGTTTTTATTCTTCTAGAAGTCGTTTAATCTCTCTTGTTCTTTATGCTATATATAATCATGATTAATAACTTCTCTCGTCTAAGCATGTTTCTATTTGAATGCTTTGGAAGATATTATGTAGTTATACGATATTTCAATATAATATCTTTACTATAAGATAAAATTAATATTACAAGTCAAATTAAATGAAATGCATATTTTGTACATTAAATGTTCAATTTTACAAAAGAACATCATGCACACACGACAAAGAGTCTATTTAATTTCTAAATACTGAAATATTTCTAATATATATGTCAATTACAGCTATGACGAAATAATTTGATTGAATAGCCTGTCATAACTAGAAGGAGACATACACAACCTCCAAGAATGCAGTTGTAACAGTTTGGCGAGCACGCAGGTAAAACCAGCATTATAATCTATCCTGACACCCGTATCCTGAGGATAGTATCGAAAATCAGAAAACATATCCTTTTCATCAGGTCCGGAAACTAGAGCACCATAAAGAAAGTGCGGATTCTGTATATTATTTTTATAACGGAAAAATTCGCACCGATCGTGTGAGTACCGTTTGGTCGGACAAGAAGATGCAATATGATGCGGCTGTGACGGATTACGAGCACCATATCCGACCACGTAACTACTTCCTAAAAATTGAACAAAAGTAAAAAAAATCCATCAAAAATAAAAAAATATCGAGTCAATCTATAGAAACCAATAAAAGAATATTATTATTATGTAACATATAAGCGTCGAATACAAACGTAATTTCTTTTTGAATACAAGATCATTTTTATTCAAGTTTTACCTAGTTTGAAACCCAGTATATAATCAATCTGTTCTATGGCAAATTTATAATATTGATGTGAGGAACCAATTTCATAATCCGCAGCTTCCAAGCAAATAAAGGCTATATTAGCGGCATGAGAAAGAGTACCTAATTTATCGATATACAAAAGACCCCTAGGCGTGCGTGTCTGGTTATGCACTGAGAAGTTGCAAAAATCGATAACAGCTTTTTTATATTTCAACTTTCCTGTTAATTGAGCCAGCAACACCTACGAAAAATTAAAAAAAATTATATTAACCACAGGACAAAAAGCTAAAGATACTAAATAAGACGAGATACCTTCCTATTTAGTAAATTATTATTCATAATTTATTTTGCAATCGAAAAGATCTTAATTTAAAAAATCTAAAATTGTCTACAAAATTAAAAATCTTGTCGATCTGAGAAATAAATTATCAAGCTAAATATATAATAAGAATCATGTAAATACATAAATAAGTTATTGAAGAAAGTCATTGTACCTGAACTCCGGCAATCTTGTTGTTATAGAAAAATTCATTCGGTCGTTTCTCGAGATGGAAATCCTGGTAATGATTTTCGGCATCATTGAGATAATCGAAATGTGGTTCCGCCTTATGGATCCAAATAGCAGCCCACGCTAGCTCGTCGCCGTAATCAGTGTTATTAAATAATTTTCTTTTTATTTTCCTATTGTTGTAAGTTTCATATTCTATCTCATCTGGTATCCCTTTGTGCACAAAAAAGCCACGATAACGTTTGGCCAAATTGTAAATTTCTTTCGCATGCTTGAGACATTTGGCGCTATACTCGGGATCGACTTTTCTGAAGACGATACTCGCAGCTGCTAGAGCTGCTGCTGTTTCGCCGGCGACATCAGAGCCTACGATCGATTAATTACACATCAAGCAAAATAAATGCAATAACTTCGTATATAATAAATAAATCGAATAATTACATGTAAAAAATACATTATACATTTACATGTATCCCACAATATATTTTTTATTTATCTTTTTATCTTCTAAATATATTATAAATATTTTTTATGTATAGATTTATTCACATATATACCAGGATGTTCCGGATCAATTTTGTAGGCTCGTCTCTTCGTATTTAGTATCTCCTCGGGTCTCCCGTAAAAATCTTGAATCAAATAAAATTCGCCTACTTGTGCATACAATTCGTTCTCCTTTACATGACATTTGATGAAGTAATCGGTAGCCCATTTGATAGCTTTACGAATTTCGTCGAGTTGATTAGCGATGTTAAAAGCTCCCGGCCAACTGACCGCACCCCAAGCCAAAACTGTCGTCGTGAAAGCCATTGTGAAACCGACCTTTACAAAATGAAAACCTGAACAAAGAGAACAAGCGAGATATTACGCGAAGTAAATTGTACGTTTTTCATTGTCTGATAAATTATTGTATCGTCATTAATCTGCCAAACAAGAATACATTTTCGTATCATTCCTTTTATAAATATTTACAAATTTAAATAATTTTATTGAATAATAATTTTTCTGTTCTTTTTTTCAATTCTCCAAGTGATTTAATGGTTTATTACCATCATAGTATCCTCCAGTTAGATCCTCACCCTCCAAACCAACGTCATGCAATGCAGAATCGCCTCGCCATGGGATCCTATTCTCTTTTGGTAATTTCCCAGAACGCTGCGCTTCATAAAACTGCAATGAACGATTCAGGACTTCGCCATACACTGTCTTGTAGTCGTCGAAACTTACTCCCTCCATGTAATTCATATAATTTAAACGATATATTTTATCATAGGTTAGGGTAATTATTTCTCTATACGTTGCGGTAATCAATAATGGCAGTAGAATCTGTCGACAAATAACACATTAACAGGCGCTTAATATCATTATCGAATAGCAAAGCGTTCTAAGAACATGTGTAATGATGATTTTACAGTGTACCGAAAAAAATGTAAAGCAATGTCGTGTAAAGTCTTAAATTTTGCATATAGTCTACAGTCTTATCATATAATCCGATGAAGATTTACGTAGTAGTAAGTAAAGTCGATTGCTCGTATTACGAATTGAAAACGCGATAAAGAAAATTCTCGAGCGTGGTGCTAAACATTTCCAATTTGGATGGACGATAGAATTTCAATGATTTTACATTGCATAACGCCATGAAACTAATTCACGACGATAATAAAATAAATATGAGAATTAATATTTCTTGATGATCACTTTCTTGGCTGATTCAATTTACGTAAATTTTTCGAAAAGTAAAATATTGCGACCGTATCGATTGATTATAAAAAATCTACACAGAATAATGCCTATAAAGAAAATTTCTCCATCTCGGATCTTCTTTCTTTCTACTTTAATTGGGTGTCTTTCCGATAAAAAGTTTTTCCGATTTATTTCGAGCAAAAGAGTATCAAGTAATTTTTTTCAAACAGATACAATGTACATAAAAATTCAAGTGTATTATAAGTACATGTATTTAAATGATCGCCGATATTGACAATTTGACAGCTAGACAAATTTTCGTTAATATATGTGTTGTCAGATAAAAGTCTTAAAGAAAGGTAATATAGATAAGATTCACACCAGATAATTTAATTTGTCAAGAATTATACTTTTTTACTAGAGCAGAAGGAATTTGAAAATTGTTTAATTTATTAAATTTTTGTTATCGACAAATATAATATTTTTTTCTAAATAAAATCACTAAAAAATATCATTTCTCGAATTATTAATTTATATTGCGCAATCGTTATAATTTAAGCGAATTTTATTTTCTGTTTCTCCTTCGATTATTTTCATCATTTTATTTAAATGTATGTCTAAGACAAAACCGTCACAAATCTATTTCATGAATATGAGACATCGATATGAGAAAGAACAGAATTTGGAAACGCGTTTGTTCCTGCTTCCTCGTTGCCAAAGCGTTCTTCAACTTTCCAAGAAATTCTCAGTTCGTCGACCGTGTAATTTCTGTACGATAAGCGTCAATAGCTTCGGCAAATATCAGTCTTATTGTAAATTCGTGTATTTCTATTGCATAAAAATATCTTTCGCGGAACGTTTTTAAAACATGCTCGAAGTTATTAAAGCGCATATAAATTTCGCTCAGCCGATTGCAAAGTCTGAAAAACGAATATATAATGGCAATAATATTATAAAAATAAATAGTAATAAGAACACGATAAGAAAAAGGTCGACATTCCGGTAAGATTTTCGTTAACATGAAAAAAAATATTACAAAAAAGAAACAATAATAATTCATCGAATATACAATTGTCACTTTTGAATATCATAAATTTCCATTGGTTAAAATTAGCAAATTATTAGTGATCATAGATTAATAATAAATGAATTAATAATGAAGGTTTTCAGAAAAACTTTTAAGAGTTTATTTTTTCCTGCAATTTATTACGCGTTTTTTTGCACTCTCCTGTCTCTCCTTCACGCACATTTTTTCACACGCAACGCATGTTCAAACATTCTAGCGCGACAATGCAACAACCATAATTAATATATAATTTCGAATCACAACATTAACGATTATTGACAAAAAAACTCACCGTGACGTAGACAAAGAGACTGAATTTCATTTTGTCGTTGCGATGCTGTCGTCCCGGAAGATCTCTAAAATCAAAAATAGATAACAATTTCCATAAATATTCCAATTATTTTATAAATATTATTATTGAAGAATAAAGTCTACAGCAATTATGAATTAAATAAAACAATAAACCTGAGAAACTGAAACGTTTTATGTATTTCAATAAATTTTTATTAATTCGATAAATAAATGCATTTTTTCGACAATTATTATTTTTATTTGTAAAATGAAAAAATTGACGTAAAACGCGAGTAGTATTTTAAAATAATATCGAAATTTAAACTCACTGCAATTACAAATTCATTATCTGTTGGCCAAATTTCTAATCCATTTACAATGTTTCGATCTCGACGAAAACACACGAGAAATTGAAAGATCTCAAATTTGGCAATCGAAGTCTTTCTGTTTCCTCTGTTAAGTCTTTGTGTTTATTATGTTTTATTATGTTTTGCCGACAAATTCAAACTTCTCGAACCGTCGGTTTTTATACCTATAACGGAACACAACAATTTATATTGGCTCTATTTATATTCTATCCCTTTGTACATACGTTTAACGTGATTATTCCAATTTTTTATTATCTTGTTTCGTTAATTTTCTGTACATTTATATATGTAAAAGAATTTTTAGAATTCATCCATTCTCATAAATTCGACATATACGGAAAATCGATTAACTTATGTTCTATACATATGCATAATTTTCGCGCGTAGCTTTTATTGAATTGAATGAGTTCTTATTGAATAAATTCTTATTGAATCCTTTTTTTGATCGTTCCACTTCGAGATAAATTAATGATTAGCAATCAGCAGCATCAGTTGTCGTCAAAAAGACATTTTTTTGTTCTGTAATTCATACACTTCACGTCTTACATCAAGGATTCCGAAATTCTACCTTTTCTCACATGCGACTTTAATTATCAACTTGTTATTATAACATGTAATAATGTATAGATTTTTTGTCAAAGAGATTTTTTTCACAAGAAATGAAAAATATATGTATTTGTTATTGTACGAATCGTTTATATAGAATATGGAGAATTTGCGCAACAATGCATCTATGAAGAGAATCTATTTTGGAAAATTAACGATAATTTATAAATATTAACGAGAATTTATTCAATTTTAATTCATGTATTTGTAAGCACGTATTTGATTGCGAGATTGTATTAATATAATTCTCGAAATGAAAGGGATATCAGTGAAAGATTTCGAATAGAAAATAGAACTAGCTCAAGTAGAAAATTTATCATTATTTAATTTTTAACATTTCGTATTTGTTCAAATAGAAAATCTGATATTATTTGATTTCTGAATATTATTACATATTTCAATAATGATAATATAATCACGTGTGAATAATGATAATAAATTTGATAATAATGTTGAACAATATTAATTAGAAAAAACGTAATTTAAATCGTCCACACTAATTTAAATCGACACAAATTACGTTCTTTTATTTTCTACTGGCGACATTCAAGAATTTAATATTATTAATATTGATTTGAATATACTTTCTTGAAATATCATGTATTATTTTTGTTTCATCGAGGTTTTCTTTTTCTTTTTGTATGTTTGTTATAAAAAATAGTGACCTTATTAATAAAATAATTTTTATATAAAAATAACTTCTCTATTTTCGGTATTTTAAACAAGGTTTTATTAAATTATAATCAATGTTATAATTAATAGGATTTGATTTATTTAAAGAAAACAGTATAGTCTTATTATGTAACAAGAATGCCTCATGTTTGATGTAAATTAACTTATATATCGAATATAATATATCGAATATACATATAATCATAGATTTAATATATATAAAATAACAGACGTAAAATAACAGATTAAATCAAATTAATTTAATTTAATTAAATTAATCTTTCAAAAATATTAAGAAATGTAAATTAAAAAAAGACATACATAAATACATACTAAAGAAGTTGAGAATATTTACAATACGCGCAGATAGTGTCTAATCGATTATGTATTTTCTTATCGTAATTCATCATGACTTCCATATGTAAATAAAAAAGCTTACATATATACCTATAAATGTATATACTTATATATATTTATAAATGTATATACTATATATATATTTATATATTTATATATGTTTTTATTCTTCTGGAAGTTGTTTAATCTCTGTTTTTCTCTATGCTATGTATAATCATGATTAATGACTTCTCTCGTCTAAGCATGTTTCTATTTGAATGCTTTGGAAGACATGCTATTATACGACATTTCAATATAATGCTATCTTTACTATAAGATAAAATTAATATTACAAGTCAAATTAAATGAAATGCATATTTTGTACATTAAATGTCCAATTTTACATAAGAACATCGTCCACACACGATAAATAGTCTATTTGATTTCTAAATACGGAAATATTTCTATACATTTGTCAATTACAGCTATGACAAATTAATTTCATTGAATAGCCTATCGTAAGTAGAAGAAGACATACGTATCTCATAACAAAGCAGTTGTAACAGTTTTGCGAGCACACAAGTAAAACCAGCATTATAATCTAACCTTACACTCGTATAATCACCGTCGTGTCGATTATCAAAAAAGTCATCATTTTCATCAGGTCCGGAAACTAGAGCACCATAAAGAACCTGCGGATTCGCTATAGTTTGGTTATATTCTTGCAATCTACAGAACTTTGGTCTATCCGGACAAGAAGATGCAATATGATGCGGCTGTTGCGGTGAATTAACACCATATCCGACTACGTAACTTCTTCCTAAAAATTGTACGAAAGTAAAAAAGAATCCAACAAAAAGAAACAAAATTCGATTTAATCTATATAAAAACCTAAATAATTATTATTATTATGTAGAATATAAGCGGTGAGTACAAACGTAATTTCTTTTTGAATATAAGATCATTTTTATTCAAGTTTTACCTGCTTTTAATCCCAGTATATAATCAATCTGTTCTTTGGCAAATATATCATACTGATGCAAGGGACCAATTTCATAATCCGCAGCTTCCATGCAAATAAAGGCTATATTAGCGGCATGAGAAAGAGTACCTAATTTATCAATATACAAAAGACCCTTAGGCGTGCGTGTCTGATAATACATTGAGAAGTTGCAAAAATCGATAATAGCTTTTTTATATTTCAATTTTCGTGTTAATTGAGCTAGCAACACCTACGAGAAATTAGAAAAAATTATTTTAACCGAAAGACTAAAAGCTAAAGATATTAAATAAGACGAGATATCTTCTCATTTAATAAATTAATATTTATAATTTATTTTGCAATTGAAAAGATCTTAATTTAAAAAATCTAAAATTGTCTACAAAATTAAAAATCTTGTCGATCTGAGAAATAAATTATCAAGCTAAATAAATAATAAAAATTATATAAATAAATAAGTTATTGAAGAGAGTCATTGTACCTGAACTCCGGCAATCTTGTTGTTATAGGAAAATTCATTTGGTCGTTTCTCGAGATGGAAATTCTGATAATGATTTTCGGCATCATTGAGATATTCGAAGTGTGGTTCCGCCTTGTGGAGCCAAATAGCAGCCCACGCTAACTCGTCACCGTAATCAGTGTTATTGTAAAATTGTTTCGCACTTTTTCTATATCTTTGTACCGTTTCGTGATAAAAGCCACGATAATGATTGGCCAATATGTAAAGTTCTTTCGCATGCTTGAGACATTTGGCGCTATACTCGGGATCGATTCTTCTGAAGACGAGACTCGAAGCTGCGAGAGCTGCTGCTGTTTCGCCGGCAAGATCAGAGCCTACGATCGAATAAATACAAATCAAGCAAAATAAATGTAATAATAAAGAAATCAAATAATTGCATGGAAAGATGCATTATGCATTTACATACATATCTCACAAAATATTTTGTTTTTATTTCTTTTTTATGTTCTAAATAAATTATTTTTAAAAAATATATTTTTTATATACAGGTTTATTCACATATATACCAGGATGTTTCGCATCGATTTTGTAGACTGGTCTAAAGGTGTTACGTGACATGTCTTCGGGTCTTCCGAAAAATATTTCATTCAAATCAAATTCGCCCACTTGTCCATACAATTCGTTCTCGCTTATGTGACATTTGATAAGGTAATCGGTAGACCATTTGATAGTTTTACGAATTTCGTCGAGTTGATTAGCGATATTAAAAGCTCCCGGCCAACTGATCGCACCCCAAGCCAAAACTGTCGTCGTGAAAGCCATTGTGAAACCGAACTTTACATAATTATGACCTGAACAAAGAGAACAAGCGTGATATTTCGCGAAATAAATTGTACGGTTTTTCATTGTCTGATAAATTATTGTATCGTCATTAATCCGCTAAACAAGGATACATTTTTGTATCATTCCTATATAGGCGTTTACAAATTTAAATAATTTTGTCGAACAATTTTCCTGTTATTTTTTTCAATTCTCCAAGCGATATAGTGGTTTATTACCATCATAGTATCCTCCGGTTAAATCTTCATTCTCCCAACCAGAGTCATACAATGCAGAATCGCCTCGCCATGGGATCCTATTCTCTCTTGGTAATTTCCCAGAACGCTGCGCTTCATAAAACATCAATGAAAGATTCAGGACTTTGGCATAATCGTCCTCGACTTGCTTAACATCTACTTCAAAGGCATTTATCCTATACGTTGAAGTAATCAATAATGCCAGTAGAATCTGTCAACAAATAACACATTAACAGGCACTTAATATTATCATCAAATGGCAAAAGCGTTCTCCAAGAGCATACATAATGATGATTTTGCAGTGCACGTACACCAAGAATAATGCAGAGCAATGTCGTGTAAAGTTTTAAATTTTACATATAGTCTACAGTCTTATAACATAATCTGTGCGATCAAGGTTTACGTAAAATAAAGTCGATTGCTCGTAATTTTACGAGTTAAGGAAAGCGATGAAGAAAATTCTCGAGCGTGACGCTAATCATTTCCAATTCAAACGACCAAATTTTAGCGATTTTGAACGACGATAATAAATATAAGAATTGATGTATTTTGATCATTTTATAACTTTTATCACTTTTCTCGACTGATCCAATTTACCTCAATTTCTCGAAAAGTAAAATATTGAGTATATTGTGATTGTATTGATTGTAGAATGATGCATACAAAAAAATCTCTATTTCGAACCTCGTTCTTGTTCTTCTTTTTATTACAACTAGAAATCTAGTTCCCCATTTTATTTCGAACAAAACTATCGAATAATGGACTTTAACAGACACGATGTACATAAAAATTCATATGTATTATAAATACATGAATGTATATGAATGATCGATGTTACAATAGTTTGAGCTAGAAAAATTTTCATTAAAATCCGTTATCAAAAGTCTTAAAGGAAGATAATATAGATAAACGTAGGATTCAAACCAAATAAAAGTAATAATTAAATTTTTTTATGAGTTATCTTTTTTAATTAGGCCGAGAGGAATTCGAAAATTGTTTAATTTGTTAAATTTTTGTTAACAAATATTAGTTTTTTTTAAATAAAATCTTTGAAATAAGAAATATCTCTCTCAAATCGTCTCTCAAATTATTAATTTATATTTCTCAATCGTTATAATTTAAGCGAATTTCTTTCTTTCTTTTTCTCTCTCGATTATTTTTGTCATTTTATTTAAATATATTTCTAAAACGAAATCGCCACGAAATAACTAATTCATGATTATGGGAAACCGATATATCTGAGAAAAAAGGAAAGAGTATGTTTAGAAGTGCGTTTGATCCCGCTTCCTCGTTGTCAAAACATACTTCAGCTTTCCAAGAAATTCACAATTCGTCGACCGTGTAATTTCTGTACAAACGCCAATAAGCAAATATCGGCCTTATTATGAATTTCTATATTTCTATTTGCGTGAGAAATTCTTTCGTGGAGCGTTTTTGAAACATATCCGAAGTATATCGCGTATAATTTCGCTTCGCCGATTGTAAAGTCTGAGAAACGATTATAATGGCGATAATATTAAAAAAGTAAATAGTAATAAAGACAGGCTAAGGAAAAAACAAAAAAAAGTCGACATTCCGTTAAGATTTTCGTCAACATGAAAAAATATTACAAAAAAAGACAATAATAAATCATCGAATATACAATTGTTACTTTTGAATATCATAAATTTCCGTTGGTTAAAATTAGCAAATTATTGAATTAGTGATCATAGATTAATAATAAATGAATTAATAATAAAGGTTTTCAGAAAAACTTTTAAGAGTATATTTTTTCCTGCAATTTATTACGCGTTTTCTTGCACTCTTCTGTCTCTCCTTTACGCGAATTTTTCCGCATGTTCAAACATTCGAACGTAATGTAATGTAACAGACATAATTCCAAGTTGCAACATCAGAGATTATTAATGAAAACGAACTTACCGTGACGAACATGACAATGAAGCCAAGTTTCATTTTGTCTTCGCGATGTTGTCGTCCCGAAAGTATTAACACGACGTGACGTGACGATCACGTAAATTTAAAAATTTCACGTGTGATATTGTCTATCTTGACAAGACATCGGCGTGAATCTGCACAGCGTATTTCGCGCGAAAGCGTTGCACCTTCCTTTGCAAAGCGCACGTTTGTTATATCTCTCTAAAATAAAAAATAGACATTAATAAATTTTCCTAAATATCCAATTATTTCATAAATATTATTATTGAAGAATAGTCTATATTGTCTATAATTATGAATTGAGTAACAAAAATAAACCCAAGAAACTGAAATAAATTTCGATAAATTTTTATTAATTCGATAAATAAGTATATTTTTTTGATGATTTATACTTTTATTTGCAAACCGAGAAAATTAACGTAAAACGCATAATATTTTAAAATAATGTCAAAATTTAAACTCACTGCAAATTCTTCATCTGTTGATAATTGGAATGCGCTTACAACGTTGTGATTTCGACGAAAACTCATGAGAAATTGAAAGATCTCAAGTTTGGCAATCGAAGTCTTTCTGTTTCCTCTCTTAAGTCTTTGTGTTTCTTACGTTATATTATGTTTTGCAGACAAAGTCAAACTTCTCGAACCGTCAGTATTTATACCTACAACGGAACTCAGCAATTTATATTAGCTCTATTCTTATTCTATCCCTTTGTATATACGTTTAAAGTATACGATTATTCCAATTTTTTATTATTTTGTTTCGCGAATTTTCTGTACATTTGTATATGTAAAAGAATTTTTAGAATCCATCCATTCTCATAAATTCGACATATACGGAAAATCGATTAACTTATATTGTATACGTATGCATAATCTTCGCGTGTAGCTTTTATTGAATTGAATGATTTCCTATTGAATAAATTCTTATTGAATCTTTTTTTGGTCGTTCCACTTCGAGACAAATTAATGATTAGCAATCTGCATCATAGTTGTCGTTAAAAAGACATTTTTTTGTTCTGTAATTCATACACTTCTCGTCTTACATCAAGGTTTCAAAAGATTCTATCTTTTCTGACGTGCAATTTTAATTATCAATTTGTTATTATAACATGTAATAATGTATAGATTTTCTGTCAAAAAGATTTTTTTCACAAAAAATGAAAATTATATGTATTTATTATTGCACGAATCGTTTATATAGAATATGGTGAATCTGCGCGACAATGCATCTATGAAGAGAATCTATTTTGGAAAATTATCGATAATTTATAAATTATTATTAACGAGAATTTATTCAATTTCAATTAATGTATTTTTTTTTATAAGCACGAATTTGTTTGCGAGATTGTATTAATATAATTCTCGAAATAAAAGGGATATCAGTGAAAGATTTCAAATAGAAAATAGAACTAGCTCAAGTAGAAAATTTATCATTATTTAATTTTTAACGTTTCGTATTTGTTCAAATAGAGAATCTGCTATTATTTGATTTCTGAATATTATTACATATTTCAATAATGACGTAATCACGTGTTAATAATGATAATAAATTTGATAATAATGTTGAACGAGATTGCTTTGAATATACTTTCGTGAAATATCATATATTTTTGTTTCATCGAGATGTTCTTTTTCTTTTCGTATGTTTGTTATAAAAAATAGTAACCTTATTAATAAAATAATTTGTATATAAAAATAACTTCTCTGTTTTCGGTATTTTAAACAAGGTTTTATTAAATTATAATCAATGTTATAATTAATATGATTTGATTTATTTAAAGAAAACAATATAATCTTATTATGTAATAAGAATGCCTCATGTTTGATGTAAATTAACTAACGCAAAAAAAAATTAATGTATTTTGTTCATTTTTGGTATATAAAATGTATCGAGTATACATATAATTATAGATTTAATATATATAAAATAACAGACGTAAAATAGCAGATTTAATCAAATTAACTTAATTTAATTTATTTAATTTTTCAGAGATATTAAAAGATGTAAATTAGAATAAGACATATATAAATACATACTAAAGAAGTTGAGAATATTTACAATACGCGCAGATAGTATCTAATTATGTATTTTCTTATCTTATAATTCATCATGACTCCCATATGTAATTAAAAAAGCATATCTATAAATGTATATACTTATATATATTTATAAATGTATATACTATGTATATACTATGTATATACTATGTATTTATATATTTATATATGTTTTTATTCTTCTGGAAGTTGTTTAATCCCTGTTTTTCTCTATGCTATGTATAATCATGATTAATGACTTCTCTTGTGTAAGCATGTTTCTATTTGAATGCTTTGGAAGACATGCGATTATATGACATTTCAATATAATGCTATCTTTACTATAAGATAAAATTAATATTACAAGTCAAATTAAATGAAATGCATATTTTGTACATTAAATGTTCAATTTTACAAAAGAATATTATGCACACACGACAAAGAATCTATTTGATTTCTAAATACGGAAATATTTCTATACATATGTTAATTACAGCTATGACAAATTAATGTGATTGAATAGCTTATCGTAAGTAGAAGGAGACATATGTATCTCATAACAATGCAGTTGTAACAGTTTGGCGAGCACACAGGTAAAACCAGCATTATAATCTATCCCGACACCCGTATAATTACCGTCGTGTCGATTATCATAGAAGAAATCATTTTCATTAGGTCCGGAAACTAGAGCACCATAAAGAATCTGCAGATTCGGTTCATTTTTCCTATATTGTTCCCATCCACACGACTTTGGTAAGTGCGGACAAGAAGATGCAATATGACGCGGCTGTTGCGGTGCATTAATACCGTATCCGACCACGTAACTTCTTCCTAAAAATTGTACGAAAGTAAAAAAGAATCCAACAAAAATAAAAAACAAATTCGATTCAATATCTATAAAAAAATATTAATAAAAGAATATTATGTAAAGTTTATGCGTCGAGTATAAACGCAATTTTTTTTTAATACAAGATTATTTTTATTCACAAGTTTTACCTGGTATAAAACCTAGTATATAATCAATCTGTTCTTTGGCAAATTTATCATATTGATGCGAGGGACCAAGTCCATATTCCGAAGCTTCCAAGCAAATAAAGGCTATATTAGCGGCATGAGAAAGAGTACCTAATTTATCGATATACAAAAGACCTTTAGGCGTGCGTGTCTGGTTATGCACTGAGAAGTTGCAAAAATCGATAACAGCTCTTTTATATTCCAATTTTCCTGTTAATTGAGCTAGCAAAATCTACGAGAAATTAGAAAAAATTATATTAACCACAGAAATAAAAGCTAAAGGTATTAAATAAGACGAGATATCTTCTCATTTAGTAAATTATTATTCATAATTTATTTTGCAATCAAAAAGATCTTAATTTAAAAAATCTAAAATTGTTTACAAAATTAAAAATCTTGTCGAACTGAGAAATAAATTATCAAGCTAAATATATAATAAAAATCATGTTTATAAATAAGTTATTGAAGAAAGTCATTGTACCTGAACTCCGGCAATCTTGTTGTTATAGAAAAATTCATTCGGTCGTTTCTCGAGATGGAAATCTTGGTAATGATTTTCGGCATCATTGAGATAATCGAAATGTGGTTCCGCCTTGTGGAGCCAAATAGCAGCCCACGCTAGCTCGTCACCGTAATCAGTGTTATTATAATATTTTTGCACGTTTTGTATCTCATTGTGCAAAAAAAAGCCACGATAACGTTTGGCCAAATTGTAAATTTCTTTCGCATGCTTGAGACATTTGGCGCTATACTCGGGATCGACTTTTTTGAAGACGATACTCGAAGCTGCGAGAGCTGCTGCTGTTTCGCCGGCGACATCAGAGCCTACGATCGAATATATACAAATGAAGCAAAATAAATGCAATAACTGCGTATATAATAAATAAATCGAATAATTACATGTATAAAATACATTATACATTTACATGTATCCCACTATATATTTTTTATTTATCTTTTTATCTTTTAAACAAATTATAAATATTTTTTATGTATAGATTTATTTCACATATATACCAGGATGTTCCGGATCGATTTTGTAGGCTGGTCTGTACGTTTCATATGGTAGCTCTTCGGGTCTCCCGAACGTTTCAGTCAAATAAAATTCGCCTACTTGTCCGTACAATTCGTTCTCCTTTACGTGACACTTGATGAAATAATCCGTAGCCCATTTGATAGTTTTATGCATTTCGTCGAGTTGATTAGCGACGTTAAAAGCTTCCGGCCAACTGACCGCACCCCAAGCCAAAATTGTCGTCGTGAAAGCCATTGTGAAACCGAACTTTACATAATTATGACCTGAACAAAGAGAACAAGCGTGATATTTCGCTAAATAAATTGTACGGTTTTTCATTGTCTGATAAATTATATTATGGTCATTAATCCGTTAAACAAAGATACATTTCTGTATCATTCCTATATATAGGCGTTTACAAATTTAAATAATTTTGTCGAACAATTTTCCTGTTATTTTTTTCAATTCTCCAAGCGATATATAGTGGTTTATTACTATCATAGTATCCTCCGGTTAAATCTTCATCCTCCCAACCAGCGTCATGCAATGCAGAATCATTTCGCCATGGGATCCTATTCTCTCTTGGTAATTTCCCAGAACGCTGCGCTTCATAAAACATCAATGAAAGATTCAGGACTTTGGCATAATCATTCTCGATTTGCCCGTCATCTATTTCAAAGGCATTTATCCTATACGTTGAAGTAATCAATAATGCCAGTAGAATCTGTCAACAAATAACATATTAACAGGCACTTAATATTATCATCAAATGGCAAAAGCGTTCTCCAAGAGCGTACGTAATGATGATTTTGCAGTGCACGTGCACCAAGAATAATGTAGAGCAATGTCGTGTAAAGTCTTAAATTTTGCATATAGTCTACAGTCTTATAACATAATCTGCGCGATCAAGGTTTACGTAAAGTAAAGTCGATTGCTCGTAATTTTACGAGTTAAGGAAGGCGATGAAGAAAATTCTCGAGCGTGACGCTAATCATTTCCAATTCAAACCAAATTTTAGTAGTAGTTCGCGTATAATTTCGCCTCGCTGATTGTAAAGTCTGAGAAACGAATATAATGGCAATAATATTATAAAAATAAATAGTAATAAAGACAGGCTAAAAAAAAAAACAAAAAAAAGTCGACATTCCGGTAAGATTTTCAACATGAAAAAAAAATGACAAACAAAGACAATAATAAATGATCGAATAATATACAATTGTTACTTTTAAATATCATAAATTTCCGTTGTTTAAAATTAGCAAATTATTAATGATTATAGATTAATAATAAATGAATTAATAATAAAGGTTTTCAGAAAAGCTTTAAAGAGTTAATTTTTTCTTGCAATTTATTACGCGTTTTCTTGCACCCTTCTGTCTCTCCTTTACGCGAATTTTTCCGCATGTTCAAACATTCAAATGTAATGTAATATAACAGACATAATTCCAAGTTGCAACATCAGAGATTATTAATAAAAACGAACTCACCGTGACGCACATGACAATAAAGCCAAGTTTCATTTTGTCTTTGCGATGTTGTCGTCCTGAAAGCGTTAACACGACGTGATGTGACGATCACGTGAATTTAAAAATTTCACGTGTGATATTGTCTATCTTGACAAGACGTCGGCGTGAATTTGCACAGCGTATTTCGCGCGAAAGCGTTGCACCTTCCTTCGCAAAGCGTACGTTTGTTATATCTCTCTAAAATCAAAAATAGACATTAATAAATTTGCCTAAATATCCAATTATTTCATAAATATTATTATTGAAGAATAGTCTATATTGTCTATAATTATGAATTGAGTAACAAAAATAAACCCAAGAAACTGAAATAAATTTCGATAAATTTTTATTAATTCGATAAATAAGTATATTTTTTTGATGATTTATACTTTTATTTGCAAACCGAGAAAATTAACGTAAAACGCATAATATTTTAAAATAATGTCAAAATTTAAACTCACTGCAATTACAAATTCTTCATCTGTTGATAAATTTGAATGCGCTTACAACGTTGTAATCTCGACGAAAGCTCATGAGAAATTGAAAGATCTCAAGTTTAGCAATCAATGTCTTTCTGTTTCTTCTCTTAAGTCTTTGTGTTTCTTATATTATATTATGTTTTGCAGACAATGTCAAATTTCTGGAAACGTTGGTATTTATATTTGCGACAAAACATAGCGATTTATGTCCGCTCTTTTCTTATTCTATTCCTTTTATATTTTCCTATATAGAAAATCGATTACTTATATTGTACATATGCATAACTTATATTGTACATATGTATATGTATACATTTATTACTGATATTAATGTTAATCCAATTATTCAGAGAGCGAGAATATATTTGAAAAGAACTTGTCGCAAATTGCATTGGCGGGTAATTATTATGATAATGCCAATTTATATTAAACGTATTAAGATTCTCTTTGAAAATTTGAGACCAGTATTAAATGTATGTCATGGAATATTAGCATCGATATTATTGCTTTTGAAAGCTGCGTATATTATAAAGTCACTATGCGTGTTATTATTGAATTATTAATGTTAAGATGTGGAAATATAGAAAATTCAGAGATTAATGAACACAAGATTAATACAGTATAAATGAGATTAATAATAATTAATAATTATGAAACTATAAATATGTTAATTTTATGATTGGAAATATTGCGTTGTGAATACATTACGTTTTATTGACACAATATTATAATTTAGTATGTCCTTTCGCAATTTATTGTTAAATGTTAAAAATTTATAATTTTTATTTATAACTTTATACAATGCTTTCATCTTACTATTCAATTTATAGTCATTTCTTAATATTTATTGTTTGTTGCAAATTCGATCATCAAATATATATATTTTTAATAATAATTATCTTTACTTTCTTTGTAAAATCTATTTAATAATATTAACAAGAATAAACAGCTTTACTAATTAGTTTGAAAATTTATAATTGATTGCGAAAGACAGTTTAATAATTATCTTTTATATTTTCTCTTTTTAATATTTTGCTAAAGGACCCTGCACCATTCTTATGGGAAAATGTCTTTCGGTGGATTTCGCTAAATTTTGGATATGTTGTAGTTCTCGTCATTCTGAACAAAAGATACAATGGGCACAACTTGATCCTATGAGCCGTTTCCGCGCTACAAGCCCTGGAAAGTGCAGATTTAACATATAAAGATATCGATTTTTCGACTCGATAATTTCGATCAAATATGCGTGCGTGCCCGCATGCATGTGCGTGCGTGTGTGTGTGTGTGTGTGTGTGTGTGTGTGTGTCAGTGTGTGAGTGTGTGTGTCAGTGTGTGAGTGTGCGCGCACGCGCTTGGGTATCACAGCAGAGATAAGGACCCCACGGTTCGTCACTTCCGTAGTATTTTATGACTCCAAACCCTCTCTGCTGTGTGTGTCTCTGTGTATGTGTGTGTTTATCACAATAACATTTACATTACATCTTCCGTTGTACGCACACACTCACACACTGACACACACACACACCCACACACACACACACACACACACACACACCCACACACACGCACACGCATGCGGGCACGCACGCATATTTGATCGAAATTATCGAGTCGAAAAATCGATATCTTTATATGTTAAATCTGCACTTTCCAGGGCTTGTAGCGCGGAAACGGCTCATAGGATCAAGTTGTGCCCATTGTATCTTTTGTTCAGAATGACGAGAACTACAACATATCCAAAATTTAGCGAAATCCACCGAAAGACATTTTCCCATAAGAATGGTGCGGGGTCCTTTGTCGTCGTCTATATTCCCAAGATTAGCTTGTTCAGATATATTTAAATGATTATTATATACTATATTATTGAATATTAATATTATTATCAAGACGCCTTGTTGATCGCGTACCAAACTATACAATGTTCGATCGATTAACTTATAATTAATTTACTAAGCTAATGATTGATGAGCTCACTGACTGACTAACTAACTGCAAGTTTAATGATGATCGTGAATGACTGAAAAGACGGAGAAGTGGGAACATATTTGCATAAGAGAAGCGAATATCTGTCTTACAGGCTGTTGAATATTACATCACCATGCTACTGCAAAGAAATTATTTTCGCTTGTCGCACTTATCAGATCATGATCGATCTTGTAAAACCATATTTACAAATCAGAATCCTTTTAGTAAAATCTTCTTAATAATTAAACTGTGAAGAATAATTATGAATTTTTAAATTATAAAAAGAAAAAATTTGTGTAAAGTAAATAAAAAAGTTGAAAATAAATAATTCAATAAATAATTTATACTAATTCGCTCTAATAACTATATATTGAGCAATCATATAATATTCAAATAGTGATTATAAAAGTATAAATAAGTATGAAATAATTTTAATAAAACGCCAGTATACACACAGCAGATATAAAAGCAGAAGTTTTATTCTTCTTCTTAGTTTGATAAGCTAAGCTAGTTTCTTACAACAGATTTCTCCGAACAGATTTTTCATTGATGATTTTTTTAATTAATCGAAATACAACGAAAATAATTAGCTTAGAAAATTGAATAAACGCAAACAGAAACTCGGATTATTTCAGCGGTGATTAAACCGTCGCGTCTAGTTTGCACTGAATATGACATTCTTAAAAAGTCTTTTCTTTTTATCGTTCCACTTCGAGACAAATTAACTAGCAATCAGCATCACCGTTGGCGTTAAAAAAACTCATTTTTTTCTGAGATTCAGACACTTCGTGTCTTGGGTCAAGGTTTCCAAAATTCTACCTTTTCTGACGTGCAACTTTAAATACCAACTTGCTATTATAACATATAATAATGTATGGATTTTTTGTCAAAGAAACTTTTTTTCACAAAAAATGAAAATTATATATATTTGTTATTGTACAAATCATTTATATAGAACATGGAGAATTTGCACGTTCAATGCATCTATGAAGAAAAACTATTTTGAACAATTAACGATAATTAATGAATATTAACGAGAATGTATTTAATTTTAATTCAATTATTTGTATAATTCTCGAAATAGGATCAGTAAAAGATTTCAAATAGAAAATAGAACTAGCTCAAGTAGAAAATGTATCATTATTTAATTTTTAACATTTCGTATTTGTTCAAATAGAAAATCTGTTATTATTTGATTTCTGAATATTATTACATATTTCAATAATAACATAATCACGAATCAATGATGATAATAAATTTGATAATAATGTTGAACAATATTGATTTGAATATACTTTCGTGAAATATCATGTATTATTTTTGTATCATCGAGTTGATGAAACAATACATAAGATACAATACACAAATAATAATGAGATGTTCTTTTTCTTTTCGTATGTTTGTTATAAATAATAGTGAACTTATTGATAAAATAATTTTTCAAAATATATCAATTACTTATTATAATTAAAAAAATAGAAAATATTTTCGGGATGGAATTATTATCATTGATATAATCTCACACATATAAAAATATTATTCATATACATTTCAATTACATAAATTTTTTAGACAGATACTAAAATTTCAAATTAATATAATTTTATGCATATATACATTTCATCGAAAATTATTCGTACTATTCAATAACTATTATAATTATTAGCTATTATAATTATGCATCAAGAAAAATTTCTATACAAAAATAAATTCTGTTTTCTGTTTTATTTTAAACAACGCTTTATTAAATTATAATCAAAGCTATAATTAGCGCGTTTTTAATTACAAAAAATAAATAAAGTACCATTGATAAAAAAAATGCAAAATATATTTTATTAGAGTAGCGTTGTTTGTTTTGTCGGAATATTTGCTTGATTTGTCTCTGTTATTTTTTATACAAAAGTAAATTTTTCAATTAAATTATTTTATTGATTGTTGCCATAAATTAGTTTGAAGAAAATCGATATCCTGTACAAGTTCTGTACAAAAGTTTATAATTCGATTATAGTTGTTTGAAAGGAAAATGCATTAATATTCATCACACGGGCATAACGAACGATCGGTCGATGTCAAAGTTTCTGCTCCTACGCGAACGAGCGTTCTAATAACGATTGCCTTTGGCGATGATTAGGTTGGGAGACACTTTGTAACGCGTTAATCAATTTAATCGATGGTCAGCTGCCGGAAAGATCCGTCGATACCGAATAAATCGTCCTGCGTCTTTATTTTATCTAGTCGCAAAGCCTCGTTAGATTTCACAACTTCTTGTTCCGCGAACCACGGTCCGTATTCCTCCATTTTTTTCATCCACATCTCTAAAAGATAATGAATAACATTTGTTTAAAAGTTTGTTTTAACGTTAAAGATATTTAACATATTTTTTACATATTTATCAAAATTATTATTTCGATTACAACTGTATATCTTATGTAAATTAAAAATTCTACTTATAATAAAAATGTTTAATGATTGCAGAATTAGGAAAAATTGTAACTTTAATATTTAGGAAACTCAAAGAAATTAGCGTTAAAATTAGATTCAGGAACACATTCTGTAATTTTAAATTAATAAGATTAAAATGTCGTGCCGTGAATATCTGCGATGGGTCCGGCGTCTCCGCCGTACTCGGTCGGCAGTATCTCCTTAGGTATGTATTCGTAGAGCGTTTCGATGTTGCTATGCGTGAAGATGCGATTGCGTATCTTCTCCTTCAGGAACGGCTTGACGAAGTTAAGAATCGTGTCGACGAGCGGACTAATGTTAATTATATGCACCTCCTTCACTTTCGCCGGATACCCTTCTTGCGCGCAAACCAGAAACTTTTTCACTAAAGTAGGAGTAAACTTGGCGAAATACGCAGGCGTCGCGATAGCAGCGTCGAAGACATAAACGTCACCGGCAACGCCGTGGATCTCCTCCTTGAGACGTATATCGCCGATCATAAATACCATCTTTAAAAACAACACATTTTTATTATCTTGACTTGAAAATAAAATATGAGTATAAAATAAATATTAATGTGTGATATAAAATTGTATAGTTTTCAAAAAATTGGAATCGAAATCGACATAATATAGATTTGAGTGACTTTAGCTATCGACGTTGTAGATATTAATAATAATAATAATAATAATAAAATAATAATAATAATAATATAATTAAAAAATTTATAATGTACTTTTTAAAAATAAAAGAAACTATCTTTTTTACAATAAAATAATAAACGAATAAAAATTTTTGTTTTATACTTATTTAGATGATAAAATGTATTTCTTTCAAGAATATGCATTTTCAGAACACTTTATAAAGAATTGATTGTTAATATTTAGATATATTATAGAATAAATTAATTGATTGATTTGACTCGAAAAAAGCGTGCAATTCATAATTGCACCATCAATATGATCGAGAAGTAAATTTGTACCTTCATAACTTCCGTGATATTGGTAACGCTTATAGGCACTTCTTTATTTATGATACCTCGCATTATGATCACACGACGTCCGTTTTTTGTTAAACCAGGTAAAGCAGGAATATGTCTGGAAGAAAAAAAATGAAGCAAAATATTAATATTTATCTAATAAATTTATATAAATTATTTATCTCGTGCGTTTCCTTACACATGTTTTGCTATTTCTTGCATCGACGGCCTGGTTATATCACGATTAGAAAAAAATTCGGGAATCATTGCGCGCATCGTGAAATACATGTCCAGTTTTTGTTTGCATCTTTCTAAGGAGAATTTGCATCCGCGTAGAAACGTCATTATTCTTTGGTCATCTGAAAGGAAATTAGATAGCATTTCGAGTATCCATGTATAATATATAATAAATTTAATAATCAGAGACTTGACTCAAGTAATCAAAAAAATCAAAAAGAAAAAATCAAGAAAAATAATATATAATAATTTGTGATTAAATTTAATGTTCGTATAGTAAATTTCTCTTAACATCTTTTCTTCTTTCTCTCTTAGAATAATCAAAATTTTAAACCGCCGGAATTTGTATCGTGCAATTTTGTATTTCCTTACACATATTTCACTACTTCTTGCATCAATAACTTTTTGTGATATTTAATATTAAATATCATATAATATTGCAAATCAAACATTTTTTATACTTAGGGCACATATATAAAATCACAAACAGAATTCTATTCGGATCTTAATCCCTAATTATAAATCTTTAAAAAAAAACTTTAGCCTGCTAAATTTAGGACGTTGTGTTATGTGACTAACTTTTGATAGCTTAATTGAAAAATATACCATCAAACTGAGGTAAATGAGGTTGTTTAGCAAGCCACTCCTTAATCATTTCGAGGTCCTTATCACGAGTCGCTACATTTTCATTCAGCTCAACTCGTATCTGCTTAGACATTTCCTCTGTAGGTTGTACCAGCATCATCTATAAATAGATTGTAGTTAAGAATGTTAAACATGAAAATATACACGCAAATCAATGAATTTCAACATTCGAGAATTTTGATATGATTATGATTTTTTTTTATTTGATTGATTTACACAATAAAAACTTATCGTAAAATATAATTTCGGTATTCAGTCCCTTATTTGCTAAATCAGAAAGCGTAAAATTAAATTACTGGAGAATAAATCGGACACACATAGTTTCGACTGTGCATAATGTCTATATAATTCCTTCTCGGTTTGCACGTGTTCAGTTGCATGTAATGTGCACTACATGGATTACATAACCGGTTGAGATACCCATCGTTCTTATGTCAGGAATTAATGCTGACCAAAGCGACTTGCTCAACCAAAACTTTCTCTAAACTCGTCGCAACTTTGCAGATTGAGAAGTAAAGAGAATGTTTCTTAGCCTTTATCCGTCCTCGTTTTGGAAGCGATATTGTTTCGCTAATTCCCTTTATCTCTGACTTTTTTAAGCGCCAATAGCTTCTGAAAAATTTATACTATCTCTTTGTTGTCTGTATAACATTTTATGAAATCTGCCATTAAGAGAACAATTGCATAAAGCTCCGCTGACAAAATGGTTGTGTTAAAAATTTTCTAAGTTAGAGAAAACAAAGCAAAAGAATAAGAGAGTTTTATTATTTTCTTCAATTACTTTCTTAATTTCTCTAACGCATAATATCTTCTCTCTTTAAAATTATTATACACGCTATAGCCATTCTTAGCCACAAGATAAAACGCAGAAAATTTGATAAGCGTGAAAGTTTACGAGCATTTGAAAGTGACAGGATAAAGTTCTATTATTATCTTGTGACGAAAAGATACAAATTATTTATCTTTCAATAATGTAAGATTAACAAGATCGTTATGCTAATTTTTAATTTTAACAAACTTGAAAAATTTTAATTATTATAATATATATGCTTTATTATTTTAATATAAATAAATAATTCTATTATTAGTATTATTATTATATATAATAATAGAAATTATGGAACACTCTTTTACAATTTACACAAGATTTACGATTAGAAATTTGTAGAAGCTTAATATCGCTAGTCGAATTTTGATCAGTCTTTGACGAGGTCCCACACGGACTCATTGTTCTTAAAATTGAAATTTCAAAATAAAGTTTTGCAAATGTGACTTGTGCTTGCACAAGATTATTATCTATGCCGACACTCTGATTACTACTACTTCGGCTAATTTTTGTATACTTGATAAGGACCACAACCATATGGTCGAAACGTCGTATTGAATAAATTATATTTCTGGCTAGTTTGGTCGACTACACAATTTCTTTTAACCATTTACGATTAGATTGCTAAAAGTTATCCGTGATAAAATTTGAAATTAAATCGATACAATGAAACTAAAATATGTTAAAATTATTTAAATTTTGATATTTAAACTAAAAGAGAACTGAATTAAGAGACTTATTAGGTTATTAAAATTATATATTTAAATTTATATTTAAAAATACAAAAACAAAATTCTAAAAAGATTTTAAACATTTAATATTTTTTACAGTTGTTTGGTATTTTTATATTGTAAAATAAGCTTGAAAACATAATGAAAAATATAAGAAATTTTGAATTTAAAAAACTTTATACTATGAAAAGTAATTTGAGATTGCTAATGATTTCGCAGTACTAAAAAGTTTTGAGAAAAATTCTCTCAAAGTTAAATCAAGATATTCCGGATTCGTTAATGAATAACTTAATGTTAAACTTAAAAGATTGCATCTTTTAACTTCTTTTAAATAATTAAGATAATTTAAAGATTGTTAATTGTTTATTTTATAATCTTCACACTTTTTTATATATATAAAATAAAAGTGTCAAAGTATCTATCTTACAAAATCTATCTTAGTTTACATAATTAGTTAATATACAATAAAATACATACATTATTATTCTTATTGGCTAGTATAAAAAATGTCCTTAAATTTTATTTTATAAACAATTAAATTACGCAAAAATTAAACGCAAAAATTAAATAATATCGCGAATAATATAGAAAATATGTATCTTTTTGGAGATTATCTTTAAACATATGATATACATTTAACATAAATTTGATTATAATATATCTGACAATCATTTGGATTTGACATAATATATATATTAAAATTGTGATATAAGTGTTTATAAATAGAAAGAAAATCTTTGTTCGTACATACACAATGTATACTGAAATAAATCTTACCTTGACCGATGTTCAACACGAATCAAACGTACAGACGGACACTCGATGTGCGAACGATCGCGACGGCGATGACTTTCGGATTGTTGCGGAAAGAGAAATGAGCGGAGCGGCGAACTCGAGAGACGACTTACGAACAACAGAGAGGGAACGACGATTACTTCGTGGACCGGTTCTCCTTTATACCATAGAGATGCCCCACTCCCGCTTCGCTTACCGTTATGATACGCAGTAGAAAGAAACTCTGATTAATAAGAGATTTTTAGGGGAATTCCTCATTAATGATTAACGATTTATGAAATAGACGAAATCGGTCTTACATTCGACAATGTGAACAAATTTTCGCCTAAATTCGCATTTAAAAAGAGAACTACAAGTACGTAGTGTAAAACTTTGAATATACAAAATTCTCTCATAGAATAAAAAGAAAAGAATCAATAGTATAATCTGCAACAATTTCAACAAAATGCAAAGCTGCTCGTTATAAAATCATTATAAAAATTCTAGTATTTCGCTAGAAAAATTTATTCTTTGTTCAAGGATTTAAAATCCTTCACGTATTCGCAAAAAAGTTCATTTGCTACATTTGTTATATGTGCGTATTATAAAACGCATTTTTTAATCCCAATTAAATTCATTTCAATTTTTTGCCATATATGTGTGTACTAAATACATATCATTGAGAATAATTGATCGCAAGAATATAATGCTTTTTTTTTGTATAATTAGCGCGATATCTTGTTTACAAAAGTTAGTTTATGATAATTAGATAGTTTCTCGCTATAGTAATGTTTTTTTTGCAAAATAAAAATATACAGTGAAACATTATATTATAAGCTATACACACATATTCTAATGATAGAAGACGAAGAAATTGACGCACTTTAAATTTTTTGTTTGCACATTAACGTAACAGCAACAATTTTGCAATCTCAATCTTCTTTATCAGCGAAACACGGTGGTAGTTATTGTATTTAATATAATTCGATGATTTTAGAAACTTCATGAAATTGTACGTGCTTATGTAACGTGAAAATCACGGTGAGTGCGCACATGTCTTCATCGCTTCTGGTGCACACGCGCCGTCTTCTTCTCGCTCTGATAAACAAAATCTAAAACTTTCTTCTCAAAGGAGAATCGAGCCATGTGTTTTTAAACCTCACATGTACGATTTTGGAACAGTCTGTGACAAAATGGTCTGTCCTCTCAAGAACGCACACGAAGAATGATACAAATTAGATATCGAACCGCAGTGGATTACGATAAGAAAAATGATGATAGATAAAAAGCCTTCAATGTATGTGCTTACGTTATACAAAATGTTTTGTACAATTTCATTTCATTATCTAATCAATTATTTATTGTTATATTATATAAGATTTATAAGATTATTTCCCGGTAAATTCAAGCGCGCAAATTTGACGCGCAATTCTGAGTACAGAATATGGACGAGTACAGAGTTCTTGTTTCTGAACAAAAAAAGGACTTAATTGACGTAACACTAATCACTGATGAATGAAAACAATGATCGCGATATTCTCTCGATTCTCTACACCGTATTCACTTCCGAGTGCATAGAACTCCATGCTGACTAAACGCGGTCAGCCCAATGCCCTCGTCTTACTTTCTTTCGCTAGTATAATCGCTCGTGTTGTTGCACCAGCGTAAAATTACGCGAACGGCGGCGACCGTCATAATCGAAAGAATTCGCGTGTGTATAAAAGTGCCAGTTGCAATCGCGCGATTTTGAAATTGATCGAAATGAGCAAAAAGTTGCAGGGAGTAAACGCGCGCGATAAATGCTGCCGCAATTACATCAGGATTAAAGTGCCTTGACTTCGCCAACTCAACGTTTACTTTTCTATTCAAATTCGATCAAACGTTAACACACATCATAAACTTTTCTTGCGCTCCTGTGAATTTAAAATTAATTTTTTTCTTCAAGAGAACGTCGTTACGGAAGGATCGGTTTCCTAACTTTCTAACTTACATTAATTAAATATATTTGCGAGCAACTAGTAAATTAAACTGTTGCCGAAATAAAGTTGTTGAGAAATTCAACGAAGAATATAAAGTTTCATTATTTGCTCGAGTTAAGTAAAGTTAATTGCTTCGCTATTTAAATGTAAGTCGACAGAAATTGGACACTTTGTATAAATGAAAAATGCGACATAAACAAAGTTATAACAACAAGTATAACAACAAGTATATAATCCTGATGCAGTCAAACAACAATCCTTATGTACCATGTTAAGGTTTATTTACGAATATGATGAAAAATATAATGTCGTAATCACATATAATTTTCTCGAGTGCGCACTAATCCGCTATATATATTTTCTTTCGTAATTAATGTATTTCTTTCTTTCCCCTTCCATCTCTTTTATAAAAGAAAAGATTATCAAAGTTATCAATTGTGTGGTATTCTTAATAGAAGATTGGCGCTTTTTATGTATATAATTTCGTAAATATAAATGTGAAAAAGGATAAGGAAAAGGATAAGGAAAAATATAAAAAAAATTGTCTCTTTATAAAGACGTCCAGACGGTCATGGCAACGATCGAAGGTCACGACTGAGTGTTGTAATCAGGCCATGGCATTGTCTTGGAAGTTGAGCTTCAGGCTTGTTTCTCTTTCTCAATAATTGTTGTCTTTACGGTGCTTACAGTATCCTAAGAAAAAGATACAGACAAAACGTATTGACGAATAAGATAGAAGAGGAATAAAATATTCAGGAATAAGAGATTTTCAGTCCAGATTTTTTTTAAAAAATCTTTGTGCAAAGTTAATTCTTCCTCCGTAAAATTTTTATTACGAATGATTTTTATCAATAAACGATTAAGAGTAGAATTGATATAAACTTACATTAATGTCGGTCAATTTATTCATTTCCTGCAAAGAGATAAAATATTATATAATAATTAATGTTAAAGTTGTTATATTTAATTAATATTTATTTTTTTAAATAAATATTAATTGTGATCAAATTAATTAATAATTTAATTAGCTATATAAGCCCAACATTATTTATATTTCAATATACATACAATGTATTATTCTGCGAGAAAACGAGATATGCGTCACAAAACGTTACTAATCGATAAAAAACATCAATATTAAAGTTGTGTTATTACTGTATAGTAAATCTCATTTAGTCAAACATTATTATTCTTATTATGATGATGAGTATCAGTTTGCCTTACCAGTTTTTTAACGGCATCTTTGTCTCTGATAATTCGTTTCCATGTTGGCAGTTTTTGCGAGAAAATTTCGATCGGCAAGTGCGAGACGATTGGAATATCGCGTTTCTGTTGATTCGCGCATTCTGGCTCGTGGCAATTGTTCATGATCATTTTCTTAATCGTGATCAGAAGTTCCTCGATCGTCGTTACTTCTCGGAGGATTTCATTATTCGATCCTTGTGCGACAAACGGTACAAATGTCTTGTTTCCGGCACAGATTTGCGTCATAACTAAGAGAGTATCCTTCGGAGTCTGTATCAGCAAAATAATATTTAACATAAAGAGCTCTTATTATAAAAAATAATTATGTAAAACTAAGTAATCATCTTTTTATTGCGTTGAGGATATTAATATACAAGCATAATTAATATCTGAGATAGATAATTCTAGTAAAATGCAAATTGAGTAGATGTTCTACACTGAGAAAAAAATCTGGTTGCATTAATTAGAATTCTGATAGATTCAACTAGTATGTCTGTTGGAAAATGGACGAACCAGAATTCTTGTAGGAATTACCAGATTAATCTGATTAATTTCTTCCTGTTAAATTTACCAAATTTTCTGGTTAATAATACTAAATTCACCAAGTCGTCTAAAATTTTTTCCATCTAATCTCAAAAGTCTGTTTAATATTCTGAATTCCAACACGATTATTGCATAAATTCAATCCAGATTATTGAATAAATTATTCTAAGTTCAGTTTGTTAGAGATCAAACTAATAAACAGTGATGCAAGAAGAGGATGCAGCTCAAACATACACAATCAGAGAGCTAGCGTCCTTTTTCTGGCACTACTGCTAAGAGAAAAGAAATATACTTTGGATTTAGTGTTAATACTAGTTCTTTATATACATTTTTTATGGCAAATATTAAATATGAGTTAAGTTAAAAGTAGCTCGCCGCCTAGCGGCAAGCAAAGAAATTAATGTAACAAGAAATTTTATAGATCCAACCAGAAAATACTAACCAAATCCTTATAGTAAAATCTATTAAACGTTCTAGTTATAAAAAATCGAGTCTTATCATGATAACTAATAATTCTTGTTTGATTTAACCAAAATGTCTTCAATCATATACGTCTTGTTGATGACAATCAAATGATTTTTCTCAGTGTAGCAATTGTTAAAATGCAAAATTTTATAATAATAATAAATTTTATTATAATGATATTTAATGAAACACACAAGAATTACTTCACGTTGTATAAGATCGACAATGACAGCTTGTTCGCTTCTCGGCACGATAGCGACCAACATGTAACCATTATTGTTTGAAATAGATTTGAGTTTCTTGATAGTTTTTTCGATTAAATTAGTTATAGTTGGCTTAGGAGGAAACGATCTGTGCAATGAAAAATCGTCTTGGGATGTATCACGGTTTCTCTCCAACAATTCGAGCAGAGATCGGAAGATTGCCATTCTAATTTTGGAGAACATATCAAAAACATCCCATGTACTACCATAATTCACCACTGAAAAAATATATTCGTTCACAATTTTTTCTTTAAATTAACTGAAAATTATTAAGTATTATATATTGCTTCATGTTTTATATTTAGAATTGTTATTGAAATTGTCGGAATTAATGTTTCATTTAATTATTTAATTCTATCTCTTTCATATATTTTTAGTTTCAGATATAATTAAAATACTATATATTAAAAAACAATATATTAAAAAATTTTGAATATTATTAACAAAATTAATAAGATTATTTTTTTTATTCATTTGTTTCTTTGTATATTCTGTTTTGATTTACCTTCTATTTTAGGATCATCTGTAACCAAAGAAGGGACAGATTTTGCTCGATCGCTCAGATCGATGATTTGCCAGGCATCGTTAAAATCATGTTTGTTCTTCTGCAGTTCTAACTTTACGTCGCTATCATTAGATATATCAAATTCATTTTCAGGAAAGAACGGAATAGAGAAGTTGCTACCGGAAACTACGCCTATGATCAAAGATATCCGATATAAAATTAATAATCGATATAAGAAATGTATTATATTATTTAAGATTTCAGATTTAACACACATTTTCTAAAGTATATATTTTATAGATATTATATATATTTTTGGATATTTAAATTTTTTATTATTTGATAAACGAAATTTTTAGTAGACCTGTTGCCATTCCTCTCTCTTGTCTCGCCCAGGACAACAATTCTCCGATATTTGAACGAAGAATACGATCGCAATCGCAATCTTTTTCTTTATTATCAGAAATCAATGCATTATCCAAGGAGATATCAGTAATCTTTGTCTTGTTATGACATTTCTAATTAACGATATTTATTATACATGAACGTTTATGCATACATATAAATAGATTTAACGATATTAATTTTGCACAATTCGATTCTCAGACTTGAATCATGAAATGTGAATAAAAAAATTAATACCAATGATTCAAATTTTTCATAATATAAATATTAAAAGTAGAAATTAAATACTATAATTCTTTCAGATTCTTAAACATAACAAATCTAAAAATAAATTTATCATTTTAATCATTCTGATTCGATTATATTTTTATCAAAATATAAATTTTGTTTTTGTTATAATTAAAAATATTTAAATACATTTTCATAAATAATATATTTTGATTCTGATTATTATAAAATGTAGACAAAAAAATAAACAATAAAAGCGAAATTTAATTATTTACTTTGCATTATTTGAGAAATGGCTAATATGATTAAGAGAGTACTTGAAGAGATCCTTTAATCGCAAAGGGTAATATATTCTCGTGGTCTTCCCATAGGTCCTTTTCTCTTTTCTCATCCTGATTCCTCTCGTCGATTAAAAGAAAAATGACATTTCGCGGAATAATGGCAACACTAGTATTTCCTTTGGAAGAATCAGACATATCATTTCTCATTGTCGATGCTGTGTCATTAATGAGTTTTATCCCGATCTCTGTACTCTCAGTTGTCGCTCTCTTATCGCGTGTCTGATTCTCCGCCATTCTCTCCGTCAGTTTTGTCGACACTTTCGCATCCGCAGCTTGCAAAATTCTATTCGTATTTGTCACTTGCATCTTACCGTTCAACGCGGAGCTGGCTCTTTGATAAGCGTCCAAAGACGGTGCCATGTCCCACATGGGTTGCATAAGCGCTGTTGATAAAAAGTGTAACATAAATCACTAATACAAGTATGTAATTACAGCGGATTTTTCTAAAAAAATGTATTTAAAGAATATTACACACATTACACATATTACATCTATTATGCATTTATATGGTGCACATATTTTTCGAAAAAAATATGAAACACGCAGAGACTTGTTGTAAAATAGTAAATCCTGAAGAACGACATTGGGAGTCAATTGAATAATGTTTTGTGTAATTGACGCACTTTGTATTTTATCACTCTTAATTATAATTACAAATGTGAGTATTTAAACGGAATAAAGAAAAAAACAAAGATTGACGTCCGATACCTGAACGATCCATTGTGAACCCAAAGGAACACGTCATCGCCGACCATAGTACCACAATGATACCAAGATGAAACATAGTGTCTTCTCTTATATAAATCAAATTAACGTTGTTATTAAAATGCGCAATTTAGTGACAATTATAAAATTCTCTTATCATGTATGTAATCTATAATGTATGTACCGTTCACTTCCGTGCAATTGATTTCTGATAAAATCGTAAGAGAGCACAAAAATGCAAAATTAAGCGGTTCTTTGCTTTTCTGGATTCGTCGTTTAATCTTGGTAATTGCTACGTGAGAAAATATGTCCTTATTTTCCTTTAAAAAAAATAACTAGATTACGTTGTCGCTAATCAACAAAATCGGTTGCCTAAACAACCAAATGAATTATTATCGATAAAAATACTACATTAGAACATAGAAAATACTAGAAAATACTGTACTACAGTAAAACATTACAAATATTTGTAGAACATTTAGTTTCTTTTATTATATAATATAATTTAAAAAAAAACATATATATATATATGGAAAAAATGTAATAAATAATTATATATTATATAAGATGAAGAGAGTCGCAGCGCACAAGTGCAATATTAGTATCGTCAAATTTTTTTCATAGTTTAATAATAACAGTTAATCGGAAAACAGACAATAATATACTTTGAGACTTTCGAGTATCAACATAATATGTATTTTTTAGAGAAGACGAGATTTTCATAAATAAAACACTTGACATTGAAAATTTTTATAACACTATAATTCATAATGAGTATAATTAATAATTAATAATTAATGTGTGTGTGGACTATTGGATCATCATGCTAGGATAAGGACTAGAGTTCTAAATAATAAAGTATTCGTTAGTATATAATTTACGATCCATGCTCTTAAGCCGTGACGCGACCCCTGTTTTAAGTCGATATGTGACATATTTAACCGTTGAGACTTACATAGGTCAGCCGACGGTGAACTACACTCAGCCGATTTGTACTATTTGTTTTACGTCATTCATTTCGTATGCATCCGCACTTTACGTACAAATCATTTATCTTCATCGACCAACTCCAACTTACGTACGTGATGACGGTATTCTAGTAAGTTGCGTCCGCAAGGATTTACGCGTGTAAATTTTTCTACGCAAAATATTCCACATATTTAAAAAAAAAATGAATTATCGCGCGATCTATATTTCCTATAAAAAATTTATCGCATAATCTTTGTTTAAAATCTATCATTAAAATTAAACGCAACTAACCGTAAGAAATATTATAAATATTAGTAAATAAGATATGAATATTAATAAATAAAATGAAGAGAAATGGATATTAATAAATAAAATGAAGAGAATTGTTATCAAATTTTGTTTGCAATATATGCTTCAGTATAAGAATCGCTTAATAAAAATATATTAAGAGGGAAAATATCAATATTACATTAAAGATAGAACGTATTAATACAAGTTCATTCTTGTGATGGATTTTTTATTTTATATCGACGCAAGCTTGAGCTATTAATTATCATCTCTTTCAATCGATATCACTATCAAATTTAAACTGGTAAAAAAGAAGTTAAAAAGATCAACGCAATGAAATTATCTCGGTAAGGTGCTTTAAAATAATTATAAGATAAACAATCAGATCAACAATACGAATGTTTGGTAAGCGTCATTTCACGCTTCATTTCACCAGTTGCTGCTCTAAGGCATCTTGGAACTTTTAGAATGTTTTTCTTCGTTAAAACTTTCTTTATGTTGAAAACTGCATGGAGCACACGACAGCGTGCGATCTGAATTATTAAGAAGATTATAGACCCTTACATTGCCGGGGGATGGTGCAAGAAGCGATATGGCGTCGGAGGAACATCGCGCGGCGCACGACAACGCGGTCCGTGCCTAGTTACCAAGCCCCGATTGGTCCACGTTTGGTACCTACCCTGCTGGAAGGGGTTTCCTTCCGAGGGTGGTGGCGGCAACAGTGGTCAGGTCATAGCCGAGGATTGGAAGAAGACGGACAGGAGCAGAGGGTACTTAGACCTCAGCCAAAGAGACTACTACTGTTCGCAAACAACGAGAATCTATCGCAAAACAACGACTGATGGCAGGCCGGCTAGTTAGTTTGCTTTTCTTCGTTCTTCTCGTATATCTAGCACGATTGCTACAACGTAATCGCGAGGCACTGAAGGCCGCGTCATAATTCACAGCGGAATTAAAGATTTTTTTCTCGTCATCTTGGATATATCGAAGCAATCAAGGTAAGACTTAATAACGAAAGGAGTGCTTTCCGTGTAAAATCAAAGTTGAAAAAATATTTGAAAGACACTTTAAAGAAATGTTTGAAATTTTAGAATATTTTGACAGTCACTGTGTTAAACGTTCGTCTTTTTCTAAAAAGCTAAAAGTCATATATAAATATCTAAAGATCGTCATAAGCATCAAAAAACTTTTACTAAAGCTTTTACTAAATATTGTATCGTCTGTTAACTAAAATCTAAAGCTATCTAAAATATCGGGAGAACCTTTGTGAGATTCTTTAAAGTACGTTTGTGTTATTTGCGAATAAACATTGAAAAAATCCGATTTAGCGACGTACGATTTTACGCGGAAGAAGAATCGCTTCTAGAAATTTCGTTGGCACATGTATGTTTAGTAGTCTTGTGACAAATATGATGCGCGTTAACGCTAGCTGTAGAGCTACTAACAAATTTTAACGACGATTTATTTACTCGCAGATGATGAAGATGAAACAGCAGCAGGGCCTTGTGGCTGATCTATATCCCAATATAAGGGTCATGAAGATGTTTGGACATTTCGTATTCAACTATTATGATGATAATTCGTCCAAGTACTTGCATAAAGTGTATTGCTGCGTAAGTATATTATGTATTTTGACATGTTTACGCATAAATTCATTCACAAAGTTTCATTCTCGTTTAAATTCTAAAATTATCGAGATATTTAATTTACAAATTTAATTGATAATTATGGAAAACGATATTATTTTTTGTTTATCTTCAAGTAATTATAATTCAAGTATTTTAAAATTGGAAATATCTGGATACCGTTATTCCTTCTAGGTGAATTTATTCCTACTGCTGTTGCAATTTGGCCTGTGCGCTGTGAATCTGATAATCGAGAGTGCCGACGTCGATGATCTCACGGCTAACACGATCACTCTCCTCTTCTTTACGCACAGCATCGTCAAGGTCGTCTATTTTGCCGTGAGGAGCAAATATTTCTATAGAACGTGGGCGATATGGAACAATCCAAATTCCCATCCACTTTTCGCCGAGAGCAACGCCCGATATCACGCAATCGCTTTGAAAAAGATGAGGCTGCTCCTCTTCTTAGTCGGTGCTACTACCGTGCTCACTGCGATTGCTTGGACCGTTCTCACCTTCTTTGAGCATCCGATCAGAAAACTTGTAGATCCGGTCACGAACGAGACGACGATTATCGAGGTAATGATTCAGTTGTGGCAAATTTATTTTTCAATGAAAAATTTAAGAATCGATTTTAATAATAATGATACTTAATTATCTATACTTTAATTAATTTTATAATTAGTATAATTAGTATAATATAAATCATACATAGTATATAATAATTTTTCTAAACATATTTTCAAATATATTTCTTTACTTTTTTTAAATATACGATGTGTATATTGTACATACGCAATCGTGTTGTCTAATTTTATTCCACGTTTATGATAAAATTTACTCTTTCTGATACACATAGTTACCGCAACTGTTGGTCCGCTCGTTCTATCCGTTTGATGCCAGTAGAGGGATAAAACACATATTGGTGCTCATATATCAATTCTATTGGGTGCTCTTCATGCTTATTAACGCCAATTCGTTGGATGTACTTTTCTGCTCATGGCTGCTATTTGCCTGCGAACAGCTGCAACATCTGAAACAGATCATGAAACCTCTTATGGAACTGAGCGCAACTTTGGATACCGTGGTTCCTAATAGCAGTGAACTCTTCAAGGTATACCGAATTTCTTCTAATATTATATCTCATCTTTAGAATCTAGATTGATGTACAAAGTCTAAAAGTTATCTTTCGAGATTCAAATTATCTTTCAATCAGTATAAAATTTCATTTTTTTTACTTGACATATTTTGACATGTATAATTTATATAGACATTTTTTATTATTATAATTATCTGTAAAAGAATATGGAAAAAATCAATAATTAAACAACGCAAAGATCTAAACAATGATTTTATCATTTATCGAATTTTACATGCAAATGATTCTTTTTTGTACAGGCCGGTAGCGCGGATCATCTCCGCGAATCGGAAAACAATCAGTCTCAGTTACCAGCACCACCCCAGGGCGACAGCATGCTAGATCTCGATCTTCGTAACATATACAGCAATCGGCAGGATTTCACGGCGACCTTCCGGCCGACCGCTGGTATGACCTTCAACGGGGGCGTGGGACCGAATGGGTTAACGAAGAAGCAAGAGATGCTCGTGAGAAGCGCCATCAAATATTGGGTGGAGAGACACAAACATATTGTCAGGTGAGTCTGTTAATCTTGTTGGAATCGTTTGACAAGTCGTTAACTTTCAATCGATATCGTTTCTCACGACGTATTTGTAATATATTATATAATAAGAGGAGTCGCAGGCTAAATCGCGTGCGAGATAAAAGATTCAGTATCGGGTATCATGATGAGAGATGCAAGCTGCCCCCGTACTCTACTTACCTACTGAAGACGTATAATTAATTCATGCGATTCTTCTACTCTATGAGTCAACGACGGATCATTTCTTTGAAAGTCATCTGCATCTTATGTAGACTAGTGACCCAGAATCTTGTACAAATTGCACGTCTTCCCGGCAAATGTATAAAGTATTTAGTATATAGAGGCATCATATTGACCCCACAGAACCGTGCTAACTACCCCTCAATTATTAAGAAACTCATGCAACAAAGTTACCAAATGTTGCGCAATTTAATCGTAAATATTCTTCATATATTTCATAAATATTAAAAATATATATTTTTGACATTAGCTATTAGCTTATTTTTTACATTAGCTATTTAATATTTGACATATAATATTTGCTATATATTAATTTAATAGTAACTTGATACACATTGGTAAAATAAAAAATTTATGATTTTAATCGGAGAATAGTAATGAGAAGATTAACGAGAAAGCAATTTTAAATAAAAAATACATTACAAGATACTCTTTGCTTTAACATACGTAATAACGTAATTATTATGCAAGATTTCAAAGTCTATAAAACTCCTAATATTTGTTCCGATAGTTTCATGGTATTTTAACAACAATTATTGATCGTAGCTATAATATCACTTTGTCATACATGTGCAAAGTATTTAACACACAAATGAACAGAAAGTTTGTTAAACATGGTATGAAAACGCTCGCATGATAGTTATATTTCAGTGTACAGTTAGGTTTCATCAAAAGTTAATTGAAAAATCGACATTACGTATTAACGCTACTCGTTAAACTTCGCAATTTTAAAATTGAACCTGTCAATTTAAAGCAACGTGTTCAATTTTAAAAAAGTCAATATTAATTATAAATAAATCAAAAAGAAAAAGAGCTAATGAGAACAAAGCAGAATTAAAGCACAATTAATTATTTTATTAAAAATTCCTCTTTAATTATTTTGATTCTTTTTTTTAATCATCCTCAGTAAAAATTAAAAAAAATCGTTTGCCAATAAAAGAAAAAAAGGAACAACTAATTTGCGCTTTAATTAGTGCGCTGTTTCTAGCCCATTTCCTTTTCAAATTTATTTATTTAGTATATCAGAAACTTTTCGTTGCTTAATTATAAATATCGACATGTGTTACACGTGTTTTTTAAGCATAAATAAAATGCAGTTTGAATAACGGTTTATTTTCAATGTCCGATAACTGAATAATATAGGATTGTCGTACCATAATTTTGCCAAAACAAAAAAAAAATCAAAAAAAGATCTTTATCTTTTTTTTTAAATATATCATACTTTGTAAAATTTGTAAAATTCCGTACATACGAAAGGCACGATCGGCGCAACACGTAAAATTGCTCCTCGAGAAAGAACGGCGCGAACGGATGCCGTGTTCCTGTAGGTTCGTGGGGGGTGCCGAAGCCACTCGTCGGTTGGCGCACGGGATGCGCGTATTCCCACGGTGGTGAAGTATTTATTTCTAAGAAAGCGCGATATTGACCGCAACGGGGGTCGTGTATTGTACGGACTGTGCGATTCACGGGGGGGATGTTCGTATTCACCTCTCGCGTTCACGTGTACGTGAATGCGCACACGTGGTTCGCGTGCCCCACGCGCGATGACAGAACTTTTTTGTCCACAAAAGTTGTGATCTTTCGGATAACGTTTCGCGCCCGTTTTGTTGCGTTTCGTTTCGAAAAAATTATCCTCCTCGCGTGACAGCGGGATTTTAATTTATCGATTTAAATTAATTTTATTATTTTTTTAATATTTTTTAATGTATCTCTCCTTGATAAATTAATCTCGATTGACAATTTTGATACTCCAAATATCGACACTCTTCAATTATCACGCGAGAGTCTATCTCTAATAAATTTATAAATTTCTCTTTTTTCTATTTTAATTTCTTTTTTGTTTCCAGTTATAAGATCCATTTCATGAGATAATTCTAAAAAAGTTGCAAATTAATCTTAAAATTGTTATAAAAATTATTACTGTTGAAATAATAAAGATTTGTGTCATCACCTTTGCATATCGGAAATTAAATATATTGACCGCAACGGAGGTCATATGCTATAAGTTAAACTGAAGTGATCTAAGGGAATAAAATATGTGTACGATGTATCGCAACAAAATGAATATTTATATAATTCAGAATTTCATATCTTCACGGGAGGAAATAATAATTTTTAAAAACGTTGAACGTATTTGCGTACGTTTTACAGATTTGACCTCAGCGTGACACGGTATAGACTATTGCATTTTCTTCAAGGCGTTTCGACATATCGATCAATCACTTACAGGGAACAACGTTAACTTGATGAACAGTCGATGAAATAGGATATAATACGTGGTGAAACGAAAGACATTTGTCCGTCGTTATTCAACTTAGTTCTAATCACTTAGTTTAGTATGAAAATCAAGGGTGACGTGCCTATGGACGGATATTACGAATACATCTTTTATAAGCCGTTTTTCAATGGTTCTTAATGACGACATAAGTCAATTTATTCAAAAATGTCATTCATTTAATAATCGATTAATTAGCATTTAATGTGATAATAATTATTGTTTTCCCTGTAGATTGGTCACCGCAGTTGGAGACGCGTACGGTTTCGCGCTTCTGCTTCACATGTTAACGACGACCATTACTTTGACGTTACTCGCCTACCAAGCGACAAAGGTGAGCGTTGTCTGGTCATATTTTTTTTCAAGGTTCTGAACAAATGACTTATCGATCATATAAATTAGTAAAGCAAGAAATGCAAAGTCGATGAGGTTAAATATCGAGCTCGAATATCTGAATATATAAGAATTAGAATTTATACTAATACGTTTGAATCTTGAATGCTACAGGTGAATGGTATAAATGTTTACGCGGCCTCCACGATCGGCTATGTACTTTACACGTTTGGCCAAGTCTTCTTGTTCTGCATATTTGGAAATCGCTTGATAGAAGAGGTACGTAAACAAGGGGATTTAAAATTTTCTAAAATTTGAGAATAAGATTATATGAATAAGATTATACTTGAAAAAAAATATATAAAAAATAATACAATATAAAATATATAAAAAATAAAACAATATATAAAAAATATATAAATTACAAGCGTAAAACGTACAAAAAATTAAAAAATTATATATTACTTGTTGACGTAATTTTTTAGGAAGTATATCGCTAAAAATCTAGAATTAATATTTGTTAAATAATGAAAATCTTTGCGCAGAGTACTTCGGTGATGGAGGCGGCTTATTCTTGCCACTGGTACGATGGATCGGAGGAGGCTAAGACTTTCGTGCAGATTGTGTGTCAACAGTGTCAGAAAGCTATGTCAATATCGGGAGCGAAATTTTTCACGGTGTCTCTAGATCTCTTTGCTTCGGTAAGATTGAAAATTTATATTTCTTAATGATTTTCTTCATTTTATATTTTCGTTAATTCTCCTCCATTAAAATTATAACGAAAAGTTTCTTCAAATATTACAATTCTTTGATGTAATTCTACAGGTACTGGGAGCCGTAGTAACCTACTTCATGGTGTTGGTGCAACTGAAGTGAACATTTGGGTTTGTGCGTTTCAGATACGAACACAGCATCTCGTGTTGCACGTGGCTGTGCGAAATTATATTTTTTAAGATGTTTACAAGGGACCAAATGTGGAGTATTTGTATTCGAAAAGAATTTCCGCAGGGAGAATCCTGCGTTTTTACGAGCGCATATAGTGAAATATTCAGTGAAAAGATTTAAGATTTAAATTACATAAAAATATAAAAAAAAATTATTCTTGCAATTATTTAAAATCATATAGAAGCGATACAGTATAAATATTTTTTTTATCATTATACAAATCAAGGAAAAAATTAAAAGTTTTTCCGTTAACATGTAAATTTTAATGCAGCTCTCTATATGATTTTCTTCTTTGCATTTATCGTGCATACAAGTGCAATAGTGAAAATGATAACATATGTATTCATGTTCGTCTCATGTGCAATTAATTAAATATTAAAATTAAATAAATCTTAATATTTACGGGGAAGATATACGCTAATATTCTTCAAGGTATACTGTGACAGTTGGTGGCGATATGTCGACAATGGAATGATTGAGAATGATTTATTAATACGCGAAAAGGTTATCATTTTTACTTAGTTTTTTCAGCGCGTATTCTAGCATTATTACATTCTCGAGTATTGCTTTTCAAAAATTACATCCAAAAACGATGAGATAAGCGGCGCATGTATGTACATTAACAAGATAGTCTGAATAACATGTAAATAGGATGATTATATTTTTTAGTAATAAGACAGTGCAATCTGTTAAATCGTAATATTAAATTTTAGCAATGGCACATGCTTTATCGTATGTACGCAAGAAGAAGTAATTTGTCTTACATTTAAACGCACGTTAATTTTTTTACAATTATATAATTCTTGTATTCAATATTAAAAATTAGAGTACGTTAATATGTATTGCTATTTATATATATAGATAGATATACAAATTATTTATATAAATGTCATCTTTTTATTATTTTACAAATTTTACAGCTTAATTAATTGTTATATAAAATTTCTTTTTGTTTGCTTTCTATCTTAATTACTTTCAGAGACTTTCTGCCTCTTAGTAATGATAAAATTTTAGGTTTCAGATACATTTTAAGCCCTCTAGCACAGAAAATTCGTTTTGACATGTAATACGATTTGTTAATCTCCATATTTATTGTCACTTAACCCTTCGAAGGAATAGGCTATTCGATTTTATTTCTTATCACCATTCACTAGAAGATTAAAATAAGAATTCGTCGATCAATGAAATATATAACTACATAATTGCGAATTAAATAAAAATCTTTGTCGCCTTATAAAAACGAAAAGAAGATTAGACTTATTTCTCAATGATAAAAAGGTGGCGATATACAATTAATGGAGTCAATTATTTATGATACAATTATCAAATGGTATTCAAGGATTTGGGAATCTAATAAATAAATATATATATATGTATAAATATAGAGGAAATAAGATATATATGATATATATTTTCATTATATATACGTAACACCACACATGTGGATGAACAAACGTATACCTAATGTACCTCGCTTTTTATATTTAATAATAATTCGATGTCTCAAGTAAAAGATAATATTTCGTCACTATATTTCGTCTAACAATAAGATGTCCAAGAGGATATTTGCACCGTGTATGGCTGCTCATTCTAACCGTTATACTATAAATATATATCTTTTATCGATGCGGATATCGTTTTGCGAGACAACGTGAGATATTTTTATGTCCTTTGTCGAGGATATAGTAAGAAATCCGACGTATAGAGACCGAGAATAACGTAATATATTCTAAAGAAAAAACGCACCGTTTTTTTAACGCAAATAGACAAAGGCGATCCGACGATATCCGACCTCGATGTATTTCGATAATTAACGTGTAATTAACATATGTGTATATTACCGTGTAATTAAGTTTAACTGATGACAGTCACAGTATTATGAAATAATTTTTCTTTATGTAAAGCTATATATGTATTATATTTATTTAATAAAATCTTGATATAAACGTTCATAATAAATTCCGAGGTGTTCGAGGAGAATTTATAATCTTATTTTGTACGCTGCCTCGAGAAAGTTTAGAAAATTACGTTTCCGCTGTAATAGTCTTATTGCAAAATATCGTCTTTCATGTTGAATCACGGCACCTGGTAAGAATTCGTTACGCAAGTACTCTCCGTCATAAGACACATTTGTACAACGTTTCTATAAAAGTTATAGAAGGGACGCCGAAACGTATATTCGTTATGATGTAGTAACATCGCGAAAACACTGCTTCATCTTGTCTCAGAAAATTCAATAAATTAGCGAGACTCACGAGTTTCTCTTTATTCGATTCGATTGTTGCTTTCGGAGAACACAATTCTTCTCCTAACACACATAAAACGCCATTGTTTTATATAAATATGATTTACGATAGGATCGACTGTAATTGTGCAAGAGATGCACCTGCAAGAGTTAGCACAAAAATAGAATCGTAGAAACAAAAAAGGATTATATCTTACTTATAATATTATCGAGAAAACGCTGCAACAAACATAAATAAAGAGAATAAATTTTTCCTCCGCAAAGCAATCTTTTATGTTCTTGCTATTAATAAAAATTCAATATGAAATATCGAGATAAGTATTTGGCGTGCAAATAAAGCGAGACACACGCGGCTGCGCGCTCTCTCTTTTTCTCCTTCCGCTCCGGAATTTTTCCAATATTAATAAAATATCGACGTGAGAGAAGGCGCGGAGATATATTATATATATCGAGGTAGAAGGCGAAGCAACAATCTATTGACAGCGCTCGTGAAAATAAGCGTTTAATAAACCAAATGAGAAATTGGCGCGCCCATTGCTTCGACGGTGGGTTCGGAGTCGTACGCAGGCGCAAGCAGGAATCTCCGAGTTTCTAGGGGTAGTTTCGATCGTCCGGGGGATGCCTCTCGAGACGCCTCTACCCTCGTGCGTGCTGTCGCGATGCTGCCGAGGTCTCGCGCCGTCGTTATCGTGACAGTGACACGTCCGCAGATCGCGCGGTGCCAATCTCGCGCGATTGCGTAACTCGAGGGTCGGATCGTCGGAAGACGTCGGGCCTCGATTTCCGGGAGAGGAGATCTTTATGGTCCAACGAAAGGATTCTGCGATCGCACATCGCCGTCGGTAAAAAAAGATGCACCGACTGCGCCGAGGTGAGATCAGCTGCTGGCTCCGTCAAGGACAAGATTGGAAGGATCCGGGATCGATTGTGCGGAACTCGAATGACGATCGTCAGTGACCATCATCCCAGCATCCTCATCGTCATCGTTTCTCATCCGGAAGCAATATATATCAAGCAATACTGGCGCGTGGGTCGCGCACGACACGTCACGACCGCATCCGCTTCAGCGTTTTATCGTCGATTTTCTTATTATTGGAGAGAAATGAAAATGATGAGACAAAGGGAAATTGCATTCGTGTTATCTAGGACGCTTTCATTCACCGAATTTGATCGTGAGTGCGACGAATAGATCGGATATATAGGAGTGCAATTAATGATCTAAGACATTCTGAGGTCGAAGATCAGGAATTAAAGATTGACATAATTAATCACAATTATTATTGTGCGAGTTGTCTCAATCAACGTTGTAAAATCTGAAATGACTTTTTAAGATTCGAAATCTAAAACATTTTTCGATAAAATCGAATACGCACAATAAACACTTGAATTTTCCTATCGCTCTAAAATTTATTATATGAACATTTATATCTTGAAGTAAAATAGAATTGATTATATTGACAAGGAGTGATATACACATATACATACCTACATGAGATGCAACGAGTTACATAATCTATCTATAAAATAATAGAGTATTACAGATGTGTCTTTCTTGGAGACATTGAATCGAAAGGTATGAAACGAGACAAAACGAATATCTATTTGGAGTGAAGCAATACCCAATAGACAATCGAAACCTTTTTATTCGTAGAGTGTTGTCAGAATGTAAACAAGAGTGACATTTAGATTATATTCTAAGAGTTAAAATACAGTGAGATGACTTTTATTAAGAAAAATAACCACATTGGTATTCATTTTAATTATAGATATTTATAATATATCAAAAAAGGATAAAGCAAAAAAGATATAAAAGAGAAAAAAACTGAAAAAGCATAATAGAATGTTGAAGACACTGTTAAGGCAATCGACAAGATTGAATTCACCCTAATCATTAGGAGGCTCAAGCAACGAAATCGCGTCAAAGTTAACCGATACGGGGCAACTTGTGAACATTTTTTTGCGAATCATCGATAACCATAGGTACAAAAACTGCGAGCGGCTGGAGGAGGCGAAGCCTCCCGCCGCAGAAGCACTATCGTAAGTATTATATTCGTAATTTTTTTTCTCTAAATGTCTTATTTGTCTATTATTATAAGATATGCACGAGAGAAATCATTTCATTCTATTAAATAAAATATTATGTAAAATATATTTTATATATATCAATTTGTTATTATATTTCTATATTTCCTCTTACAATTAGTATAATGAAATCTTTAAAGTTTTGAAAAATCGAAGTAGGAAATCTCTTTTCGTGATAAAAGAATTATAAATTATGAAATTTTTTGTAAAAATATTTATCGTAAAGCTCGCTTTTGCGCATCAATTACTTTCAGTCGCATCACGTATTAATATCAGCTAAAATTAATTAAAAGTTTCGATAAAAGCTTGCAGCTATGCATAATTAGAATCCTATATACTATAACATTTTGTTGATGAACGATAGCGAGATGTCTTTCACAAACTTTAACGTAATAATTTGTATGTATTTAATCCGATTACTGCACATCAGTTTACGATAATTTCTTCATCACGTAACGCATTGCTTGAAAAGATTTCAGAAATGTGTTTCGTAAAGGAGAAATTATCATTTAAAGAAAAAAATTCGTCATTAAAATTATATACAATTTGAATGATTTAAAGAGACATTTAAAATATATTTCTGCGATATAATAATCAAGATTATAATATTTAATATAGATATAAATAATTAAGATGAATAATATTTAATACACACACACACACACACATACATATATGGTCGTTGATCCCTGCCTGAGAAGAGACAGAGTATCCCGCAGTTTCTCGTCAGTCGATCGGCGAACTTCGACCGCGAAGGTCGTCTGAACGCGACGAGATAGATGCGCGATGTGAACATTCGTCATTTGCCATCAATCGCGATATTTTAATTCAATCTCATGGATCGCTCGCTGAAAGACAACGAGATACCATCGAGCTCAATCTTGCAAGCGAATAGACGGCTTTTGGGTAAACGAGATTCGCTTGTCAATGACGTTTCAATAAATTCATCGTACTCTATATAAATGCATGTGAGATATTTTTATTTTTATTATGAAGAAAAAACATTGAAGAAATTAATATTAATTTTATTTAACAACGTAAAGATTCTATCACTTTGCTTGTCTTATTTATTAAAACGATATATATTTTTTCATTAATCTGAATATGATTAGTTATTGTATTTGGTTTATCATGTAATATCATAAGCGCACTTAATCTTGTTAATTAATTCAATTATTTAATCATAAATTGAGGATTGATTTCCATTATCAAACGCATTCATCATTCGTTACTTTTATTTATGATAGCGTGTATTGACATATGGTATTCAACTTCAGATAGCGGAATAAAATCTTGTATAATCTTGTTCATAATGAAATATTAATATGCTTCTTTTTATACAGCTTTTAAGTAGTAAATTTATACGGGAATATATCATTTCCATAGACCCAAATTTACATAGAAATATAATTTACATAAATGTCTTTAATCTCGTAAGTCATAAAAACTCTGACTAGATGCTATACGTTTTCATGTGACATATCTTTGTAATTAATATATTATTTATTTTTTTGTAGAATTACAAAATACAAATAATAAAAACTTTTGCGCTACAAACGCATTTTGTTCACACGTGCGATTCCGTAGAGTAAATCTACAAGTAAATACTTGTGTAAAGACAAACGAATCTCGAAAAATACACAATTTATGGATGCGTAAAGCATGTAAAATCCCGCATAAAAGTATTCTCTTTTATTTCATGAATAATATATTTTTATGACGGAAAATTCTATAGAATAATGCCTACCGAGAAGTACTGCAAGATCGACAAAATAAATGTTCAGAAAATACTCCTCCGTGAAGTTTTCTATGGAATGATATTTTATAATACATACGAGACGATATTCTATCGTAACTAACGACTAAAGTTGGGATTTCATCATTCGCTTCTTCCGAAGCGAATTCTAAATAGTATAAATTTATTCCATTGGATCGTTTCGCATCCTCTCTCTTTCTTTCTCTTTCTCTTTCTCTCTCTCTCTCTCTCTCTCTCTCTCTCTCTCTCTCTCTCTCTCTCTCTTTCCTCTTTCTCGTGGACTTATCGTATTTAAAAATTACATCCTCGTAAGAAATGAACAAGGTTTTTTGATCATTTTCGCAGTCTGTGTGATATACTAATTAAACAAGCAATATTTAATAATTTATTGGATTTATCAGATGGCTGCTATATTTACCATTTTTTTGCATAAACAATTTTCTCTCAATTTTATTTACATTTTTAAATCTGTATTATAACAAAATAAGTTCTTTAATTTATATTTAAAAAAATCTTAATTATACTCTTTATATAAAATGTAAAATAGTGTTTTTGAAGATTAAGAATAAAATTTTATTTAATTACATAATATATTACACATATATTTAATAATTCATCGAAATTGTATAATTTGCGAAATTATTCAAAATGACAAGACTCGCTCGCTTATAATATTCCCAAAGATTAAATCCCAGAATTATAAAATCCCTCGACACAGTGTATAGTGAGCAACAAGTTTTTCCTCTACATTGCATGTCGTATATACATATACATACTATTTGCATTTGTTCACAATTCGATTATCTCTGTTGCAGAGCTGGACCTCGATTATTTAGAAAGAAGAGGCGGAAATACAATAACTTACGAAGGCGCCGAAAGCAGCTCGAAAGAGGAGGATAGTCCCGCGGACACATTAGATCGCGTTAAAGTTGTCTTCCTGGGGGCACCCGGCGTGGGAAAAACAAGTATAATCCGAGTAAAGTTCTTTCATAACAGAATCATATCAATTATGTATTTCCCGTGAAAATGTTTTCTATCTTTTATTAATTTATCGGATATTAAACGTACAATGATTATGTGTGCATTGAATTTCTAAATTTAATAAATTTATTCAAATCTTAATTTTAAAAAATTATTCAGCATACAATTATTAACATATAATTTAAAACTTTAATATTTATTTTTGATAAATATATTTTTATTTAAAAGATATTTCTTTATTTTTTTATGAATTATTTTCTATTAATCTGACAGAAAGCAAAAACGCACCGATAACTTTGCAAATATTTTATATTCTATATAAAATGAACGCAATTCTACACGTGTGTGTTTCATATACAATTGACGAAGAAGTGTCGGAATCTTCGTTTCAAAGTCAGGAAGGGAACAAATCGCGGAAACGAGTTGCTCGGGCGCTCGATTCATTTCCGATAGCAGTTTCCGTTTATCGAAGGCGACGATTATCGACTCGCGAGGAAATTAAAAGGCACAACGAATTTCCTAAGGAATGTCGTTCGCTTCTGATGAAAAAATTGTGCCAAATGTCTCTTGTTTAGCGGTTAACATATAAATTCAAGTTTTCAAAATAAATTTTTCGCTAAAGTTTTGCAATTTTACTATAATTCTCTCTACGCTTATTATTTTTACAATGTGATTTTTATAGTGTGATTTTCTAAGTGTAATTTTTATTTATGCTTCCAGCAATTTGTCTGGAGCGAGTTCTCGGAGGAATACACGCCGACCGAGCGACGGGAGACATTTTATCCGAGTGTGGTGCTCGCTGATCGATTATATGAATTGAAGATCACCGATCTGCCGACTATTCCGTACTTCCCAGTTAGCTCGCATTTGGAATGGACCGACTTCCGCTATTACGGATTGCGGAGCGCGACAGCGTACGTGCTCGTGTTTGATCTCAGTAATCAGGACACGTTTCAGGTACGCATTCTTAACGAGAATTTTTACATTAAAGCGTGATAAATTACACACAGATTTGCAAGAGACAGAATTTCATTTCGAAAATTCAGGAAATATGGGGCTTGCGCTTGTCTTTTTTTTCCAAAGTTTTTCCTGAGAGCTTCTTTCTCGTGAAAACTATCGATCGGAGTTACAGCCGATTCGAAGTTGTCGGCATAAAAGTTTGATTATTTGTTTGCTTGGGTGACGAAAGACCGACCTCTTGGGAACAAAACCCAACACCGTTTGCACAAGTTTACTGTTGAATCGATTTTTGCTGACAAGCCAAAAGTACAAAAGACGTTGTGATGTAATAAAAATGTTACACGAGATCAATTAAGATAATTATACATACAAAGCATATAATTAAACTACAAAGAGAAGAAAGACTTTCTAAATCATATGTATCCTATCTAGAAATATTCTAACGTGCACTTTTCAAGCTGTGCAATATTAAAATGACGTATCTATCTCCTCAATGTTTACAAATCAAAATACTGAAAAATATGCAGCTTTAAAAAATATATATATATTTACTCCTTTTATGATTTTTCACGGACGTTTGTTCAGTATATCAGGACGTTACGCGAACAAATCTACGAGGCGCGCGATATGAGAGGAGTACCGCTACTAGTGGTTGGAAATAAGCAGGACGAACTGTCACAGACCGTCGCTTCCGGGACCAGATACAGAGACATTGTGAATCTCGTCCGGAAGCACTGGAGATGTGGATACGTCGAGTGCAGTGCCAGATTTAACTGTCGCGTTGTACAGGTGCGCTTCATATATTATTTATCAATCTCGTCGAGAGATAATCTGTTAAGATAATCTATTATTCTGTCCAAATTAAAATTACCTTTACTCTCCCGCTGCCTTTAATTTAATTATTTTGCTATCTTATTTAGCGGTAAAATTGCTGCAATGAATGATCGAAATTTTTTATATAAAAAAAGTCGAAGAATTCGTCAAATTAAAATTAAACTTGTGGAACTTTTAGAATATCGTGTAAAATTATTTAATTATGCCGTAAAATTCATATTTTATGTTATATGGATTCGTAAAATAATGGCAAACATTTCATAAAGTAAAAATGATTAACAACTACATCTCGATAATTAATAGGTATTTCGAGAACTGATGAAGAGTATTCAGGCGATAGAAGGTAGGCCAAACTCGCCATCCCCCGCGGCTTCGCAACCGATGCGATCTTACCCACACGACACCGGCGAGAAGTGCATTCTTCTCTGACATTGAGATTAAATCATATTCCCTGCGAGGTCATACGAGAATATCACGCGATCGCGCACGAAAATGCGCTTTTCGATAGATGTACAATACCCGATAAGATTCATCGTCGATTTAGCGTGTATTATTGGATCTCAAGCAATGAAGACTTGCTCAATAAAGAGCACATCGATCGACGAAAATCGAAAGCAATAGACGTCATACAGACGGTTCTTCTAAAGCTGCAGAGTCGAACGCGCGCAAATGTATGAGCGAGAAGACGTGACTTCGGAATAAGCGACAATAATAATTGAAATTTCGAAAATATTAATAATCGAGAAAACGTCAACGGTAAATTCGTTGTAAATTTCAATCGAATGTATAAAAGATTTTCTAATATAACAAATCATTCACTAAGATTTCTAGATTCTAATGGAAAGAATTCATTTCTTTACAGTATTATATTTTTTGTATTCACATTCATGTGTATGTCGAAAGATTATATTTCCTTATATAAATCACAAATTATGACGCGCACATCGTGTGATGTTTAATGAATCAAAATTATATATCGATTTTTCTCCGAAAAAGATGAAATCGTGCCAATAGGAACATTCGGCAATAATGGACAAATGATGAAGAATGCTTCCCGAAGATGGCTTTCCAAACGCGAAGAAAAAGTAACAAGATTATGATAATAAATAAGACGAGAAAATAGCAAAATGCAGCATCGAGTTTCCAGCTCAATTTTATTCTGCATTCTCATGCTGCATTCGGCCTAAATAATATGACGTTATAAAAAGATATTCGCGAAAAGGACGAAGCAATATAGTACATATATATATACATACATACATATATTTTATTATACTCTGTTAAAAGTTAATCGATTATTAATTTAATGTTGAATATATAGTTAGTCATTCGAGAAAGACGTAATCGTTAATATATATTACGAAATGTTATATATATACATATATATTTAGATTATATATATTTAGATTATATATATCGTATATATTAACGTTATTACAGTTTGTATGTATTCTAAGATAAATGCAACATATGCATAGATATATATGCGCGCAATTTAAATAATGAAATAAGACAATTCTCCATAATTAAGTGAGCCATTTTAATCGCTCATATACAACGTGCAGCATGACGTATGCATAATACTCTATACATTAGCAATAGAATGTTAACAGTATTATCTATTATTATATGATAATTATTATCTATATTTAAACACATGTTGAGAGAAAATCATACATCTCTGATAATGATATAAAAAGTTATATAAATGCTCAATTACTCGAATTGCATACATGCATTTTGTAATACGTGACCGCATGTATTCGTTAGATTCGTTTGTATGAATATCGTAAATGATGTATCGATGGCTTGGAACGAGAGAGAGAAGAGAGAGAGGGGGGGAGTCGCAACTGTAAAGATGAAATAAAAAATCATTAAAATATAAATAGAAATACACTGAAAATACAAAGCTGCGAATGTCCCATATTTTTTCAGTTGTGATTCCCTCGTTCTATACTATCGATCTGTGTCAGTGTGACATGTAACTGATATATACAAGTACGAGAAAGATACTGTACAATCTACAAGCGATAATCTCTTATTTTGTATGTATACGCACAGTATTCGCAATAAAAATCAGCGAAATATTAGAGAACGCATGTAGATTATCTTTTCAGGTAAAAATATACCCCCGCGTTGGAAATTGTCTAATTACCATTTAATAGATTACAGATTTTCATCGGTACAGTAAGTATTAAATAAAAAATTTATACACTTCAAGTTATATAACGACGCAAAACAATAAAATCGAAAACTCTCGCTTCTAATTTCTCTTCAGATTAAATGTCAAAATATCTTTAAAGGGACGCAAAAATTACTCCGTTTGTACAATTTTAAAGAAAAATAAATTCAAGTATTTAATTCGCAACAAGTAAATTCAAAATAGAATTCAATGCTTCATTTTTACTTTTACGTAATATATCGTCGGTTAATCCTTGAATGAAGAGATTATTAGAAATGATGAAAGATGTTTTATCCGTCAAGAGGATTCCGATGTCAAAGAGTTCGTTTATTCACTCTGTGGGATAAAGGAAAGAGTTGCATCACGCCCAACGAAAGAAAAACTAACTTTGGAATGAGAAAACGGCACGTATGACAGTTGGAATTGATTTATCGAAGTACGAGTTGAGATATAATTCGCGGAAAAACTTTGGCGAAACTCGTTAATTCCATCATGGCTTTATTTAAATACATAAACAATCTTTCAATGTACGAGATGAATATTAAAATCTATCATCCTAAGGTAAGCAAGACGAGAGGAGAGCCAAGCACGAGCACAAACCTAAAAGATGCTCTCTGCGAGAAGATTCCCGTGCATCACGATCTTCTAAGATATATTCGACGTTACTTCGGCCCGAATATTATCAGTCAAATTACGGTCGATAGTCTGTACGATGGATTAAGCGATGTAAAAGCAATTGTCAGGGAAACTTCGGAAATCGATCCTAAATACGGCGTAATAATCGTTATTATTTATCAATTATATAATTATTTTTTTTGTTTTGTATAAACGTATCTCAAAAAAATTATGTTGAAGAAATACCAAAGATATTCCAATCTTTTCTTCGATATTTGCTTAACTTATTGTCAGTCGTATTTATTTTTGTATAATAAATTGATTAAATAATTTATTCTCTTATTGATTTGATGAAGCTTTAAGCTTCTCGTGAAAACTATCAATACTTTTTCAATTTCGAAATTTCTTTAGATCTTGTACCGTGGATTGACTATACCGGAAGTAATCACTCTATTGCCTCGTCAAGGAAATTCGCCGAGTGCGGAAGCTATCTTTTGGTTGCTTTTAACCGGTGACATCCCGACGCAACAGCAGACGACTTCGTTAATCGCCGATTGGACATCGCGACGTCAAAAATATACCGAATGGTGGTCAGGTCCACGGGGTGAAACGATAGTTTCAATTTTGCGTTCTATGCCCGAGGCAATTACACCTATGCATAGATTATCGATCGCGCTCACAATTTTTAATATCAGCAAACAAGCAAAGGAAGCGAAAAGACACGGTGCTATACCGTACACATATTGGGAGGTAATTAAAAAAAAGATAAAAGTTTTTATTCAAAAAAATCATGTCACTTATATAAATTTGCATGTTATTAATAATGAAAAAAAGTTTTGTCTCCTGTAATAAGATATTAAGGAATAAAATGCAGTTTGCATTCTCTGCAAAGAATGTAATAATGAAATTAAAAATGAAATAGAAAATATTATGTATAAAGGGTCGTCTACAATGGCCGTAGCATAAAGTTGTAAGATTGTAAGCGAAATGAATCAAATTCATTTCCTACGGCTACTATGTATGTTCTACGGCGGACGATCGTTTGTAGACGACCCTTAAAAGTATAAGCACAAAATTTATAAAAGATATCTTTACTTTTAAATAAGCTTTATAGCTCTTTTTGAATTTTTAATTAAAACTAATTGTTAAAGAAAGTGGCATAATTTGATATCATAAAACTATTATCTTTTTATTACAAAGCACTATTATTTTATATTTTTTAATTAATGCGTCTCGCATCTATTATATTTCTTTCGATATATCTCATAAAATGTTTATTTTAATTTTATTTAAGTATACTTATGAGGACGGTATGGAATTTCTTGCAATTTTACCAGCAATCATCGGTCTAATTGCAAAGAGAAAAATATTGACAAATGTGAGCAGCAAAGGTGATTGGGTGCAATTTCTGTTAGAATGCTTGACCAACATGAATGAGAATTTTGACAGCCGAAAATCATCGGTCGCGGATTTCTTTAGATTATACATCACTTTAAACGCGTAAGTATAGCCGTAGCATAGCATAATAATTTTTTATTGTCCTAATAATATAAGTTCTCAGAAATGAAAAGTAAATTCAAATACTAAACATATTTTTAAAAATTAAAAAAATTAATTATCTAAAATATTTAAAAAAATTATAAATTGGAGAAAAAAGTGATTAACTGAGAGGCAAAATTTCGTGTATTAATTAAAATTCTGTGTAGTGTGTGTTAATTGAAATTTTGAAATTTTGTTTTTCAAATTTTTCAACCAAGTATTGGAAAAAATAAAAGAATTAAATAATTGTTAATATTAACAGTGATGACGATGGTGGGGCTCCTCCTGCTCATATCACGCATATTTTGGGCTCGACTGATCTCCATATAAATGAGATATTATCGAGCAGCGTTTTGGCGTACGTCGATGAGCCTAAAAGTGGAACGATGTTACAGGTCTCGATAACGAATGGTTAAAAGATAAAAAAATTCTTTAAGCTCTTATAAAATCTTTTTTTTTTCATAAATTATGTAGTGGAAAGAATTGCAAACGAAAGTCCAGAATACGCTCGGTCAAGCGTGGACGGAACATGGCTTGAGAAGTCGCGTGCTAAATTTATGGAGCAGAGATAAATTGATAGGGCACCAAGAGGCGGATTTCTGCGATCCTCGATATACGGCTCTTTTGGATTATGCCAGACAACATTTGCCCGATAATCCCGAAATCAAGGTACGATGCGCGCGATAGAAAAACATTCATCTTTGCTAAGGTACGATACAACCAGGATTTTTATAGCTCTCGCAGGATATTACGCGGATATTAAAATCGGCATTGAAGAAACCGAATAGGAAGCCTATTTATCCGGAACAAAGTGTCATAGCTTCGATTATTTTTCAGGTAGAATTATATGTATGTTTTTACAAGAATATAAGCAAAAATAAATTTTTTTTAAATTCATAACATTCAATATTCATAGTGTAATTTACATATTTTATAATTTTATAATTTATTTTATAATTTATAATTTATTTTATATTTTATAATTTATTTTATAATTTTTGTATATTTATTTTATAATTATTTCTCTTTTTTTAAAGAAAGGTTAAAGAAAAGAAAATAAAATGTCGCTCTTAAAATATTCTAACAAAATTGATGGAATATTTTGTAATGATTTATCTCTAGTGCTACGGATTGAAGGACATGAACTTCAATCAAACGATACTTTACATGGCGCGAACTTTGGGAATGATCGCTTCGATTATTTGGACTAAAGCTGTGAACGCGCCTGTCGAACATCCGATATCAAAATGCACTTATAGTTATATAGAATCGGTTCGTACTGACAGTATAAAAAAGCGAGGAAAATGTAAAACACATTTGCCAATGTAAGCTTTTTTAAATTTGACAATTTCTCTCTCTCTCTCTCTCTCTCTCTCTCTCTCTCTCTCTCTCTCTCTCTTATTCTTTTTATAAAAATTAATAATTATAATATTAATTATTAATTATTCACTAACCTTTATTCCATTTGTTCCACTATTCAATAATCTTTTTTTCTATGCTTATGTAATTTCGTCTGGAAATGATGTACGCGCACTTTTCAGATAAATTAATCGTGAAAAAAGTTTTCGTACTCAATCATTACGCGGCCATTTTTACAATGACACATATGACATCTACAGGAAATTCTCGATATTGATCTTAATCTGAACAGATGATATAACAGATTTCTTTTTTTTCAGCGTCGATACACACAAGAATACATAAAAACAGAGAGCACAAAGATGGAATGTTTAATGGATATTTTTAAAAACTAGATAAATGCACTTTTTAAAACTCGTCTAAAAATTCTATCCTTCACTCAACAAGATGAGAAAATTCATTAAAGAGAAAAAAAACTGAACGCGCCTTAATTTCAAATATCCTCTGTTTTAATACGCGTGCTCGAGCTAGATCCAATTATCGTCGTACAAATAATCTCAAAGAAAATGGCGTGACACGATATGCGTTCGCAAATTGCGATTATGATAAACAGAGATTCGGGAAAAGCGCCAAAGAGAATATTTGCTGCCTGAGACGAAAAATAGACGTCGAATTTTCTAGATTGCAAGATAACGAGGCAAAGCATCGAGCATGATTCCATGATCGTAACAAAATTTACATACAGTTATATATCTCAAGGTATATTCTTCTTCTTTCACAACTTTGAAATTGTTAAATATGTTAGTAAATATTTGCTGTTTAATTGTTTCCTTGATGCCTCTATATCGTGGCATTTATTTTCATTATTTTTGAAACTGCATAGATTATAACATTTAAAGTATGTGACGATATATTTTTTCCAAATATATTTCCTCTTAATTGAAATTATATCGCATGTATTATATGCTACACATTCTCCATTTTTGCTGTATCATTAAGAGTATTTTATAAAAAATTGTGTTTATATTAATAATATAACAAATAGAAATGGTAAATCATTTTGCATTTTAGATAAAATATGGATGAAAATAGACCAACAGAAGGAGTGCCAAGGGAAAACTGTAATTTGACAATGCCAGATATATCAAATTCAAATCAAGACAGACAAATTCAAGACTTGCCAGGTGATACGAGATATACATTGGGAAACATAAGCCCTGAAACAGCATTTAATTTTGGTGTCAGAACAGCAGAACGCTCTAGAATATTTGCAGATAATATATCCTCCACCATTCAAGGAATTCGTCCTCTTATACAACAGGCAGCGGTATGTATTATTCAAACAATACTAAATATTAAACAGAAACAATATTTTCTAATTGTTTGTTTTCTTGGAATAGCCTAATATATCATTGACATCACTCTTGAGCATTCATGGACTTCGAAACCAAGTTCATTCGGCTGCATTACCAAATGACAGCTATGTGATCAATTTAGAAGAACCTATAACAAACAATACTCGCAATGATCCTATGCGCAACCATTACCACATAACATCAACAGTATCAAATGATTTATCGAACAATACGCACGAGGGTGCAAACGAAATTATAGAAAGCCAAAATAATAATAATGCCTCAGAGAATACTACTGCCAACAGCAGTAATGTCCAAATAGGTCCAGAAACTCGAGCGATGCTGAAACAGCTTCAACAATATGTTCCCTTTATTGCTATTCTTCTTGCTAAGGGTTTTTACGATCATAGAGCCGGAATATTCATGTTTGTTGTACTGCTGATTGCATTCATTCACGCTAATAATGATCTTAAACGTGAGATCGCCAAACAGCATAATCGTAGTTGGTCGTTGCTTATGCTGATCTTGTGTTACATTACTGCCTGCATCTTCTTTGTCGGTTACACGTTCGATTTGCACGCCTTCATTCCTTATGCTGAACCACTCACAATTTGGGACTTACTGTGTTATGTCACAGTAATGGATTTCTTCCTCAAACTCATTACTATTATGTGCAAAGTTCTTTTGACTTGTTTACCAGTAAGATTATTGGCATTCCAAAATCGCGTAAGTATCCTTACTTCGCTTGAAATTATGGCTAAAGATTTATGCATTATATGAAATATAAAATGTCCCGACTCATTTCAGGGCAAGTATTATCTTATGGTGGAAGCGACGTCTCAGCTTTATCGATGTGTCGCACCTGTTCAACCGTGGTTGTATTACCTGTTCGAGACGTATCAAGGTCCAGAGAAAATCGTAGGAATTTTCTTCTCAGTGATGTATACCATGAGTAAAGGCAGTGATCTATTATCACGTTTCAAACTGTTTCGCACTGCTGTATGGAAATTATTCCAAAATGTGGTATGTAAAATTTTAATTATTTTGAAAATTGTCATGTTATTATATCAATATTAGTAACAACATAGCAATGCTTTTTCTTTATAGAGCTTAGGAGTATCTCCGTCGAAAGAACAACTGGTTGCATCCGGCGGTATATGTGCCATTTGTCACGAAGAATATACTACGCCGGTCAGGCTTCATTGCAAGCATATTTTCTGCGAAACGTGCGTGTCAACGTGGCTCGACAGAGAACGATCGTGTCCACTGTGTCGTGCATCCATCACAGATGATCCAATATATCGAGATGGCCATACGACACACTTTATCCAATTGTATTGATTCTGTCTTCAAAAATGATATCTTCTCTTGTACAGTCCTTTCATAATATTATTAAGTAAAAACGTAACAAGTTTTTATTAATGACAAACATGTTTGTCATCATTATAGAATAATTTTCAAATTTTTATATCTTTAAATTATTTATGACTATCAAATTAAACTCTTTGATAACATTATCGAATTAGTAACAAGTATATAATATGACCTTTTAATAAAATCAATTGCATTGCAAAATGCTCAGATTGAAATATTATTTACGTTTGAACATATGTAAAATATCTTGTACATAAGTGGTATGGTTACATATAGAAATTTCTCTATTGTCTAACATAAAAGAAATTGCGGTAGTACAAGGGTCATGAAACTTGAGAACTTTTAATTCTTTCATTGTAAAAAGAGTAAGAAAATCATTGTTCATGATACTTATTAAAAGAAGGATTCAATTAAATTGTATATGTTAAATAAATTGAAATTTTTTTGATTTATATAATTTTTTATATTGTTTTTATATATATATATATATAATTTTTTTTTTATTCAATTAATTTTTCCTTCAAATTTCTATATTACATATAACAAAGTTATCATGGACACTACATTTTTACAACTATATTTTTTGTCTTCCTGTATTAAAAAAAATAATATATATTATCCTGATATTAGGTTAATGTATGAAACATAATTCATCTAATAAAAGTTGCAACTAAAAAATAGTACATTTATATAATTACCCATAGAGTATCATTACATGCAACAACCCAGACTTAATAGAATTCCATTCCAATATCGCAAATATTTTAATACTTTTATGCCTTTTATTTCGCATGCATGTATATATTTTTCTATATTCTTTATAGATTTCTCTCTATGTACAATTCTACGTATTCCCATAAATAGACGAAATATTAAAATCACGATACTCGTATATCTTTTTAAATATTGAACAAATTTTAACTTAGAAAGAAAATAAGAAACATTTATTCACAGTGCTCAACCAAGAAAGTCATAATTCGATACATCCTCAAACTGCTGATTTTGTGTATTACCAGGTGCCATTGGCCTCGCTGTTATCTGTCCCCTTGGACCTACCATTTGTTGCTGTACTCCAAATACTTGTCTATATTGAGGTTGTGGCTGCAAAAAAATTAATATATATAATATACTATAAAAAATATTAGAAATATAAACACATTTTTTAATAATAAGAAATAATAAAAAAAGAAGTGAATAAAATTTAGGTTTTCTAGGAAACTTTCATAGCTATGATTCTTACTTGTTGTAATAAATGTCTGAGACCAAGATTATTTGCGGAAACAGGACGCATCAATCTTTGAGCGTTTGCCTGTTGATTGGACATAGCGGCTGGATTTAGGCTTCTCTGTGCCTGTTGCGCCTATAACAATAATTATTTTTTATCATCTCACGTGTATCATTTATTAAAAATATATATCTAGATAAGATAATAAAAAATAACTTGCCTCAAGTTGTTGTTTATATTGCATTTCTTGTTGTTGGGCCACTTCTAGATTTTGTTGAATCTGTATAATTATAATATTATACATATATATATAGCCATGAGAGTTTTCAAAACTTAAAAAAAAACTGTTTCTATTATTAAATATAAAAGTCTATACTTACATTTACCTCTAGTTGAGATTTATACTGTGCTTCTTGTCGTTGCGCATCCTCTAACGTTTGTCTTAGATGTTGAATTTTCAACAAATTTTGATGCCTGGCCATTTCTATATCATCAAATGGAGGTCGTTGCTGTCCGATCATACCACCAGCACCAGTATTCGCTTGTGGACCACTTATTCCACTATTCTATAAATATATAACAAACATCTTAATGAATATTTATTGATAAATAATCATTCTGTTTCTTAGAAAAACATGCTCACACGTTACCTGCATGTTCATTTGATTTTGTGGACCAGTAGTCGAAGTTAAGGTTTGTGGAGGAGCGTTAGTACATACAACGTTCTGCGTTATTTGGCCCCCTCCCATTGCCATAGTATTCGTTTGGGACATAAGAATACCACCTTGTGTACCTGTGGTAGGCATGGGAGCAGGAATCGTATTTCCCGGTCCAGGATTAGCCTAATGAAATTATATGAATACTCTCCGATATTTTTTCGTTAATTCATAGATCAATTCGCTTGTCGTTATGCTTACTTGTCCCTGTCTTAGAGAAGCGTGAGATGTTTTCTGCTGTTGTATCACTTTGCGAAGACGATCAACAAAACCTGTTTGATCGTTCGGGATAAAGCCTAAATATGTTTTTTTTTCTGCAGTGTATAAAAGAATAAGTACTTTTATCTCACAAGTCGGGCTCGTTGGAGCGGAGGTAAAATGAACACAACCTGCCTGAGAAATATTCCAAATTTTAAACATTATTTTTATTTAAAAGCTAAAAATGTATCATGTAACATAATGAATATACTTACAAATCCAGTACTCATCATTTTCGTTAAAGATTCCAATGCTTCACACGGCGTCGGATGGAAAAGAACAGATTTAGAATTCTTTAGATAAGAACCACCAATATTTCCTATCAATTGTTTTGGCATCAATTGCATAATTAATTTCTGTGGCCACGTATCTGCTTTCCTGAAATAATAAAGATTATGCAAAGTAAAAATAAAAGAAAAAACCTATCTCCAATAACGAAATAAAAATAAGATAGCGAGAAACAATAATTTACAATTCTGGTTCTCCATCTTTCAAATTAGCCGAAACATGACATGGAACATGTCTCGTTTGCTTTTGTGCATCTGTAGGATTTTTGGCCTTTTCGATCCATTCCACAATGCCGTGCCAGATGTTGTGGCGCTCGCGTGACCCGCCTTGTACAGTACCAGTAGACACAGTGCCCTAAAAATGGGAATGATACATGTATTAAATTAAATATATCTTTAACAACATACAATTTTTATACATATAAGATACATTTATAGATTAAAATATAAAACATTATAATTAAATGTAATACTAATTGTTGCAATGTTATTTACTTTGTGCATTGTTAGTTACTTGTGTTTGAGGATGAGTAATCTGTTGCGTAATGGAAGACACCGAGACTGGCGCTTGTTGCGAAGCTGTGACAGTCTGTGACACTTGAGTAGGCACTGATTGGCTAATACAAGACACAGTAAGTTGTGATCCCGGTTGACTATGGGTCGGTTGAGCAGCCATAGACATAGTAGCCTGTTGGGCATTTTGCTGTTGTTGCAATTGCATCGTCAATCGCAGCTGTTGCTGTTGTTGCGTGAGTTGTTGTTGTTGCTGTTGTTGCTGCTGCTGTTGTTGATTAGCCGCCATAACATTATTCCCACCTACTAAAACAAATTGTTCGAAAATCATAAAAATTATCTCGATTCGATAAACCGCATAAGCAACAATCAGCAATTATAATTTAAAAATTCAAATCTAACGGGCATCGAAAACCTTCTCGAGCCTTCGATTGATAAGAAAAACTCGAACGTTCAAGTTAGCTTAAATTTTTTCAACGCCTAAGAAACGCTTATCATGCTCGTTGACAATAACATTGTCAACCGTCGACGAAATCTAAGCAACATACGGGAATGCACGCCCATACGTCACGATCAGCTGATCGCCAATCAGCTGATCGAAAAAGATCGTGCGCATGACTATTGTAAAAATCTTAACTTCTGACCTCATCGGCGGCTAATAATGCGCGGCGCCCTGAGGTCACCGCCAAAATATAAAATTAATTGGTCCACGTCGCAACGAGCCCAAAATTTCGCTCGATATATAATGGGCACCGCGCGTGGACCCACCGAAGTCTTGCACTTTATGCTATCAGTACCGCTTATTCAACCGTTTTGTTAAAACCGCTAAATTCTTATATGACCGCTTATTTTCTCGGATCTCCGTTATCTCTTCATAAAAATTCGCAGATCAAACCGCATATTCTCGACTCGACCGCTATTTCTCTCGGACTTTGATTATCCGCACGTTTCCAACGCTCAACTCGCTACGCCGCTTGCGATGTCTCGCACGATAACCGCTTCGCTTCTTGCACCACTCGTTTTACTGTGAATCGTCATCACTGCACTGAACACTTGCCACTTTTATTCTTGACTTTAATAAAGTTCTGTCTTTTTGTCAATCAGAAGTGAATATCTTTTCACTCAACGATCTTCCACTTTCCTTAATTCACTGCCGGACTCGCTCGCGAACATAAATATTATGTAACTTGCATTATCAAGAGAAAATAAAAAGTAAGATTTCATCATTGGTGCTCTTACCATCCAATCTTTGACCAAATGCAGCTACATTGAGTCCTAACGACGACGGTGGCTGCGTTAATTGCGCTATTAGCGCACTGCCCTGCGTATTTGTAGGCGCAGCAGCGCCTGGTGTTATATACGGTCGCATCCATCTGGCTCTCGTAGCTATATTCACTCCTGCCGGATGATAATTCGGTGGCGCGGCAATTTGCGGGTTGTAAGGAGGCCGTGCGGTATTCATTGGTGCCGCCATGCTCGACGGTACATTCTGATGGACCGTAATATTTTGAGGCGTTTGATTCCTGAAGGCAGGACTTTGCTGCTGATTCGGCGGGGCAATGTTCTGCTGTACTTGATTAGTGTTTGGACTATCATTGCTCTGTAATGGACTTAGAGGGATTTGCGTCACGCTGCTTGTATTATGAACATTACCGCCCATTTGCGGACTAACGGGTCTTTCCTTTAAGTTGTAATTTCGTAACAACACCAAATGCCGTGGATCTTTGGCATAATTTTTCGTTTGCGATGACTGTAAATCACCGCCAGCCTTTTCAAATAATTTGTATAATGCTGGAATTTTTCTCGGTGATAATATAGAAATGTTAATATTTCTCTGAAAAATTATACACACAAGTATAAATAGATACATATGTGTTCTTTAAATATATTACATTTACGCTTGATGTAGTTCTTATATTATTCACCTCTTGATAGATAGCAGCTAACTGTTCAATAGTGTGACCAGCAAATTTGTAAGATTCTTGAATCATAATTTGATATGGAGGTGAATTACATATCAAGATACAATGTTTCTGTGATGCAGTATTTGGCTCTCGCCTCAGTTGCAAATCTTCAAAACATTGTAAACCTGTTGCGAGGCCTTCACCTATATTTGCACAAGATTCTCCCTTCCCACCAACCATTCTAGACAATGGAGTATTATTATTAAAGTAAATTAATCAATAGAAAAAATATCTAATTTTAAGGATATAATATATAATGTATTATTTTTAGTTTTGCAATTTTTACAATTATATTATAAAAGATGTGCAACTACAAATATATGCTTTTACTTACTCAAGCTTGTCCAAGACCACCAATAGCTTATGAGGATTTGAATAAGGTCCAAAAGTTTCTGTACAAGGTGATGGTAAGCAATCAGCGGCATGGTAAACAACTATTCCATACAATGTTGTACTATTCTATTATACAATTATTAATTATTAAGATAAATCATAAGTTAATTTCAAAATAATATAAGAAATATATAATTATATTATACCTCAGAGACATATTCTCTGTCTTCTATGCCACCTTGACTAAAATATCTGTGCACAGAAATATGAAAAATAAATTAATAAAAAAATCTCTTTACACTATATATATTATAAAATTAACATTTTAATAAATATAATATATATTTATAATTTAATGCACTTACTCTAATGTAGGAATAAGATAATTTGTTTTAAGATCATTGAGGTATGCGCCATTAACAGCTGTTCCTTCAATGACAAATATAACATCGGCTTGTATTCCATGTTCAGTAGGTCCTGTTACCATTATCCTGGAGTATGAAAGAAATTATTTATAACTTGTACAAGTACTTTCACCAAGTTGTGTATATATATTGTATTTTGTATATATATATTTTGTAAAAAATCATCTTTCCAAAGATTTACGTCATCTAGCTTTGATAAAAATAAAAATTGATAGAGTTTACTTAGTATAGCCTTTACAATTACATCCTACTTAAGATAAATTTCATATATATTATTATAATATACACATTTTTCAAACTAACAACAAACTTAACATACACATTAAATACAAACCAAATTTATTAATTATATTGTTTCAGAAACGACTTGGCAAATTTACATTCAGTTAAGATTGACATCCGATTAAATAATTCACCTGTCTATTTCGATTTTTTAAAAAATATATATTAAACATATATGTTACACGAAGAAAATTATTTTTCTGTAAGAACTACAAAAAGAAACAAAGTTACAGAAGCATAACTACCTGTTTGTTGTAATCACAGACTTCTATATATATATGTCTGTCGTAATATGCACTTTAGCAAAATGATACAATGAAATTATTCGCAACTATTTATTTTACATTAGAGAATTTTTTCCAGCAATTGGAGAGTTCTCTCTCTCTCTCGCCATATAAGGTTTGTTCTTTCCAGCTGAACTTTCTGTACTAGTTCATAAAGTGTACACTGAGGCGTTCTTTTTAGAGAGAAGTGACGTCAAAGATGACTGTTCTTTTCAATAGTGCAACAGAACTGAGTAGAGCGGTTCACTGAACTGCCTGCCCCAGGAGTCTGTTCTTTTCAGCTGTACTGCTGCACTAGTGCAATAAGTTAGAAAGAGACAAACATACTTTCTTTCACTCTAACTAATTGCACTAGTGCAGCAGTGCAGCTGAAAAGAACAGATCCCTTCTCGTTTCTATCTACATTTCTGCACCTATGAAATTTTTACTGTACTCGTCAGTCCTAGTTCAGAACTAGTGCAGAACTAGTGCAGCTGAAAAGAGCAAACCTTCTGAAATCACCTCTTCGGAATTTCTCGTTCCAATTCTCTAACACAGCGTAAATCCCTGCAATACCGACGTACCTGCAAGCTGGGAATGGTTACCCTCATTCGCCGATAGATGTCATTGGCGGCGCTTCGATCGCCACGCGGCGCGCGCAGCCATCGCTTGCGCATAACCTAAGACATAACCCCGTCACCCCGTCGCGTGTGCGGTGTACACGTGAGGAGGTGTCCGGGAGGTGTACGTACTCGTCGTTCGCGCGGCATCTGACTACTGTGCACGTATCGATGGTGAGCAGGAAGTGTGCACGAGTCGTCTCGTGACATCCCGGGCGGTTTCAAAAGCGAGCCGTTTTATCTGCGATTTCATACGTGATTATGCTGTATAGACGCGCGATCGTGCGCCGACAGTATGTACACGCATATATTACTGCACACGCTGTTAAAACTCGCGCATTTCCTACATAATGTGTACATCGCGATTCGCTACGCCTGCATCGTCGGTTACCGCAAGTGCACGGGTCTCTTGTGCGCGAGGACGGAGCTCGACCTGCTCCTGCGTATGCGCGCGAAAACCAAGAAGATACCCAGGCACTTGGTAATCGTGTTAGGACTGTGCGACGAGTCGGTCCTGGACTGTGTGCGTATAATAGGATGGTGCATTGCACTTAATATACCTTACATCAGCTTCTTTGACCGTAATGGTAAAAAAACGATTTGGTATCAATCTATATATCTCTCTCTGTATGTGAACAATTTTGTCGCGAAAGAAAGATCATATCTTATACCCTGTGTATATTATGTATGCGCTTGTGTTCAAGGTCAATGTATTTGTTCTATGATGTTAATCTCAAAATAATCACAAATATTAGCATACTCTGGAGGTTTGCGCAACATTTTTTTGCCATTCAATGCAATATCTTGGAGTTGAAGCATCATGTTGCAAATTGAATTGCATTGTTTCAGTTACATTTTATTATCACAAGTTCTATCTAAGATATCTAAGATTATCTAAGATATCTTGATTGTGTGCGCAGCTCTAAGATTATAGAAAATGTGATTCTCCTATTATATTATTATATATCTGATTATGTTATTGTATAACATTTCTATAATTTTATAGCATTAATAAGATTATAATCAATTATAATCTGTAAAAAAAAGAATTTTATTGTAATAAAATATTGCATTTCATAGGAAGATAAAATTCAGTTATCCGATGAACTATGTAATATTTTGTTTGTTCTTAACAATTTTGCTTTGCATATTTTGGTTTGCATCTATTATTTTTCAATGTATCAATCAATTTATTTTGCTTGTTAATAAGTAATGAAATTATGATTAGAAAATAATTTCCTTATGAATTATTGTTTTCTATTGCATCATCCATATTATTAATCCCTTTTCGTTACATAAATTTATCAATTCTTACATTGTTTTTTCTGTAATAATTTTTTCTATAGTTTATAACTTCTATATTTTTAGGTCTATATTTTCTATAGTTGATAACAAGAGCATGTATTATTATAATAATAATAAAATAACAAAAGTAAGACAAAAATAAATATAAAAGTAACAATGTGATAAAATGTGATAAATGTTTTTAATGAGTTTGTATAATACATGTGGACTGAGACTAAATTTCTTTATGCAAAAGTACAGAAAAATATATATTTTTGCAAGTGCCTTGCAATTGTCATTATGTAATTTAATATTATATATCTTAATAATCAAATCTTGCAACAAAAGATGAGTTATATATTTTTAATATATATTGAGCGTCTCTAAAATATATATTTATTATACTTTTCTACAAAAAATTAAATATAATTATTAATATATATAAAAAAGATAGAATATATAAAATTACAAAAAGGTATATAATGTGTATAATGTGAAATTATGAAGAATATAAACAAAATTCATGTATATACTAATAAAAAACATTTATGCAAATGTAATTGTTTTAATTATAGATAGAGCAAAATAATTTCATTCAGTAATTAATTTTATATAGAGGTACACATGGGTATAAATTATTTATGAGAAATATATTAATTTTGTTTATTTAAAAATAATAAATATATAAATATGAATAATTACTATATAAATTAAAATTTATGAAATTTATATTTTCCAGGTTTCTTGAAAAAAAATGAAGCAAATCTTAAAGAAGAATTTGCAAAAAAGCGGCCTGATTTAATAGAGCATATTATTTGGAATTCACATACAAAGCCACCTAGTCAAAATGGAATAACTGGTATAATACATTGTTTTTATTTATTTATGCTTGTTATTTATATTTATATATGATTATATTGATGACTATCTAATTATTTTCAAGAATATTGAAAGTAAAATTAAAATAATAACTCTCTTTTAGCTTAGATTTTTTAGAATAAATTCAAGTAACAATAATATAACTAACATAAACATTGTTATGTTATGTTAAATACTTATATATAAAATATTCTTTTTTTTTGTACTATTTTTACATCTTTCTAATATATTTCTCTTTAGACATAAGCAACAAACTTTTATCTTATTAGTTTATTGTCAATTGATTATTTTTGATAGCTAAAACTAAAAATAAAGTAGAACTCAAAACTATACAAAGTGACTTATTATTCCAAAATAAGTACTGACTTTATAATTATATGCAGTTCTTAATCATGTGTATTGTATACTGATATCAGGCACTGAATGTTGCGTTACACTGTATGTTATGTTATATAATCACATGCATGGAGGTGAAATATAATATTTAAACAATATATATATGATACTTTTCTCTCTGGAATTGTGTATTATTAATATTTCACAAATTTCTGTGTTATTGAATCATAAAATAAATATTCATTTATTAATAATATGTAGTATTAAAATGTAGTATATTATTAATAAATATTCATTTATCAATAATATGTCATCTGTTTTTTCCTTTTTTATTTATTTTCTTTTTTAAGGAAATCTACTAATCTTTTTTATGTTTCAATTACAGGCAGCAAGTCAAAAATAAATGTATTATTACTATCTGATACAGATAATAAAGGGAAAATAGTAACATTAGTGCAATCATTGACAAGAGCTGTATCTTTGGGGAAACTTGACCCAGAAGATATTACAGATCAATTAATATCTGAGAAGTTAAATATGAAAGGATTGCCCAATCCTGATCTTGCTTTAATATATGGCTACACTTGTTCCACACATGGTCTACTACCATTGCACACAAGAACAACAGAGTTTTTGTAAGAACATAATATATATATTATTATTGTATAAAAATATATTTTCCAAGTTTAAATTTCATTTTTCTCTTAAACTGTTAATTTCTTTTTTTCAGAACGCTACCGTTGTACATTAGTATATCAGTGGAAGATTTCATATATCTACTAGAAAGATATAGTAAATTTGTACAACGGTATGGGAAATGATACATAAATGATACATGTATATAATTGATCTTATTTATATAAAACTGCATTTCAATAAGGAAAAATAAATTATCGTGAAGACTGAGCGTCTAATATAATTATTTTATATGTGCTGCAGAGATAAAAATGTATAGTCAAAATTGTATCATGAGATAATGTTAATATTATAATTGAGAGATATCAAAAAGAATTATTGCCTAAATTAATAATTGGTATGTAATACTGCATACTACATAAGAGAAAACGGTTATTTGCTATATTTTTATTTTCATACAAGCATAAAATTTGTTTATTTCATGTAATAAATGTAATTTTATTTGTATAATCTATATTAATATTACAAATAATAATATTACAAATATATGTTTTTAAAACTTTCAGTTATAATAGCTGAATGTTGCAATAGTTACATGGCAAACACTTATGATTACCTTGCATAGCTTTATATGATAAGATAATTGAATATATGATAGTTTCGATAGTTTTAAGAGTTCCTAATACCCAGTGCTTGTTCCAATTCTGCCCGTTTTTGCTGTACTTTTGTGTAAAAGTACCTACACACAGCTTCCTGTGCCCATGGTTGGTAGTAAAATTCGGCTCTTCTTTCTTCTTCTGGATTGCCAACAACATCTGTCATGGTTTTTAAATCTCTAGTTTGAGAGATGATCCACTTGTTAATAAATTGTTGCGGATCTTTAGCAAAACTCAGAAAGAATTCGCGATTGGTCTTCAATTGATTAATCGTTTCAACAGTTTCATGAATCTTGTTATCCAGACTCTGAATTTCTTGCTGGCTCGCGGTTGACAATAAGAAATTATTCATTTGCGTCTTCAGAGTATCGTCAACCTCTACATCAATGTCATAACACGCAGTCTGCTTTGTTTCTGTGCCTGAATAATGTAAATTTTATATCAGATACTTAAATTAATTTTAATTTATAATATAGCTACAATATAAACTTATTAATTTGCAAACTTATTTTTATTACAATAATATTCAGATTAGATGTAAAAGTATTTTACTTACCTTCTACGCTTATGATATGATTTATTACAATAGGATCGGGTGGGTGCAGTAATGGATTCAGTCGTTGCGGTATTTCCGCAAATTTCATTCGCGGACAGGCAAAAATCTGTTCCAAATATTTATCACAATTGATAAATTCTCTTTCGTGACTGTCCTGTAGCTTGTGCGTCTTTATATATTGCCAGAGTGCGGATATAATTACGGGTCGTGTCTGTGTGTGTACTCCTAATAATCGCGCTAATCTTGGATCCAATTTAAACTGGAATATATAATTAATAATGAAGTTGAGTTATATACTTACAATACTACATACAATAATGTTCACTCTTATGTAAAAAAAGAGTACCTGCAACGGCTGATAATCGAGAAGAAGAAGAATTGTACAACGAACATTTTTATCGCCGGGTCTTTTAACTTGAAATCCGTCAGTTTCTTGAGTAGTTAATGTACGATGCCATTCAACTAAATGATTGTCAGGACCATATAGATCTTTATCCAACTCTATCACTAAACTTTTGAAGAAAGACGAAAATTTGCGCTTTACCTACAAAAGTCGCAAAGTTATTAATGCGTAATTAATAACATATTCGATTTTATATATATACAGGATGTTCGGAAAATCGGCCGCAGAAAAATTGAAATTTTTAAATTTATATTTATATAGCTTTCTTCCTTCTTTTTGGATACCGAATCACTTCCCGAAGTACTGCGGATGATTTTTCTGACACCCTATATATTACATATACAAAATCAAATGTTAGATAATATGAAAGAGAAAAGAACACGCCATTAATATGCCAGTTTTATAGTTGTTTTATAATGCATTGCAGCATTACATACCTTATTGGGATCATTTTTAGTATCATCTAAAAGACGTCCTTCGACTCGAAGTTCCCAGGATGCTACAGATCCTTCTTCTCCTTCACCCGCCTCTTTAGCGGGATAAAACGTATTTGAGATAAAAATACGTAATTTCCGTTTTTGTTTCATTGGACGTTTCAAAGCTTCTTGAATATCGAGACGCTTCCGCATTATAGTTGCATCCAATTTTCTCTCGAATGCGAGTAGATCCATATAAGCTTGCGACTCTGGCACCAAATCGCGTACTTTCTGAGGCAGTATTTTGTCTGCCAATTTCTTCTTTTTCTTTGATGTGGAATGTGAAAAATCACTGTTCCAAAAACACCTAAATGAGTTTATTCGAAAACCATAGATACAGAAATTATAAATAGTTTTGTAAGCCTTGCGTCGCAGTTGGGACATTCCTGATAAAACTTAGTTGGATAGTTAACTTAGTTTAGATAAAACGCAATTGGAACAAGACATTATCAGAATTTTATTACAAATATTATAAATATAAATAGAGGAATGTTTTAAATATTTTATACGTAAAAAGAACAAGAAAAAGGGATACAGCATGCAAAAAGAAAGTATGCAAATAAGATAAAGCTAATCATTAAAATATATCCGGATTAAAATAGAAATGCAAAATCTACGTGGACACATTGCAAGATAAAGATAAATAGAAAGCAAATTTCTCTTGATAAATGTTCTCTTGACTTACGGTTTTTGTTGTGACATAGGAATACGTTGATCTGCAGTTCTTTTTCCAACAGGTGGTGTGGGCATTGGACCTTGACGCAAATTTGAATAAGGCTGATTTGGCCTCATTATTCCTCCAGGACCAGGTCCTGCATTACCCATCTGTGGCGGTGGAGTAAATCCAGATCTCTGTTGTATCTATGAGGAAAATCATTTGCTTGTAATGGTAATTTATCCAATATACACATTTTAAAGATTATATAACTATATAATTATATAATTATTAAACATTGTTATCAATTTCATTAAATTTGAAAATTATATAGTCTATAATCTAATTATATAATTTTTTTATGTAGCATCTATTCATTATATTAAAATTAAAAGGTATGCTTACTGGAAAATTTGGCCCAGAATACTGGCGTAAGTTTGGTGGTACCGCTGCTGGTGGATACCGCTGAGGAGGTGGTCCATTGCTTCCTGTATTTGGTACAGGAAATCTCTGTGCCATCTTTTCTTGCTCCTTTAGAAGAAAAATGAATAAACAATCTTAAATATATCTTTTTCAGAAAAAGTAATGAAATTGTAATAATATATTCATAATTGATATTCTACAAACATAACATAACCTGATATAGAAAGATAGTTGTTAAGACTACTCAAGATAAACAATGTATATTATATGCAGTCATAACTTGTGTAATTATCATGTATGATCACGTAAAAGATAGTAAAAAATAGACAAGTTTGCGCGAAATTAATATATTCGTTTTTGAAAATCACTTTGAATTAGCCAATTCCTCAGGTAGATTATAAGTAGAATTATTGTACTTTTAATTATTTTGCTGAGCAGAATGTATACGTACCACAAATCTAATAAGAATTATTTATCAAGTACAGATACAAATAAACAAGTATCACGAAGTAACCTACGTAATGCTAGTTGATGTTTGACAATACACAACTTGGCTCCGTTTTCCCAAAACTTCTTCCAGCTTCCAGCGTCTCGATTATCGCGGTTTGATGAACACATATTTTACAGTGTCGCCAACATGGTATCTAAAAGTTTCCTAGAATCCCCTACTCTTTAGCTATCATTTACAATCATCTCGTTCATTGGTCAATTTCTACAATATTTTCATTTACGCACAATAGTCTAGTATTTTTTAACCCATGCATTTGCTCTCTTTAGGGATTCAGTATCTCTTTCTTACTTATCATTCTCTTCATAACACAGATAGAGAAGGAAAATATTTAATTCGCTGTGATTATACCGTGATATGTGACGAAGTTCTTGCTGCTATCGAACAACTTTGACGAGAAAATCCATCTTTGCAGCCTCTCCTTCCTTCCTGAAGAGAGAAAAGAATAGGCAGGCATGGCAGGTCTTGTTACAAAAACCAGTGGATTGATAAAAGGTATGAATAATTTTTTTTAAAAACTTTATCGTTAAATTTCTTTCGTGTTATTACTTCAAGAAAATTAAATTTATTGTAACTTGCAGATACACAGATTATTATATAACGTTTACTTATTCATTTTCATGACATAATTAATCGCACATGAAAAATGTCTAAAAACAAAAATTTGTTATTAATTTCTTATCATTTTTTGTCAAATATTTTGTGTCTGTAAACTCTCGTATCCTTCCTAATAATTTAATCTTATTCTATTAGGAGGTTATATTGACTTTTGAAAAGATGAACAAATATCAAAATTTGCCTTTGACAAAATCATCTATGAAATATTGAATCTTAAAGACTGATTAAAAAAATTAATTTAAAATCTTTATTATTTAATATTCTTCATCTCAATAATAAGAAAATTTAATCCAATATTTATTTGCTTCACACTTATATACAATTTTTACTCTTAACTATAAAATATCAAATAATATATGTGTATCAATTGCAGTTGGTATAAATAATGCAAAGCCTGTGCTGCATGTATGGCAGCAATATGCCAGGGTAGAATTGACACCACCCACTTTGAGAGACTTTCCTGCCATTCGAAAGGGCTTTTCAAATTTGATTCAGGCTGCGAAGACTGGTCGCTATCGTGAAGTCACCGTACGCGAGGCTGTCGTAAACACCTTGGTAGCTGCTGAAATATATTGTTGGTTCTATGTTGGAGAATGTATTGGAAAGCGACATCTTATTGGATACGATGTATAAGTATGCCATATATTTAATCTCTTGCATAGATAATTGTGTATAAATTATATAGATTTGGTCCTAAATATACAAAAATATAAATCGTACACTTTCTCTTTTAATAAGTATTACGATCTTTTATAGTAATATTTTTTTCTCCTAAAAATTCATTTATCTTGTATTATTATCTCGTACCTTCAAACTTGAGAAAATTGTCTTAATGTGTGTTGGCTCGCATACTGCCATATGCAAATTGCAGCAGTAACATGAACATTTAACGATCGTATCACGCCTACTTGAGGTATTTCTACACATGTGTCAAAGAGAGGTATGAAATTGGCAGGTATACCATCCTTCTCATTTCTGTGAAAAGTATATTCCTATGAAAATTAAATTGACTACACAAAGTATAATGCATTGCAAGTCAAAATTTAATTACCCTAAAACGAGAATAGTTTTTTTCTCGAATTTTGTTTGTAGAAGATTTATGCTATTGGCTGTTTGTTCAGCACCGATTAGAGACCATCCTGCGTTCTTTTTCTCAAACAAATACTTTTGTAATTCGTGTGGTTTCACCTAAAGGTTTTAAAACATTAATATTTTCATGTACAATTTGTAAAATTTTCATAAAAAGTTTCCAAAATCAAATCAAATTTTTCAAAATTTCAAACTTACATACCTGTAGTATATTTATCCATCTTTCTGCAGATACACTAAGGCACTGAAACTCCTTATCTTTTATATAATCCAAATTTGCAATAACTAATGCCTTGACTCCAAATATTTCACATGTCCTAGCAATTCCACCTAAATTTGGTGGCCGATTGATAAAAGATGCTACAACTATCAGACCTTCTTTATGTGATTGTAAATCTTGTTGATACATAGATTCCTTCATTGATTCAAAAATATCACTGTATAGTGGAATTGTAGATTTGGATGGATCCATTTTTTTCTGAATATCGTGTAAACCTTCTAAATAGGTTTCAACACTATTTGCTAATGATTCTGTATCATCTATAATACAATTATTTTATATTTTAGAAACTATATAATGTTTTTATTTTATTTTTTTAATTTACCTGCAAGAGATTTTGTGAGATATATAGAAGTTTTAGTCTCAGACAGAAATGAATCAATGTTATAAAGTTGTAGAGGATGATAATCATTATGTTCAAACATTAAGGCTTTGAATATATCTGGACTGATCCATTCATCAGAATTAATATTAGTCAACCGTGGTAATTCATAGTAAATTGTCTATAAATATAAAAATTAATATGTTAAATATCATTGATTTATAAAATAATTTCTTTTTTTTATTTGAGTAAATATATAATATATACCTGCAAACTATAATCATTGATTGGATGAAAACTCGAAAAGTAGAAATCATCCTGTATGCTAATCGAATTTTTTGTTAAACTACTATCTTGTAAATTAATTACAGCTGCCTGATATATGCCTTTGTATTCGGATATGCTATCATCATTTGCTTTTTTCATTAACTCATATAATTGTGTCAAAATAAACTAGATTGAAAAAATTAAAATGAATAAATATTATGAAATATACATACAGATACAAGCATTAATATGTAATGGTTAATTTTTTTACTTGCCTGGTTATAAAGACGTATATTAAATTGCTGACCTAAACAACATTGTGCTATGTATGGCAGAGCTGCGCGAATAAAATTTTTCTGATCATCATTTGATAGAAGTTGTGCAACATGATAAATAATACTGGCTATAGAAATTGTACATCCTGGTCGCTCTTTTATACCCTAAAAACATAACACTATGTTATAAAATTATTAACACTATGTTATATAATTAATTATATAAAAACAAATACATATAAAAAAATTTCTTTACAGGATTATGAAATTTACTTTGATTACCTTTGAGAAAAATTGCCATAGCTTATTATGCAGATTAATATTTTTCTTAAAAATTCGTATCATTATCCATTCTTGCATTAATCTCACACTGTGCTGATTGCTTTCTAGGAGAATTAAATCACATAACTTTTCCTGTAGCTGGACAACGAGTTCCTAAAATAGTTATTTATTCATTTCCTCTACAGTAGAGATAAAGAATTAAAATTCAATTAATAATAAGCACTTGGTCTACTCACTTCGCTCAGAACTGGTTCTAAAATCAACAAAATTTGCATTAATCTGTGTTTTAATTTATGTATGTAAGAGTTGTTAAAGTGTCTCTTGTTTTTGTATTTTTCCAATATTTCGAGTATAAGTGGCATAATTATCGCTGCATAATTTAATTCCAGATGGTTGATTATCTTATATAACAGTACAATCGCCTCTGCTCTAATTGCAGCATCGTTATTATAATCTCTGTTGTGAAAACATCGCAATTGACAAATTAATTTATAAATTATACATATATATTCACATGTATATATGTGTATGTATAAAATTGTATTATAAAAATTTATATTGATACACAGACTTGCTTACAATGTCAATATATGCTTTGGATAATATTGGCCCAAATGCTTGATTATAAATAAATGAGTATAATTTTCGATTCTTTTATCACGCCGAAGTACAGAACCGTGAAGAAGACAACTCAATAATGGTCTTTCCAATTTTAGCAAATTACATTCGTTCAATTTTTTCATTTTCAAAAGTAGTATTCTCTTAAATTTCGGCGTACTGTCTCCTTCTTCCACTAATTGATCTACAAACTGCAAAGAAAGATATTATAAAATATATATTATTATTATTATAAAATCAATGTATCATAAAAATCCTGATATATGTTTTTTGGATTATTTCTAACAACTTACTTCTGTTATAAATTGTATTGCATTAGGCAAAATCAAAAAGTTATCATTAATGATAATTCCCGTAAGATTCTGTATTGCTGTCCAAAAAATATTGTTCTTTTTACTGACAAAGATACATCTCCAGCATGATTTAAAAATATTTTCCAAAGTTTCTCTATCATTTGTAGTATTTATTACTTTATTATCAATCATTATTGTCAATATCGTTGCTATCTCAGAAATAATTTCGATTCCCCCTAACTCGAAAAATTTTAATAAATTAGACAGCAATGCGGCAGTGGAAATCCATGAATGTATCGGAGAATTCGTAAGATATTGATGCATGAGTTTCGAAAGAAGCAAATAATATTCCGATGCAATTTTTCCTCTTAAATCTGGTGTATTGTCATTATTAACGTTTACTGGAATCGCTTGTACGTTTAACAAATGTTTCGTATAAAAAGTTGTGGTTAACGGCAGAATTAAAATATTCTGGGTAAGATGCAAAAGATGTAATCCAAACAAGTATCCCACGTTTTGATGTTGCGTATTTTTTAATAAACGTATGCTTTCGTTTTGCAGCTTTTTCACATAATCGTTTGCACAGTGTGACATGACCAATTTTGCGTTAACGATATGCAAAGATACTATAACTATATATCTCGTGTAATCTTCGTACGTTAGTTCTGTGGCCATCTTTCTCACATTTTTAATTAGAAACTCAAAACCGAGGGGTCCGTATAATGATATCAAGTCCATGTAGTTGAAAGTTTCTTTGGAGAGATTTGATAAATGCGATATAAATTCTATCGCATCGATACTTGAGTCCATATCTGCATAAGGCCTCATACAATTTAAACAAAATAGCCATCTGCTGAATGCTTGTTCGCCGCGACAAATTATATTCTTCAGTATAAAATTCGCGTCATATAATAAATATGTTATCAACGCAAACGTCTTGAGGTTTATTTCAGGAGTGATATCTTTGTGCGAATATTTCAAACAAGTATTCTCCACAAAAGTTATGGCGTCTTCTTTCGTTAATACTTTTCTCAACCATGTTGTAATCACATTCCAGAGAGCACTTTCTCTTTTAAGACCTTCTTCAAAAGGAAACGCAGCTAAAGTATTAGCGAGTAATATCAGATTGTCTATTTTATGCACATAATCGGGGATTGCTCTTAAAAGTTCAATTTGAGACGCAATACGTAATATATGAGAATGCATATTCAGGTTCGTCTCCACTAAAGATTTAACGGCATTTAATTCATTGGTTTGCCAATTACATTGTATCTTATGCGAAACCGTTCGTAATGTGTGTATTATATAAAATATTGGCACAGGACCCCAAATTACTTTGCTAACTTTTTTCAGAAAATTATTAAGTAAATTACTTTCCTCTGTGCTAAAAAATATCGAGAGTTCTTTCACAATTTCTGGACATTCTTCATTAGATTGACATTCATAGAGAAAAGTATTATTGAGAACATTAACAAATAATTCTAGAAATTGTTCGTTAAACATAGTTCCATTTAACTTACAAATTTGTGATACACCCCATTTTACAATATTATTATTTTCATGCAGCAAAATTTTTTCAAAAATACATTGCAACCATATAATATCAAAACAGTTATTGCAGGATTTGTGTTCTTTATTCGCGTTTATTAAACTAGTTATATGAGTTAAAGCTGATGCTACTAAGTGATATTGTTTCTCTTCTAATGCTTCATATATCAAAAAAAATTTCTGCTTAACGCATTCTATCGATGAAGTTTCATTATTAGATTTATTACAAATAAATGGAGTAATTTGGGCCTTTATCAATCTCGAATTTACAAACTTAAGTGAAAAAATTTCATTTAGAGAATCGATTGCCTTTCTCATCAGATATAAAGCTTGTTTGCGATATTGTTGCAAAGGTGATTGTAATCCTTTTAATATTATTAACCAGAATGTGCTCTTGGTATAGATATCGCAATGTATATAAGTGAGATCTATTGAACTGGCTGATGTAAAACATGTATCTGCCATAATACTTAGGATAGTGAGAGATTCTTTCAAGTCACTTATTTCATCCAAAATATAATCCCACAGTGGAAATAAGATACATTCATGAGCAAAAATTTTCACCAACATAGGAAGTATCGAAGCAAACACTCTCCATTCAGAATCCTCTTCCTTTATCTTTATCCATGATTTGACAACATCCAAATACATAAAATTAAGTTCCTTTAATTCTTCTTCTTTACCGCTATTGCTTTCATTACGAAGAAATTCATACAAATGTAGAAATTCTAAAAAATATTCCAGTAACTTCATGTACATAATTCTACTATTGCTGTTTGTAAAATAGGCATCGCTCGAATGGAGAAAATTTTGCAAATGTTGTTTGATTGACTCAGTACTACAATAAAGTATCATTTGCAGAGCTATTATGTCATATAAGATTAAACTTTCCGAGGTACTTCGCAGATAATGCGGTGGAAAAATTGCTCTTATACTAGAAAAACAAATATTTTCCGCATCCGCAGGTATTTGATATCTTTTATTATCGCGATTTTCGATGGCATTAAATGCAAACTGATACTCGTGACATAACAGCATTCGACAGATTTCAAGTTTATTTATATCCAATTGTTCTTCAGTCATCCCATTATTGTAAAACTGTACAAAACGATGATGTAAAACGAATGTGCCATTCGTACATTTGCGGTCATTTGTTGGGGTTTGTAAAATCGAAATGTCCAGTGTCGAAATACGTAAATAACGATTATGCAGATCCATTCTATTTCTTATTCTTTCATAATTATTTTAAATCATATAAAAATTAATTGTTCTGTTAATGTATTTCGTAGAATGACAAAGTAGATACAAACACTGTGTTATCCTGTCATTTGAAAGTGAAAGAGAGTCTGGAAAGTATCGAATATTTTCAAAACGATCGTTATTCCGCAAGCTTCTGGCACAGTCTATTAATCTGTGTCAAAGATCTCCTACAATGTCACAGAATTAATTGTATTACTCGCGTATGCATTTAATTATAAAGGTAATTACCTCTGATTATTTTTATAATCAAATATTATCATAATAAACATTACACGTATAATATAAAATCCACCTTTATTTTAACCAATAAAATTACACGTGGACGCGCGTAAACAAGTGTCATAAGTTATCAAGCTTTATGATAATTCGCGATAACACAAGTTTCACTCTCCACACTAACGCTCTATCGTGGCCACAATAAGAAGCAATAAGTCAAGTTGCGCGGATGATAAATTTAAAAAAATGAAAAATTACACAGATGATACATCCTACATATGGTAAATTCCATAGATGATAAATTGTGGGAGAAACACGCTAGATGGTCCAGAGATATTTAGTTGGATTATCAGAGGCATTCACAGAGTCTACGGATTTCCTTCGATCGGTTTAAAATTGATTTTTTTTCCTCCAAAAATTATCAAGGTAGATAGATATAATCATTATCACGAATTTCCAATTCGATACACGTTAATATAATTTTAATATTAAATCGATATTATAAGTAAAATCAACTTCGAAGATTAGTCCTCAAACGAGAATTGCATTATCGCAATGTTATTAGTTCCGCTAGCAAATTTGCAATTTTTCCGGCCTTTAATGTCAGATTGCGATAAAGATTCTGCGCGCGTCACGTTTTCCAATATTGTAGTACCTGATTACATGATTACGCGATTATACATGATTTTGATGGAATCTATAACGGGCCTCGTCTGTACAGAATCATCTTTTACGTTGTTACAGGAATACGGAAATTTTCAGAATTAAATTTGAAGATTTCTCAGAAGCGACAAAAAGTAAATTTTTTTTTCCTTTTTTTTATCTTTTGGCATGCAATATCATTATTTTTAATGATGATCAAGTCATCCGTGAAGTATCCGTGAGATAATCGACTTCCTTATCTTATGCCTTTTAGATTGCAGTCGAATTGTAAAATGTGTACAGAGCAATATATGGCTAAACTAACAATAAGCTCTTAACTAAACTAAAAAGATAGAATTAAAATTAGAATAAAATTGGACGTTGTAGCAAGTGGGCACGGATCCAACGCGTTGCGAGATATTTGACGAGATTTCTTACATTGAGTGTTAAACGACAACGCAATAGGACGCGTGGGAAGCAAAGAGCAGGTGGAATTTTCCCTCCGATAGGAAATGTGTATTCTGGTGTGTTTTTTCTTTAAATAATTATCGAATTATTCTCGCATATGTGTGTTTTACACGCATGCGTTGCGTGACTTGATAGCGATTAAAAATAAATGTGCGTGTGTGCGTAAATAAATTGCTTGCGCGATGATTGGAAGTAAATCCTGCGCGATTAGCTACACAAGTTTCAAGTAATATAATTCGCCCTAGAAATAAATAGGCGCCAAATGTTGCGTGACCATTATCCAAGGACAACGTCATCGATATTGCACGCTATGCTCGCGTGTATTGCTTGAAAAATATGCACATTGGACGTCGTGAATAAGTGGCTTTTAACATATATGGATATTCATCAAAAGTATCTTGTGTAAAGATGGACTTTCAAGAGGAACGCGTCACGTATCTAGACAAGTATAATGATCGATCGAATGCGAGAGAGAGTAATTCGATAATTCGCGCTGATCGCGCGAACAATAGTCAGCAGTCTAACTACTTGACACGTGCCACACACTTATCCAAGGTTGAATGACAAGTAACTGTCTCTCTCTTTCTTCTTTCTTTTTCCCTCTATCTTAAAAGCATCTTGCATATTATTAACGCATTACTCTAATATCCTCTTTTATACAGTATTAATAAATATTTTTACATTTAAATATCAGTAAAGTAGGTTCTAGAATACGGTTCTAAAGATCAATATGTATTTTCCGGTTTTAAATATATAAAAATATTTTAAATTACACACTGACATATGGTGGTAACGTTACAATAGCGTACGAGTTTTAGGATCATAATTATCAAGCACAAATGAATGTGGGCGTACGTATAAGTTACATTTCTCAATTTTATCCTCTAGATCGAATTGTGAGATAATTCATCGGGTCAATTACACTGTGCAGTGAAAAATGCCGTTCAAAATTACCCTCCCTCCTCCCACACTCTATTTACTAACGCGCATGCGCACAGCTTTCCGTACAGTGTACACATGTATACAACACATCACGTCATAGCGCGCGTCGTGTGACGCACCGCGTCGGCTTCGTTGGTGCATCAGCTGGTCGCGGTAGCCGTAGCGTGCATTAGGTACTGACAAGTCCGCTCGAAAATCGAGACGCGTTACATAAAGCGAGCGAAGGGCCACAATGTGTGTGATGAATAGCGGTTGAATACAGTATCGTGTTGTAGCGTGACGTTTTTTTTTTTCTTCTTTTCCTTTTAGGTGATCGTGAAGGGAAGGTGATCTCGTGTCAGGGTCCCGTCTCGAAAGAGATAGCCGCTCTCAATACCGCTAGTACGTTCTCGCGAAAACGAGATTCGTTCAAGGACGTGTGTTCATTGGACGCTTGGACTTAATTCACAAAGGAGGCAAGGATCAATCGAGACGTATCTTCATTTCGTCGCGTCTTTTACGCTCTCGTGCGAGGAGAGATCATCATACGTTACATTATCTGTCACGCGCGCGCGATGTGCTCGTAGCGACAGTGACAGCTCCGCTATAAGAACTTGCGACACTCTTTTGTGCGTCAGTGCGGCAATTCTACGCCCACGCGCGAGTTATTAGGTTTGTTCCCTTAAGCTCATTTTCTGCAATTTTTCACTGTTCCTTCCTTTCGAATTTCTCAGTTTATCTCGTTCCAGTTCAGCTAAAAAAAATCTAATCTATTGCATATCGCCGTCTGTTGAACTCGAATCCGAGCGTGTGCTTGTGATTACGCTCGATTGACAGTTTGTCAACGTCAACGTCGAAATGTCTGGCAATATAAGAGATGTCGATCCGTTCTCTGAATTGCCCATGGAACAAGATCCCTGCGAAGGTATGTAGACAAAGTATGCATATTACCGCATTAAGTATATATTATTACCTATTAAAGCCAGACAACAAGGCAATTCAGTCTTAAGTGGCAAAGTTAGGTTGATATCGCTTATCGCGAACATACATCGAGCGCGCCTTATGTTTGTGGAATGTTTAAACTAGAAAATTTTTGAGAACACTTAAGTACAGTACTGTACATAATAAAACGTACGAGAGGGAAAAATATTCTTTTAATTAAAATACATATACCTTTTGTTTTGATGTAAAATTGAATTTATTTATTTAAATTTATCGCGCAATACATTTATATCGGTATACGCATCTTTTCTAAAAATAGCTCGCAAATATTGGATTACAAATCGTGTAGAGAATTCATGAATGTAGGTGTTTGAAAATTTGAAAAATTAATGAAAAAATCTTTTATCTTTACAAATGTCTTTTTTATTAAAGCATGTTAATAGTTTTTTTTTAATTTAAAAGATTCAAATTATCCAATATCTTTTTGCTTCTATTATATATTAAGATATATATTAAGATATTATATATAAAGATTAATATTTTATATAAATGATCAAAATAAAAAAGTAATTGTGAATTAATGTATGTATATGTAATTACTATTAATGTTGTATCACTGTAATTATAAAGAGATAATGTGTAATATGAAATGATTTATGTTACAAAGACGATGACAAAGCAATCATAGAGGAAAGTCTAAAGGACAATGTAGAAATTGTAAATGAAGTTGCTTATGCAGAACCTTTGATTGCTGAAGCAATACGATGGTTTTATAAAGATGGCGTTGACAAAAGATGGAACGAATTTGGCGGGTATGACAGCTTAAGAATCGAGAAAATCTATCAGGAACGTCAAAGTTTAATTAGAGAAAATAACTGCGAGATAAACGGTTTACCACCTCCTGAGAAAATTGTAGTTAGAGGAGGCATGTACGATGTCGAAATTGACAATATGAAATGTGTTTCCATATATTGGCCAGGTGAGAGAGAATATCATGAATTAATTTTTATTATTTCATAGTCTTTACTTTATTATCTCATAGCTTTATTTGCTACTGTTAATTTGTACTTTATGCCATTGAGCACTTATTGTAATTATTGGTTCAATTAATGTTAATACGAGTCAACGTAATTGACGCGAATATATGTGAATGTCTTGATAATAATTCTACGCCTGTCTAGATTTCTGTATATTTGCTTGTTTGTGTGCAGTATATCTGTACTGCAGAGATTACTTTGTCCTTGGGGTTATTATAGCCAATTTCTATTGACTGTGTGCCTATTATGACTCCCAACATGTGTGAAACAAATATAATACAGGCTATGGATTTTATACCGTACAGAAAACTCTATTGAGATATCTTAATAAAATCTATATTAAGTTAATTATTGTTTATAAATGTTTTTACAATGTATATAATATATGTATATAATAATATACAAATTATATATAAATTATATATTATAATAATAATATGTTATTTATTATAATAAGTTATTTAGAAGTTTATTGGTCTTATTACTGTGCATAAATTTACAAGTCATGTTTACATATTTTTTCTTTTTTGTTAATTATTTTATAACTCTAATGTTTTATACAAAATTATCTGTTAAATTCATTAATTAATTATTCATTAAATGTTTGGATAAAAATAGGAAATCTAAAATCTTGCATTTGTTAAACAAAATTAATAAAAGTATAGAAGAAAAAATATCTAGTTTTCTAAAAAGAAAACTCTAATATAAATTTTATATAAAATATTGCACATATGTATTTGTAATTTGAGTTTATATAAAGATGTAATATATTGTGTAAATTTTTTAATAAAGGTGAAGAATGGGAGATTATGAGGGGTACATGGTATTATGATGGAAGTTGGATACCATTAGAAACAGAACATTCCAAAGTGATAGAAGAAGTCCATCTTAAATTATTCCAAAAGGAAAGGAAAAACAATCAAAGTATTTCAAATTGTGATATAAATGCTCCTCAATCCTATAAAGGTATTTTTTTCAATTTTATTCTTTTTGAGTTTGTCAATTCTATATAACATGTATGTATCAATGCTAAAACTTTTGTTATTGTAATGTCTTTTTAGTATTACATACCGAACAGTTCCCTCAATTTCATGTCGATTGGCATTCAATTAATGATGTGACACTGTATAGTGAATATACACCTACTAAATTGATGCGCAGTGTTACGTCAAAATTAGGCTTTGCAAAAAGTAAGTATAAAATTGCAAATGAAAGTAATTAAAGCTGTATTTTTACATATTATATGAATATATTTACATCTTTTTTTAATTTTAATTACAGCAACAGGCTATCGATTAAAAAGGGGTTATAAAACGCTTGCAAATATAGAGGATAAGCCACGTGATATTGATCATATAGTATTTGTTGTTCATGGGATAGGGCAAAAGCGTGATACGGGAAAAATAATACGTAACACTACATGGTATAAAAATAGGGATTTCTTTTATGAATCTCATTTAATACAATATTTTTATATCATAATAAGTCGTTAAATATGATTGAAATAACAGTTTTAGGGATTGTGTGGATTGGCTTAAACAGAAATATTTTCCAAACTCCAAACACAGAGTAGAATTTTTTGCAGTTGAATGGCGGTCATCGTTAAAATTAGACGGAGGTAAAACAAAAATTTTATAACGCGAGAAAAAATAAATATTTTTAATAATAAATACGTCAATTTTTTTTCTTCAGATATAGTAGACGCAATTACGCCCTATAGCGTATTAAGCATACGTCACTTGCTAAATACATCAGCAATGGATATTTTATATTATACGAGTCCATTATATGGTGCTGAAGTTCGAACCGGTTTGCAGAAGGAGTTAAATAGATTATACTTTATGTTTGCAAGCCGACATCCTGGTTGGCAAGGAAAAGTTTCAATTTTGGCACATTCTTTAGGATGTGTAATTGTATATGACATAGTTACAGGCTGGGTGGGACATGACACGCGACTTCCATCTCCGCAGGCACAAGAAGTTTTATTGCAAGGATTAGAATTTCCTGTAAGTTATTACAGTTCTTTAAGCAATACATAATAAAGTAATTTTAATTAATAAATTTAATTATTATAATAATTATATTTTAAAAGAACACCGAAAAAATCACATTCTCTTGTTTACAGATCGAAAATTTATTTTGTTTGGGTTCGCCGTTATCTGTATTTCTAGCGCTGCGTACACGTGCTCCATCCAATAGATTAGACGTGATGCCGCAAAGTTTATGCAAGAGATTTTACAATATATTTCACTGGTCTGATCCAGTGGCTTACCGGATGGAACCACTTTTAGAAAGAGACTATAGCAAAGTTGAACCAGTTCTTATACCGCCATATGGTGGAATCGATGGACAGCACATGCCACAATCGCCTTCGTCATTGAACAATGTGGATCCAACTTTATCGCCTACAGGTATTTTAGTCTTTATGTTTTTATTACTGTCAATTATAAGCAATATATATGTATATAATTGTCGTTATTATGCTGTTATAATAATCTTTAAATTAAAATTGTGCAATTTAAATAAAATAATTGGCACAAATGATAAAAAATGTTTACTATTTAATCTGTTGCCACTCAAAGATTAAAAGCTATAAATATATCATGAATTTTTTACTGTATTTCCTTCATAGTATAATTAAATATATTAATAGAAGGTGACGATAAAGATGATAGTCCAGTGGATACACCTCGTAATGCAGAGAAAGGCTGGAGTCTTTGGGATTTAGTGCGAGGCGGATGGGCTGTTAAGGAAGGCCCATCTTCGCCAACACCAGATTCAAATCCACCGATCCGTCCAGGTCAAGGTACGTGCGTGTCGCGATTAATTTCACAGCATAATACTTTTTCTGTAAATCATACAAATCTTACAAATATTTTCTTTTGCTTCATTAGAATTAACGCAACGACTGGATTATGTACTACGTGCAGTCGGCTTAGGAAGGAATTATTTATACACGGTAACAGCCCATACAGCGTATTGGAATAACTATGACGTGGCCTATTTTGTATTAACAAGACTGTTCCCGACGTTGGAAACGTGATGGCGGTTTAAACATTTTAACGCAGAACTTCGTTTTCTGCTAAAATGTTCTAGTCCACTATAGGCCTACGTCGAATATGTGATATCGCAAATAGGCCTACACCACCAAAACAATCTGTGATAACGGAAAAACGATACAATAATGTAAATTCTGTAGAAATCAATCGTTTTATAATGTTTGCATAATTTAATGTATATATCAAACTGTATATATCAAGTTATAGAAGACAAGAAAACTTTGTCTCTGCTCGTTTCGAAAGTAATTTGTTTGTACCAAATATGACGCAATTAATATTTATATATAAAGTAATAAAGACAAAGAGAGGAAAAGAGAAAGAGAGATTTGGCATATTATAGGAATACATGAAAGAAATAAGTTTTCGCGAATTACGTTACTTCCTGATATAAATATAGTTTATGCACAGTATTTATTAAAAGTACGATATTTTACAAACTCTCTATGTCTTGTTGCGAGATACAAAACAATTGTTTTTGGATAGTTTATGGGCAACTAATATATTCTTATTGCGCCTTTGTTATTTATATATCGCCGTATATAAATAACATATTTTAAGATTAGCGTCCGTATTAAGTGCGTTATTGGTCTTAAAGTAGAACGAATTAAGCTAAACTGATGCTCTTACGAATTTTTCTTATATATTTCATATAGATTTAAATCATATGAATCGACTTATGAGAACACTTACATTCAGAATTTAATAATAATGCAGAAACATAAAACACCACAACACTAATTTATATAGGCTTTTAAATAATATATACATATATGTATATGTGTATGTGTATATATATATATATATATATATATATATATATATAATTCTTTGAGATATATATGCTACTTATGAAAATACGTAGCATAATTTTTGTATCTGTCTGATTTTATACATATCTCTTTAATATTTAATAGCAAGTCATTATTCTTGTAATATTATAATTATGTAACACTTTTTTCATATCGCGCTTTAGAGAGTTTACTTAAGCACAAAGTATTATGCATTTTTCTAAACTGAAAGAATTTAAATCGACTTAAGAAAATTTTGAACATGATGATGCTATCCATGCTTCTCTGTAAAGAAATTTTACAAAAATAAAGTTTAAAACTACTCTGATTAGATATTTTTAAATTCAAAATATGAAATGGCGTGCGATATAATTATTTATTCATAAAAAAATATATTTTTCTTTATTAAAAATTTAGCAAAAATTCTGTGATTAAAAAATTAGATAATGTTGATAATATAATTAACCAAAAGAATTAAGACCTTCTATTAAAGATGGTAATTATTTTTATATCTAATTCATGATTTTTTTTGTGATATTTTTGTTGTTAAATTATGAGGCTTTTTAGGAAATATCGAAATTCATTATAATATTAAACCTTGCACAATTATTGGTTAATACGAGTAGTGTTTTTCTTATACATTTAAATATGGCATCAATATCACAATTTATATGTTTAATCTTTATAGGTCAGTTAATTATTGCTAAATTATAATATTTTATTTGTTGAATATTTTAATATTTATATCGTGTTATAATATAAACTTAAATGAATTTCTGATGTAATTTTCGGTAAAAGTTTTATTTTTATGTTTTCTGTTGAAGAATATATTATGTATGTTTTCTTGCGCGAATAAAATTTATAGATTGTATTTTATTATATATATTTAGAAAAAGACGAAAATATATCATAAAATCGCGCTTTGCGATTATCATAACAATTTAATACGCGACAATAACAAAGAAATTTATTATATGCGATTTATTATATGCGATTATATGCGAGGATAAAAAGATATCAAATTTTATATAATATGGAATCATTATCAATGGAATCATTAGATGTATAGAAACATCGATATACAAGTAATTTTTTAAATATAGAAAATAATAGGATAATCCATTATTATATGATCAAAAATTTATGTTTAAAGAAAACTTCTATGATATAATACTAACAAAAGCTTAAAACAAGCAATCTGCCATAGTAATAAAATTATCATAAGATATTTCAAGTCTATGTATTAACGAATACATGTGTTTCAACATATTAAAGAGAAATCAAGTTTTTCTAGATCTTACAATTAGATTTTTCAAGAATGAAGCTATCATGTCTTTTTTTATAAGAATACTTACTGTTTATAAGAATACTTACTGTTTATTAGTAAATGCACCAGACAAAAAGTGAAAAAGCGAAGATTCAAAAAAGTTGAATATAAATCACTGCAATAAAATATTAAAATTATCTTTTATACAAAAAACTTAGTAATTTGATTCTACAAATATTTCTGCAAATCTCCATTATATGGATTATAAAATTTTTTTGTAAGAAATAGCAAAAAAACAGATATCATATCAATACATATTTGTTATTTACAGATCTCTTATATTTTGAAATCCAGATCGTCTATAAATATAGAAAATTGACATATTGTAAAATATGTAGCCTTTTCGATGATTTGATATTTTTAGTCGAAGAGTGTGCAAAATAGAGAAAATATCATATTTATGACATTGATCAATAAAATTTATATGTTTTATACTATCAGTCACATAACTTTTCAATGTTTCATATCACATAGAGTAAAATTTTTTTTGTGCAAAAAATGAACATTTTATATCTGTTCTTTGTATGCTACGTTATATGTAATTTGAAAGCATTTTTAAATAAATATATTACGAAAAATGCTTTCTTTTTGTACATTAATTACATGACATCGACAAAAAACATTTTAATACAAATTTCAGTCGACTGTTTTTTATTATGCTTCATATATATTTGTGTGTAATTATGATCAAAGAACATTAATCTCTTTATATTTATTTCAATCCAATGTCATAAAGATTTAGATTTAAGAGAGGATCGATTTTAGAGTTATAGTGTTTTACATATTTTAAAATGATTAAATACTGTTTTATATATGACTTTATTGATCGTACCGTGGATACAGTACAAAATTGCATTACAGCGTGATTGATATGAAGAAAAATACGATCGGAATATCAAATGCACATTGCATCAATATAAAGATGTGCAAATAGCCTCGACGGCGGCTTATGTATTCAAATGGTTATATTTTGTGTAGAAATGCGAATATACGTACAAGATTCAAATCAGTCTCGATAAAATTTTTTTCACACTTATATTTCTCGATAGTACGAGGCCCTGGCGATATACATATACATAAAAATAAAAACTGTTTCTTACTTAAAATTAATTCACAATATATAAAAATATTGCCGCGTATAAATAAGTCAATGAATCATCTGTTACATATCGATGACGAATTAAAATCATATATCTGTTACTTTACATTATTAATACAATAAATATCTATGTAAAAATATTTATATACTTATCTTAATAGCGACTCATCGCCGTACTTTTAAAAATTATTAAAGATTATTAAATAAAACGTAAAGAAATGTATATTATATATGGCATTTCAAATTGAAAATATTCGAAAATTGAGAAAGTATATCGAAAATTATTTAAATTTATTATTACAATTGTATACAGGGTGATTCTAAAGAAACGTTTGTCTTTAAAATATCAAATTTTTGAATGAATTCTAAGACGATTTTTCCTCGCAAAATTTTACTCGTTCCATAAGTAGTGAACTATTTCCCTTTATAGTTTAAAAATTAAGCTCCGGGCAAAATTTTGCAAGAGGAAAAATCGTCTTAGAATTCATTCAAGAATTTGATATTTTAAAGACAAACGTTTGTTCAGAATCACCCTATATATTAACGATATATGAATATGTGTGTTATTCATAGTTTATTCGCGAATGAGGCAAATATAAAAAGAATATAAAATATATATAAAGTTTCGATGAAATGCACATAATCGCCTTTAATTTAATTTGCTAACATTCAAGAGTATAAGCCATCAATAATAATTTTGCACATGGATACTATCTATCCATACAGCAGAACATTACAGCAATATTGCCGCAATATTGCAGTGTTACTGCAATGTTACAACAATATTAATAATATTACTGCAATATTCTGTGCTGTATGGGTAATCATAAGCAAGGCGCATATGTCACATCCTACGGGAATACATAATATGTGTATGTCTGACAGTACATATAAATTATTTGCTCGAACAAATAACAGATCCTATTCAATTTTCGCATACAAAGAATCGCGGATAGAGTAAGTAAAAGCGGTTTAAATATTCAAAATATCTATGCACATTCTATATTCTGAAAAATGTTTTTTTTTTCTTTTTTTTATTTTATTACGGAATACAATGATGTTCGTTACTACATGATTTCGTTGCCAGATATATTTAGAAAAAATTTTTATTTAATATATATAAATATATATAAACAAAAATATACTAGCAATATTCTCTCGAATCTTTATGTATTCTGAATTATATTTGACTGTATTCAGTTAGTATATGTCATTTAGGGTATTTATCACCAATGCTGTTCTCTGTGTGCATGTATGTAATGAATATGAAAATAATACCAAATATTAATTAATTATATATGATTTAATCTATCAATACCCAGGTAGAACATGAAACTCATAATGACATCATTATGACGTTATCTACCTGGGTATATATATATATATATATATATATATATATATATATTTAATATATAAAATAAAACAACATACAGATATTTCTTGAATAAATGCTATTTTATCACATTAGTGTGAAAATAAATTAAATGACTTAATAACACATTGAGTAATATAATAATACATGATTGATGTGTAAGTGATCTCTTAATTAAAGATGATAAAGATCATTTAATTAAAGATCATTTAATTAAAGATGATAAAGATCACTTTTTATTTCTGGGACACGAATCGCGTTTACGGAAGAGAGGCGCGCAGAAAAATTATCGCATACGTAATGCATGCTAGAAATTCAAATATTCTCTATAGTAAATAATTTTATTATCCAAGTAGATAATATGCAATATAAAAAATATCAAATTTGGCAGCTTCAATCTGAATAAAATAGAAAGTCTTTTTTGAAGACTTTATAACTAGATAGCTGAATTCTAAATTCGTTCAGTCTCTGTAGATCCTTTGTAATGCAAAGGAGTATTTTTTTTCAATTAAGTATTATATACATGTATAAAAAATCTCCATAATAAAAATGCATTTTCGTATAAAAAACTGTTATTAAGAAAAGTTAGAGGTAAACTTGCTTCCACAAACGCGATAAAATGCATATATGTCCCGTATTATGTTTTCTTCAAAAACAGACCTAAAAATATTTTTCATAGCATGCACAAAATATGGTCCATATCATTATACATAAAGATACAATTTGTTCCTGCTCTGATATCTACACTTAGAACTTTATATTCTGAAACTTTTCACGTTATTTTATGTTATTTGACAGTTGGATACGAATAGGCATACAAAGAATAACTTTGCATTATGCATAAAGTTTTCGATTAAATTCTCGATTGTATCAAAATGCGTCGATCTTCTATTTAAATTTCAGAAAATTTCCTTCAAAATACAATTAATACTTGATCCAAACATCTTGTAAGGCTAAAGGTATGCTATTTCTTCTTTATTCTATCTTCGTATTCATCTGATGTGTGGTCTTATGCATCTTGCAAAAATGCTATATAATATACGTCACTATCGGTCTTTTTTTCAATTTTCTTAGGCTTTACGTTTATAATTTCCTGCACGTCTTCTTCGTCACACTCTCCTCTCCTCTTACGCTCAATATATTACAATTTGATTCACATTTATACACATACATAATAATCCACCTTGCCTTGTGGTCGAACGCACGTATTTCGGATCACGGATATAAAGAACATTCATTTCTCACTGCTAAACATTTTGTAAAATATTACAATTGATTCTTTAGCATTGAGAACGAATTTATACGTCGACATACACAAATATCTACATATAAATTTCTTTATTTTTTTTTAATTGTTATTTTCTACTTTAGCTTTTATATATTAATTAATTGTCATGTGTTTTTCGAACAGGTACTACTATTATACGTCGCACCACAAAGGCATAATCATTAAGTTTAATTAATCATTAATTCGCGTAATTTCGACACTTATCATATCGATCTATTTATAGTACGTATCTGTGCCGTGAGAGAATCTTATCCTCGGAAAATTCAACGCGCGCGCGCATTTATATTCGGGAAACAAGCTTTCAGATCTTAACACGGAGACTACACAGCGGCGAGAGCCCTTTCAATCGACTCGACCATACAGAGGTACGATATTTTGTTTTATCCAAAAATCGCAATTAGGATAGTCCTGCTCGAGCAGCGTGTCCTGTCCAACAACGAGGACTCGTTTCGCACCCGATGGGTCAGCTTGTGCGACCTCGTCATGCCACACGTAATGATTGAATAATTGTTGCATAGCTGATACGTGTCTCTTTTCTTCAGGTGTGACAGCGGCGTAAGTCCCTAGAATGGCCGCGGCATCGCTATCCGGATCGGCCAAGCGTCCACGACGAGGTTGAGTGGCTACATAAAACGGTATATCGGCCCTCATTCTGGCAACTGTCAGCAATGGACAGATTACACGAATATCGGAAATCATTGTAATCATTCCTTTCAACGTAGTGTTGTAGCGTCTGGAAAATAGAATATATGTAACATTGCTTTCTAAAATTACAACGCAATTTATTGTTTTATAAAAACTAAAGAATTAAAATATTTTCACTCTAAATAAATAAATAGAGATTGTTAATCATAACATTATGATCACTTACTTGAGAGCTTCGTCCGCTAAACCCATAGTTCCGAGCAGAGACTCTCGTACGTATTGCTGAACTTGTGTTGCATTAAGAGAAAGAGCTTCGGATAAGAATTGCGATGGTGTACCAGAGTGCGCGGTAGTACCCATCACTACTTTTACCAAATGTTTGTTCTGCGCCAAGATACGACCGACGTGTTCTTGAACAATATTACCATCCAGAACGAGCCATTCATGTCTCTTGGAGACTTTAGCTTCCTTTGTTTCAGGCAAGTTCACATTACGCATATACCATATATCTGGTACGGCATCCATGATGTCCTTGGCACTCTTGTTTCTTAGACAAGAGACATCATTACATTGAACATTTTCGAGAAAGTTTTGACTCGAAATCTCCGACTCACTCAATTCTTTGCCCGGGAAGATTGCGCTGCCGCTGGATATCCATACCTTCGAGAATAAGTTTTTAGCACGGCGATAGCCGATCAATGTCGTTACTAAGGTGCCACCTGCCCGATGCCCCCAAAGAGTAACGGATGATTTATTGCCGCCAAAGTGCTCGATATTAGATTGCACCCACTGAAGGGCTGCTATAATGTCCGACAATCCGTAATTACCCGAGGTTGGAGGATGAGCGGCTCTGGTGAGAGGCTCGGCTGCCAAGAATCCGAAAATTCCCAAACTAAAAAAATTTAATAAATATAAAAACAATATTTTTGTGACTTAATTAAAAATATTTTTTTAATTGTTTTGAAGCGTATTAAGCTTAAGAGGCGTATTAAGATTTTAAATATTTAAGACTATATTATTTCATACATGTGCCGTAAAACTTTTAAGAATATTTCGTTGAAAAAAAACTCAAATATATGTGGAATATATGTATATATGTATATATATCTTACCGGAAATTTGGTCGCACAAATACTATGTCGCGAACACGCGCTAACTTAGCTGAAGGTTGCATTACTCCGGGCGAGCCACCGAACAATGTCTCGGCGCCAATCATAACAACTACGGGCAGTGGAGACTCATAACGAACTGCCGGGGTAAATACATCGAGATAGAGGCAATCTTCTTCGCCGTATTCGCTGCCTTGTGCATCACGCTGCCAGCAATGCTTGGAGGAATTGTGCGCCAGATAAATGCCGTTCCAGCAGTTCTCGATACGGTTCAAGACCTCGGCTGATTGCCAGCGACGATTGATCATCGGCGGCACCGCGTAAGGGATACCGCGAAACGCATAGGCGCCGTCCTCCAGAACGCCCTGTACCGGTCCGCACGACGTTATCGCATCGATGAATTTGCCATCCTTCAAAGGCTGAGTTTGAATTCTTTTGGGTCCAACGCAGGCAATGCAAACAATGACGATGACGCTGAGCAGGATCAGCAGAATCACCACTATCGTCATAATTTCAAGTAATGCAATTAATGTGTTGAATATATGTCAAGAATATATTATAATAAATTCTACTCTTTTCTTACCTGAAAGAACCAAGTGTTTTCTGAGTGTAGATATGCAGATCACCAAAGGATGCTTCGGTGATTCGACACCATCAGCTCCGTCACCTCCGTCGAGACGCACGGTTTCCATACCGTCTTCATTGATAGGATTCTTATCAGCACCGTCATCGAGAGTTTCAACACTTGCTAATCCCGCGGCGCCAATCGGTCCCAACTCTGCATTCTCAACTTCCTGAAAAAACAAAATAACAATTATTATGATATTATTTTCATATATTTTAAGTATTTTAAGATATTTTATTATTAAATAATTTATTATTTGCGATAAATAAAGATATGCAATATATGTACTGTATATTTTAATATAATATATACAATAAATTATAATATTAATATTATTATTTTAATAATATATAATATTATATGTATACACATATACACAGTACATATATTACACATTTCTATATTTATCATTATCTAATTTATATATGAGAGATGTTCAATTCAATAATATAGTTTGTAAAAGATAATAAGTTCCTTAGTCCTTATATAAATTATAATTTATCTTTAACTTTTAGAAAGACTCATCAAAGACTTCATACATACATTTTCCAACATTTTTTATTTTGCTCCTCGTGTAAACACGGTTGAAATAAAAGAAGAAGAAATGAGACAAGAAAAAAGAAGAAATCTTAGAAGAAAAAATCGTATAATGTACTCGGGATTTGAAGAATTATTCACAAATTTTTTTAAATAAATGATAGGTAAATGTATGTTGGATTCTCGTGGGTATTTTCTTCCTCGTTTATCGCAACAATGGTGATATCCTCGATTTCTTTTTAAAAATAGAAAAGTACTTTTAAATATTTTAATAAAACTTTCGAAGATTTATGACGATACTATTTAATAATTTGTCAGATATTTTTTCGCGGAAAACTTGAACTTACTTTCTTTTTCCTAGGGAAAACGGATGATACCAAAGGTATCCGAATAGCATTCAGAATTCCTTTTCGTCCTTCCTTTTCTTTAGAATCTTTACCGGGAGTGGTAAGTTTTTCTGCGGTATTCTGCTCGTTCTCTTTTGTTATCACGGGGACTGATTCCGCATCTGTGGGCTCTGTCGGTTTTGTTTCATCGTCCTGAAATCGATCAAACAAACCAAATATAATCCAATGAAATATCAAGAAATCAATTCTTCTTACTCATAATATATTCACATTTAAAATACTGTAAAATGTGACGATATTATCATTTCAATGCAAATATTCCAATCAGTTATATTTTTTGTATATCCTATATTTTAAGTGAAAAAAGTATAATAATGAATTCATCTTTCGGGAAATGTGTGTGTGAAAGAAGTAAATATAGATAGTTAAGTTAGAAAAAAGATGTATTTATAGCGATATTACACACGACATGATTTTCAGAGCTTTAAATAAAGTCAGAGTCGAAAGTCAAGGCAATCGTTTGATTTCGAAACGACGACGAGCGGATGCAGCGAAATCAAGGTCAATCTCGACAGGACAAAGAAACGACATCGACCGGATGACGATGCGTGCTTGTCGCTGTCGCCAGACGTTTGTCGGGAGTCTTCTCTGGAGCTCAGGCTCTTGCGCTTTTTCTTCTTTCTCTCTCTTCTATTCCCAGAAAAAAACGCAACAGATTATTATTTTTAGAGTAACGCCACTTCTGTGCAAAGCTCTTGAAAGACTCGAATGTGTTCAGAGCGATAACTTGTGCCGATGCCGTCTCCTTTGCGCTATACTTCGAAGCCAGCTGTCTCGGGGGGCAGCGTCATGCTTTAAACTCCCATTGTAGACGACAGAGAAAAGCAAACGATCATTTATTATTTCAAGAATGAATCGAAGCGACAAGAATAAAATTGATAATGACTATTTGCCATTCTAAAGAGTGATTAGACGAATAAGCTATAGAAAAAGACAACACATATGTCGTCTATTAAAAATAAAAAATATATTTTATATAAATATATGGGACATTTAAAATTTCTATAATTCAAGAATAGTTTAAAAAAATACTTTGCAGTTATTTGAAATTAAACGTTTTTATTTAAAATAAATCGAAGAGAGACGCGAAGAGCTCTATTAATATTTTGAGATATTAAGTTGCTGTCATCTCGGTATTAATTTAAGCGAAAAGTTCTTCCCTCTTCTCTCAAAGTTCTCTCTTCTGAATCCCTTAACACTGCACATCGATTACTCGAGGCATCAATCTCTCTACTATAAACTTGTCGGTGAATTTCGTGCTTGTATGTGCTACTATATTTGGATCTCGAATGTTTTTAAGTGGAGTCGCGTGGCGCGATCGTCTACCGCATCAGTAAAATACACGCATGCGCGCACGTACGCAACGCCTACTCATACGATGCTGGTGGACTTCCGTTTTCCTATAACGATTAATATAATTAATAAGCGTTACACGAATCTATTACGATAATCTCGTGTTGCATCTGCTAAGTAGACAGCAAATGATTTATTCAATATTATTTTCTTAGTATCTGACTGCGTATAAAAAATTATTTAAGACTATATTTTTAGAAAAAACGTCGTTTTTCCGAATAAAACATAATTGAAGATAAGAAAAGCTGCAAGTGATATATTTTAGAGATAACTTTATTTTTTGTTTAAAAAGAGTGCTGACGCTAAGTATCAAAGTTAAAGATGTGGAACATATATTTCCTTCTATTAGAGGGTGCACAGCAACGCCTGACCGCTTTCACGTTCACGTATGCGTATTTCCCTTGAATGTCATCCCGGATCCCGCACCTAAATTTCTATAAATAAATTTCACGCAACGGGTATCGCAAGGTCGCGCACCGTGACTGCAGGATGAGTTTAATAAAAGCATTCGTTGTGATCGATTGTATTTATCGTTCGGTAAATTTACATTTTTTATTACATTCTTACATTTTTAATTATAATCCTGTTGAAGATTGTTGAAAGACATTCTGCGCATCAAAAAAATCACAACAGTTGATGAAGCCAGAGAATGAGCAAGCTAAAGTTGAGACAATAAGGCGATTTAAATCTCGAATCCATTTTGAGATATATAACATGATCGCGAATAAGATTAACACAAAAAAACTAACGCACATTTATACATATACATTCATGAAAATATTTATACATACATTTATACATACACATTCATAAAAATATTTTAAAAATATTTTATCATTTATAAAAAGATTTTAATTACATCTATTTTTGGTTGACACCTTTTGGCTTGAAAACACATGGTTTGATGTGCAATATAAATATATCATCAATACCTTCTTGACTAAACCAAACACTCATCAAGCTTATTTACTCGGTTTCGAGTTTAGAATGATTCTCAACAAGAACCATTTCGAGAATGTTATTCTGTGTATATTAAAGTAAGATTTCTCAAATTTCAAACCATTTTATTCTTTACTTTTCTATAGCTTTATTATATTGCAATTATCGTAATTAAATAAGAAATTAAGTAGAAATGTCACAGAAACTGCCATTTGAATTTTATTTCATATAAGATGTGTGTCTTGAATTTTATTTAATATAGGGTGTCTCGCTTTTTAAGGACATTAAAAATTTAACATACTCTCGATTTAATAATATAAAAATGAAATAATCGTTACATCAGGTTTGCAATATTGCAAATTATATGTATATTGTGTCAAGGTCCTTTAATGATAGATCCACTGTCGTGTTTGCGAACAGTCCTCACCATCACATCCTTCACCACGACATATAACGGATAGTCACCCCATTGTGGCGCCGCACGAGAAGGGCGGCTCTTTTATATTATGGTTTTATATTATGGTTTCTGCACAAAGAATAACTTGCTGCCATTTCTGGAAAATTGCATCTACTTTGTAACGGTTACTTGTAACGGCTCGATGAATTATTTCTACACGTCATCTTGTCATTTCACTAGACATTTATTATCCGATAATAAATGAAACATGTATGCATTTCATATGAATATGATGATGATTAAATGTTATTTATAGCAACTAAATTGTTAATCAACATTATTAAATCGAGAAGCATCATTGTAATTTATATTAAAATTTAAAAAAAATGTATTCGACAGTCCATTTAGCAACGCTGCTACACATATAACTTCAGTTAGAATTGCTTTAACTTTATATTTGACTAAGGTCCTAAGATTTATCGCTTGAACGCGAAGCAAAACGGGTTCGCATTTAAATGAACGCATAATCGAAAAATGTCAAATTTCCGTAATTTTTTCTCTTTGTCCAACGACCTCTCTCTCAGATCACAGGTGCCACGCCGGAAGTGAGGGTGACCACCGCGCGAAGGAAAGCTTCAATTTTCCGGTCTGTCGAATTCACCGGTTCGCGAATGAGGGCGCGAGGTCGACTTACGGGCTAGTAACGGGATTTCGAAATGCATACGTGTAATAAAATACTCTAGTTATCATTCAGTGGATCGCCATTAACGAGGCTATTTATTACAAATTTAAAATCGATGCTTTCCATTAAACTTTTTTTCCGATCCAAGGAAATTATTAATCTTTATTACTAACATTATTTATCACAATTTCTCTGTAAATTACAAATATATATATATATATAAGAAAAAATATGTAATTTGCAATTAACAATTACATATTTTTTTTCGAAATAATTATGTTTTCTTTACACCAATTGATCCCTCTCATTATTTTGTACATAAAAGAATTAAGGTAAAATAATCAAAAAATGAATATTTTACTAGATATTTTATGGTTTATGTAAAAATTAAGAAATTATTTCAAGCCTCATAACTCGAAAAGTACTCGAAAAAAATACTTTATTATAGTGTTTTGAAAAGGCTCTCGAGGTAAGCTACAAGAGTTTTTGTCTGGAAAAAGATTGCCCCGACATCCTGTTTATATAAAATGTAGAATTCGCGTGAGATGTAAGCGAGCAATAATTTTTCTCCGCACGAGTAACCCCTGTCGAGATTGCGCTCACATGATAAAATGAGTAATCGTTAACACCGCAGATTTACCGTTTCACACCAGAAGATCCCCGATGCGAAACGTCGTTATCGCGAAACTTCCGACTTTCGTAACCTTCCCGCGATAGAGAACCGTTCTACTCTCTTGACCGGCTATTTTATTCGGATCTCTTATATTAGTCATCTTTTTATCCTGACTCATCCTTTTCTGCCTATCCATGATCCGAGATAAATAAATATTTTTAGCATAATTGCGCATATATTTTCCTACCTTATCTATCCATTTTACTTAATTTGAAATGCAAAATGTAACAACATTGAATAATTTTTTACAAAATAATTGAGCATAATTTTTATTATTTCCTATTTTCTTTATTTAAATACTTTGAAATGCTTCGACTTTCCTGTATCTAATAATCTATTTGCTTGTTAAAAGAATAGTTATACTAAGAAATTCAATTTGTTGAAAGGTGTATGATTTATTTTGTCTAGTACTGTATATCTAAAATCGACATTCAAATTTAGACTTCAAAATCCATTTCAAGAATTATTTCAAATTGCATATGTAGTTAGATCAAATGACAATACGTTATTTTGCAAAAAAATTCTAAAACGTGCTTGACTTTTCGTCAAATATCGTCATGTTGCAACTTCTCGAGAGGCTCATTGTCCTCTTCGATATTGTACAGTCATCCTCTCGACAGAGAATATTCTTTCTCTCTCAATCTTCTGCCACATCTAGGTACTTTCCTTCGCGCCCCGTTTCTACTACGCTAGTATCTGGAAAGTATATTATGTACTGCGGACGCCGGGTGCAGTGACTTATGTATACGTTGACCGCATTGTGTCGAAGAGGGAGAGATGCTGAGTTGTAAACTCTGGATTCGGCATTGCATTATACATTATACGACTGATGCATCTATAGTAGCGCCCTAGGTTCTTCCTGCATCGCAACCTCGCATTTCGAAGACATCACCGCTCTTATGACGCGACGAAACACAATCGATAAGATGAATATATATATAAGATGTATATACAATGTCATATAAGAAATATATACAATTGTGACTAGATATTCATTGTAATATTCATCATAAAAAGTCTTCGACGAATTAATCCTTCGAAGGATAAATATTTTATTTTCAATTTTTATTCTTATCAATTCAAACTAA